CCCACCTTTCCTCTCATCAAATATACTTGTAGTCTACCGTATTACAAAGTTTACGTTACATCTTACTTGTTATAGATGTGACAGAAGTGCAACTGACACAATGTAAATTATTCATCCGGGAACTTGTCACGTGACTAGATTGTTGTAGTGAAGTAGCCATCTTGGAATTTATGTGATCAATATTTGGTCTCGGTGAGTGATTATTGGCGATGGAAGGTGACTGACATCCGTAGGTTCTGTGGAGCAGTCGTCAAATTAACGGGATGTTTTTACTTTGTGGACCTCAGTGAGTTGAGACAACGTTGCAGGGAAACCTGTCCGTTTACGTCAACTAAATTTCGGCACAAATTTGTTGATGGCAGGTACCGTTGCAAAGTTTCCAAGTCCCGCTTACAATGTCAACGATGATCACTATATAACACATCCGTCTGGTATCAGTATAATGGAACAAGATGTAGTGCTCGATCAACTCTACGATCAGAGCTTCCAGAAAAGGGCAGACATTCTAGACCAGCTGCGTCAGACTGCCAGGAGACATGGAGGCCGGTTGCCATTCCAGGACCAGCTCTCCATATTTCAAGGATTGTCGAGGGCGGTATCGGATACCAACTGGGACGTTCGCCACCAATGTATCAACCTGATTAATGAACTGATTCCAAAATTAGATGATAACTTGGATAAGTGCATGACAGTTGTGCTTCCTAAGCTTATTCCTAATCTTGGAGACAGCAAAATTACAATAAGAAAAGCAGTTATACAAACTGTTCATGTTTATATGAAATATACCAGTAACATCCAGCAGGTTTTTCATGCATTAGTCCAGTTTGGTTTAGAAAATGAGGATTTCAAAGTCAAGAGAGAGACCACTGTTGCGCTACCTATGCTCTTTACAAAGGAGTTTGAAAATGAGAATTTGTTGGAAATTACACAGGCTTTGGCCAAACAACTAGTAGCCACTTCTCAAAGTGTTGAAGACAATCTCACTCAAGTGTCATTAATGTCACTTGAAAAAATCAGAACTCTTGTAGGAGACAATGTGTTTGATGCATATATTCAGCGACTGCCAGTTCCTGTCCGACGGTACTACTGCAAGTTAACAAACAGAAAAGAAGAAAATGGCTTTGATAGTCGGACATCTAGCACAGACTTGAACTCCAGTTTAAATGGTACCCCAAGGAGATTCACAGTCAGTACACAAAGCAATGTGGCATCTCCAAGACCATCAGGGCCCAGTACTCCTCTCCAGGAACAGAACCCTATTGTTCATACTCCCACATATCAGCAGCAGAGTTCTCACATTGTGGAGATGGGCATTATACCTAGTCACCTTATGGAGAGATTGAACAATCAGGAGGACTTCAGAGCAAGACAGGCTGCCATTGAAGAGCTCAAAATTATCATTGGAGGGCTTCAGGATGTGGATTTAATTATACCACATATGATGCCCTTAGTTGGCCTTCTAAACAATATGCTTGATGATAAGAACTTCAGAATAAGTGTGACTACCATGGACATATTAGACATGCTTGTGGTCAAGCTTGGTTCAAGTGTTAGGCCTTTTTCCAAACCAATACTGAATGCTGTGTGCAAATGTTTAAATGACAATAAAATAGTTGTACGTCAGTCTGTGCACAAAGTGGCCAGACACTTAATGACCTCGCTTTCTCCCAAATTTGTGTTATCTGTGATCTGTGAGCAGCTAGGCAATCGAAGTGCAAGGATCCGCCAAGAAGCACTGAATATCATCATAGCAGCACTTCTGACTTTTCCCAGTTATGACTTTGATCTGCCCTCATTGTGTCAAACTATAGGGCCTACACTAGTTGACTCCAAGAGGCATGTAAGACAAGCATCTTTGGAGTGTTTTGGCATGCTGGCCCAAGCTATGGGAGCTGGGAGGCTACAGCCCCTAGTCCAGGCTGTAGATAGTGTAGAGTTAAGCTATGAAGGGGATGGAGTAATGGCTGCAGTGCAGGCACGGCTAGCCAGACGACAACTTCCTAGAATCAACAGTGAGGGATTAGTTGAATATGCCACCACTCTCTCTTCAAGTTCACAGAAAAGTTCGGCCTCTATATCTGCCTCACAAGGGGCTGATATAGACTGGATTATGCAGGCTGCAGGGGGTGGGGGAGGCTCTGCAAGATCAGCACGATCAGACACCATGGAGTTGGAATCAGTTGCAGGATCTGCACGCTCCACACCAGCCCCTGCTTTAGAGAGCCCTGGCTCTACCGGACCCTCTCCAAGGAGATTTCTCAGTGCTGGTCGGGATAAGAAGAAACTCCCTTGGGCTGAGGACGATGACAGCATTGGTAGGGAAGAAAATGGAGGCTATCATTCATCAAATACACCTGCTTCACAAGTGAGTAGCAAGATGATATTTTCTGTTAATCAAATCTTTCTTTGACCAATCCACATTTTGATCTTTCCTCGTGTAATGACTAAAAATTCATAATTTGATATGCATTTTCCCTTTCTTGAAACCCCAAACAACAACTTTTATGCAGTGAATATATTGAAAACAAAACCCGAAGTGTAATGCACATTTGATCCTAAAGGCACAAATGCAGATTGGAGAAATGTTTAAATTTGTGAAACAATTTACTTGACATATTGTTTATGTTTTGCTACAAAATTAGTTTTATATTTGGAATATAAAGCTGTCTTCAAATTGAGTTGGGACTTAGCATTTGTTTTAGATAACTTCTTTATTAACTCCTGAAATTTCAAAGAAAATAATCTGATAGCTTGTAAATAATAATTCTTTGGCAGAAAATTGGTCGATATTTTATCTTCGGCAATGTTTACCCTTGTCTGGAGCAATCTATGTTAGTTAAGTTAAATGGGAATGATACATCATTGGTATCATGGTCTCTCATTGTTCAGAATAATGAACTGATGAAAAGAAATTGAGTCGGTCACTTTTTGGTCCGATACAGACGTGTTGGCCATAATTAAACTGCATAACCAGATTATATCAGATTTATGTTGACAGTCCTTTAGAAGTTATATGTGTAAACACGAATCACTGGGCAGTGTTTCTCTTAGCATTGTGACCTATTGCAAGAGAGTGTTATTTTCCAAAACATTGATCTACTTGCATCCATTCATACCAGTAAGCCCTAGCGCAGGTGGGTAATGGTCCACTCAGGGCAGGGTTAAATGATGTCCACTTTGTCCCCAGTTTGGTTACTGTCAGAACTAGGTCTTGCTACCTGAAGGATGTTGAGTAATTTTTGAGGGGCTATCAATTGGCACTATTAAATAAGGGTTTCTTTTGATGATTTTTAAAATTGTGACTCGGTGAATTAAGCCAAGTAATGTAGATTATGAGGTGTTCAGGAATTGGTAAAGTACTGTATATTGCTGCAGTTTTTTTCATGTGTCAGTACATTTTTAGAATAATGTTAATTCATCAGTCCAGGTAGATTTATGAATAAAAAATTATAACTTAAAATACTATATGGATAAAAATTTTGAAAGCACTAGTACTCCAGCTGTGAACAACACTGCAGTTGCATTAGAAAGCTTACAGAACTTCTATGCTATATCTATTATCAAGAGCAATAAAATTTTCACCTTTTTATCATAAATATATTTCTTTTTATTTTCCATCCTACAAACTTATTTGCATATATTTTGCAAATTAATTATACTTGAATATGAAATAGGATTATTTTATCCAACTTCGCCATGCATGTGTTATACGAGAAAGATGAAATAGGTTTTGCAGAGAGTTTTGAAAGTTGATATTTTACTTTGTCTGGTACAATAAAGGTAAATCATGGTGTAACATACTGATATTTATGAATATGAATTGTAATTGGTTGGTTGGGAGTTAAAATCAATTGTAAAATCGATTCATTGGGGAAATGGCACACACCAGTGCAGTGGCACAATAAAGACCTCACTGAAGAAACACGGTTACATCCTGGCACCCACACAAATTTATGGCTAATCAATAACACCAGTTGTGCTTCAATGAGCAGATTTTATTCTTTTCTTTAACATAATGCATACCTAAATCACATTAGAACTCCCATAATAAATTCATGAACCAAGAAATTGGCAATTGTTATATAGCTTGTGCTATGTGGTCAAACATCAAAGGTTGTGTTTTGTAGCTGAGTTTGTTGCCTGAACACACTTGACTCTAGTGGTTCTTGTTCATAAACTGCCAAAGGTAAAAAAGTTTAAATTTCAAAATTGATATCTAAATCCCCTTTGCCCCTCATCCTTTCCAGCTAATTACTCCTCTTAAGTGGCATGCCTAGATTCACAGAGCAAGTGTACTGTATGTACACAATTATGGGTCAAAATAGCTATCTGAAATCAACATTTGCACAATATTAATATAGAAGAAAATTATAAATAGAATTACTTAAAGTTTGTGGAATAAAAAGTATGTTGCCATAATAAAGAAATGCTATAAAATAGAATGTATTTTTATATGTACTTTGAATACAGAATCTTTCTGTAAAACTTGAGTTAAGATCACTTGTTGGACCTTGCAATAGTGCTTCTATATGTACTCAGTCTATGTTCTGATTTGAAAAGTAAGGGTGGATCAAGTATTTTTCATTATATTACATTGCTTACTAGTACAGATAAGGGTTAAATTTCATTGAAGAAGGGCTATAATGAAAAGGGGCAGTTGGTTCAGACATATATATTTTCTTTTTTTGCCATGTCATTTGCATTCAGATTTGACTATCACAGTCCAGGCATAAGTATATAGAAATAAAGAGAGCCGAGTATTAAGATATGTATGGTATAAAGCACTGTTATGGTGTTAGTTTCTATTATGATATTTGTGTAAGCACTTCATTGTTTGCTCAGTGCCAGTTGTTGGGTGAAAGGTTTTCATTGATAGTTAAGCTACGTTTTAAAGGGTTTTGGAGCCCAATGCATAGAACATGTTAAGCCAAAGGTATTAGGTCTTTGTGGAAGTTTTTTTTTTATTTGCTTTTTCTAAATATAGAAAAAAAATTGCATAAACTTAAATGTTGCTGTGACAAGAAGGAGCATTGTGTGTCAAGGGTGTTAGGGACAATGACAGAGGTTAAAAAAATTAAAGCCGTTACTGAACTTATTGCTTAAATAAGATTGTTGTTTTTTAACTTTCAAAGTTTACTGCAGCATGATTACATATCTTAAGCTTAAATAGCACCAAAATCAATCAATTTGCTAGAATATTGAACTAATAATTTACATCATTTAAGAGTATTATTTAAAGAGGATGGAATCAATCTAAGTATACTTGCTGTTGTAGACACATTGAAAGTGTGCATAGGAATACTGTTTCTAGCTCTGTTAACACTGTCAAACATTAACCTGTTTCTATCATAAAGAATTCATTAGCACACAGTTGTCCATTTTCTGTGCTTCAATTTGAAGTGTGGAACTCTGCATTGATTTGTTCCTCATGTGGTGTGACATGTTATACAACCCAGACATTGCCATGTCACTTGTTACGGACTTGTATAATTTCATAATGACAGATTAAACAGATTGATTATGCACGTAAACACTAGTAATGCATCTACTTGTAGAAAGTGGGACTTGTCTGCACTTTTTCACATAAAAAAGTATTGAGATTTTGGCACACTTATCAAGGGGTAGAATTGAGATATTTTATCACTTGTGGCTATTTCTCTATTTGCCAAATGGATTTACCAACCAAACTAAACCAAGTCTGGGCTGTAGATAAGTGATTGAGACTGGTAGTAAAGAGAGAATGTCTAATACTAATGGAATTTTGTTTGCTGGATAGGCTTTAGGTGAAAATTCAGATTAACAAAAAGGGGTCCACTGCCCCAGTATGTTCTTTCTTCATTGACAAGTGCATTGTTTTGTAGCAGAATTGAAGATAAACTGTTTGAAAAATATATATATATACTAGTATGTGATTTTTTGTCTAAAAAAAAATAGAAGCAATCATCTAACAGATTAAGATAATATCCTCTTCCTATCTGTAGTGGTTTGTTTGCTGGTAAGATAACAATCCCCAACCATCCAGACTGTATACCCTCTACCAGGGCCACAGATTGACTTTTCACAGGATATTCACAGATATGTCTTTAGATGAATAGATGGTCAATTTACTATCTGTGACCCTGTGATGAGATATCTAGGTTGATTACATGGCTGGTAATTGTTTGCATAACTGCTCAGGCACTGCCACTTAAGAGACCCAAGTCATTTTCCCTTGACAGCAATCAAGACAGTTAATTGCTCTGAATTTAATCACTTACTCTTTTGTGACAGATAAAGTAGCCCCTTCTGAAAAGCTTGTTACTACAGATTGAAGTTAACTGAGGAATCTCCTGTAGTAGCTCCCTATACAGTGGGTACAATGCCCTCTGCGCGCATGCAGATTTTTAAAATTGCTTCTATCTGGCCAAAAATTACAAGGTGGATAGAGGGTATAGACTGTACATGATTACGATAATAATTTTACTTATACACTTTTATAGTGTGTTATGTTCTGCATAACTTCTAATCAAAGGCATCAAACACATCATGAACCTGTGTGATTTTTGATCAAGTGTAATACATAAATTGTTATTTAACTTATTTTCTAGGCCCGTCCACCAAAACCTCTAACAGAGAGTACCCCACCTCCATTCAAACCAAGGACAACTTGGGGCGAAGAAAGCTTGGGAGCACATACAGAAAACCAGCCTCCTCCACGTAAACCATATAGAAGACAGACTTCTGGGGGTAGTGGTGTTCCCATCAGAGATCAGTCTCCTGACACAGGTAACACATTGATTGTTTGTTGTCAAGTATAGATATAAGGCATGGAACTAATGGTGGTAATAATTTTCTGCTTGTATTTGATAAAAACAAATTGTGACCAGGTGTGCATTTTTTAACAGGTTTCTTTGTTTGCTTCTGATTCAATGATTGCAGGCCTACAAGTAGGCTGCCAAATTTTTATTTTGTCGAAATATTAAAAGGATTTGTCAAATAGGTAAAATCCTGTCAGATTATAAACATTGTCACTGATATTTTGATATATTCATGCTGGATCACATTTCCGTGACATTTCTTATTTATTTTTACCTAGGGATTTGTTTTTCTACAAGAGTTGATGTTTTCTCTTCTATTTATCTGCTGAACAACCAGAAACAGCAATGTAAAGATACTGACCATTTTGGTTTGTTTCATAATTTTACTTTCATTAATATTATTAAGATGACAGTTAAATTTTGAGATGCATTTGTAAGTTATTTTATTCTGTAATGAGTCTTATGGTCTTATATGCTGTTATCTTCTAGGTGGAAAGTCTGCCAGTAGTTACAAACAAATATATCTTAGAAACAAGTTAAAATCAAACAGAGACAATGATTCAGGCACAGAAAAAGGTAAACAAGTACACATGAAATTTTTCAGCATTGAGGCTTTTGTGTCGGCTATTACTATCACTTAATCACATATGATGGAAATTTTGAAATGACATGAAACTTAATATTTCAAATGAACTTAGAAGTACAGTGGCATATTTTAAGAAGTTGAGTGGCATATTTCACCAATTTAAATATAAAATTTTATGAAAAATAAATTTTGATGGTGTTTCCCATTATGTAGGTGGTCCTATGTCCTCGGCCACATCATCACCAGCACGTAGTAGGGGGAGCAGTGGGCCAGTGGCAGAAAGCTATCCAGATGACACAGCCATGTTCAACAAACCTTACTTTCCGTCCAATTCATTTGGAGGCAAAGACGTTAAGGATCTGTCTAGCTCTTGGCCAGATGGGAAAAGACTGGACTTCGAAACAAAACCCAACAAGCCGATATTGGACCCAATTTCAGGTAAAATGTGATTCATTTGCTATTTAGTTAATGAACCAGATCATCATTTATCTCTGTGGGCTGTCTCTGATGGCCTTTAATTATTTAGGGGTACAATGAATCTGTATCATAAACAAATTTTGTTTGCGTCAACCAGCAAATATTAGTGATATTGGCCTTTACCCTTCCCAGCATGGCATGTTGTTAATTTTAATTCTAATTTTGATGTATGCTGAGGTCATACTGCAAATATTAAGCATTAGTTAAGAGTGCTCTCTCCTCTCAGCCTACATTTACAAATAACTTTTCATAAATCTACTACACCAATGGCACATATATAGAGAAAGTAGAAGTGCTTATTGTTAGTTGTCATATTCTAATGACTTGTTATTTGGTATGTGTCTCATTAAGCTTGGGTCTACCAGTTGATTATTGAAAGGTCATCTCCATTTGCCATATATAAAGTATTAGTAATGATTTTGTTCGTGGATGTCTATCAGTTGGATAACGAGATGTGAATTCACTTAGAGACTGTACCCAAACTAATGAGGAAATTTGTATCCAACCAGTTATTGTAAACAGAGCACTCCTCTCTGTGTTATCATTACAAATGCAGCTATTAATTTCGCATTTCTTTGAATTATGAGATTATGAGAACCATATATTTTTGTCATTAATTTCACTGTTCCAAACTTGCTCATTGTGTTATTATTGCTATTATTATTCAGCCCCAGAGACACCCAACTTTCCAGACTGGCCTGAACACAACCATCCATTGGAAAGCCTCCCCAGAGACCATTACACCCAAGACAGTAGGAGAGATGGTGAGTACTTTGAACTTGTTGATTAAATCCCATTTCTAAATTGTTATTGGCTTTTGGGAAACTTTGACCGTGGAAATTCTAAGAATCATCTGTCATTGATTCTCTCTTGTCGTTTGCAGTAAGCCTTATTAATGCCGTAAACAGTTTATTATTGCTGGAGCCTAGGCCTCAACAATGCCTGGTTAATTGATTTTTCTTCTTTAACCCTGCATAAGTCCTTGTGCATTAATATTTTCCATGTAAGAGATACGGCAATAAGGGATAAAAGATAGTCTTCATAATGAGTAATGGTATTATTATTTGTTGTATTATGACAGTGACATATTTGCAAACTAAATAAAGGACAAGAACCTACCCATGTTTCATTATCTTGTCATGTCTTTGACATCATGACGATTTATCATGTGAGCTAAATGGGATTGAAAAAACAAGTTGTGTGCAATCATGGCCGGAAACTCATCACTCTTTGGGCCAATCTATTGTGTAAGAGTCACACGATATTGATTTCCATGGGTGTGGAAGCTCAGAAAGAAGCAAAACACACAGTTCAGGTAGAAGTCATTAGATATAAGCTAATTGAATGAATTGATCAATAGGTGTGCACACTGGCATGCGTGAAATGGATTGTGTAACAGGCCGTCTTTTATAATTTTTTTTGACAATTCCATTAATGACACAAAGAGCTGAAAAAAAGATCAAGTGGTGCTCCATTAGCACATGCAGAATAATTGAAGGATAAAATGATCACAAAGACCACACCCACGAAGGTTATGAATTTATGAAAGGTGAAATATTGTCACATTATTCGTATTATTCATCTTCAGTTGATCCATTGGAATCTCCCATCCCATTGAAACCCACCTTAGCTCGCGGATCTGCGTCAAAACGACACAAAGTCCCTCCACTCTCAGATAGAGGCTCTGCGCGGAGAGAAGATGATGAGAAGGACAGTGGGAGGGACAGCCTTGAAAACACCTTGGATGGTGCACCTAATTCTGAAGAAGTAAATGTTTGACATACTATATTTGAAATAATGTTTTCCTTCCCTTCATTGTATGCATGTACAGCAATTGATTTTATTTTTTTGTATATGTTGCATGATGTCATTAATTGACATTGAACACATCCAGTAGAGATTATTATGATCAGTAAATTGATTATTTTAAAAGTGAATTTTTTGACACTGTTATGATGATTATTTATATTTATTTTTAAAAATCATCCACAGCTAAATACGTCACTCCGCAGCATCCGTACAAGTGCCAAAAGAAAGGTGGAAAAGCTGTTTGAGAAACTTGACAGACAAGAACAAAACCAGTTTGGGACTGACCCAGGTCAAGAAAACTCCAATTCTCCCAGTCCCGATTACTTGTTGGAAAGTGGAGTGTTTAGTCCTTTGTCCACTTTAAGTCCACGAGATGAAGCAAGTGAGGTATCAGACAAGGGAAGTCGGAGAACAAGGTGAGGAACATTTTTACAATGTGCCTTTTGATGGTGCATATGGTATATGTCAGGCCTGTAGGCGGTGGAGGGGGGGGGGGGGTGTCAGGAATTCCAAAAAATTCCCTTTTGACTGGAAAAAGGTCAGCTGTGAATCAAAATATAATCTAGGCTCTGTCATTATTTTGAAAAGCTCCACTTTTCCAGAAAAAGACACTTGCTCTCTCTCTTCAAAATCGCTGGCAACAGGCCTGTATATATTTGAGTAAATATTGATTGTTTATGCTATTGTTGATTTTTTATTTTTATTTTTACCTTTTCAGTGATATAAAACTATGTTGATATATAAATTTGGAGAAAATTTTAGAGGAGAAATGTAGACATTTTCTTGACAATTACAGAATTTTAGCTTTGAAAATGGATATGCACAAGAGTTAAAATATATAGTGAGCTGATATTACATCTTGAATCAAGGCCATAATAATTTTTTCTCCATTTTTATCAAATTGTAGCAATAAGAAGTCTGACTCACCCTTTGAAACAAAACCCAGAATAGCCAGGATGAACTCCATGAAAGAAAAGAAAAAGAGCCAAGAAAACCTTTTGGACAATAACAACAGGATGGAAAAAGAGAGTCCCCATTTGGATTATAACCCAAACAGTGGAGTTACCTTTAAAGAGAATCCCAACTCTGATGTAAAAGTAATAGGAAGGGGATATGCTGAGGATGCCACCCCTGGGGATCTTAGAGCAAGTCAGATACACTCAAAGGCCAGGGAAAAAAGGAGATTGGCTAAAGGTAAGCTGTATTTTTATGCAGTTTTAGTTGTAAAAGCTGTTTGTCAGAAGTCTTAACTCTGAGGATTATTTCAGCTGACAAACATGATTTTTACCTTACTGACATATTTATCAAAGGAAATGCTACCTTGCTACCTTGAGAATAGATGCAGCACTGTTTAGGCTGTACTGATATTTTGCAGTATGACAGGTTTTGTCGCCAATGTTGAGTAGTTGTTTTATGGAGAGTGCTACCATCATAGAAATATAATTTTATTAAATAGAATGAAATAATCACGAGGAGCAGTTATTACAGTAATGTTGTAATCTGGCAAATTAATCTACGTAGCAGTCTGTATATGATGTTCGATTTTTTCTGAGTTGTCTATTAATGTGTTGAAGTCTTTTTTGCTGTGGCCATTTCCTTGTATAATTAAGCTTTGGTTAGCAAGTAGCTGATTATTAGGCTGCTTAATACCTGCAAGGCACCTCAAGAACACAGCAAGGTGCATGGGTTTGTCCCTCAGTAAGCAGGAAATTAAATCTGCTGTTCTCATTATCTCTCTTAATACTTACCTGTAATAAGAGCAGAGGTGGATGGGTTTGTAATGAAAATCGTCAGAGATAGCCCAAAGACTTACAACCTAGATTAAAATCAACCAAGATTTTTTGTGAAATTTGGAGGAGAGTGGGGTTAGAAATAATGGCAGACTAGCAAGTGTCATGCAGCAGGGAATAAAATATGACAGAATTTATCCCTGGATACATTTTTCTGGTTGTTTTCTCATAAGTTCTGAAGAATTGCAGTCTTTTGCACAACAGTGCATATTCACCATGCTTTTCATGTTACTGAAAATTGCTTTTTGAGACAACATTCACAATGCAAAGAGTTTCATCCTAATTACTTGAAGGTTTGCCCCACCTAAAAGGATCCTTACATTTTCTTATCTTATATTGATGTTATACAGTGCTGATTTTTAATATCCATTAGTTCAGTCTATCATATACAAAAGTACATCACTGACATTTGGGAGTTTTTACAAAGCTCTGTGTTAATGGGAAAAAAGCTCTGTTAACCCCTTCCCCTTTTCTGTGTCCCCAGGGCCTGTGCTGTCTCCCCTGGGTATGGCATCCATGTATTCCCATGGTGCAGCTGATCCAGAGGAAGAAAAAGCTGCTAATGGAATAGGGGTAGTTGGAAAAGGTAAGTGTAGATAACACTGTGCAGTTTAAGATTTTATGTATATGTTTTATTTATATGTTTTATTATTATTATTATTATTATTATTATTATTATTATTATTATTCATAAGCAATTTGAGATTTGTTACAACCCTTGATTATCACAGAGGATGGCAATATACATGATTTTCTTAAGCAATTAAAATAAATTTTATTTGGAGGATGATTTAGAGTTCTCTGAATCACCTCTTTACATCTGAAGATTGCTAAGGCAGAATTTTGTTTCATCTGGTTTTGAAATTTGGGATCATTTCTGCTGACTATCAAAAATAAGGTAGTAGTTTCGAAGGCATTATGAATCAGTTTGTCAGAATGTGTTGGTCATTTTTAGATAGTGTGAAGAAGCCCAAACACTGAACTAATGAAAGCCAATGTGATTTGGAAGAGACTCATCTAGGCTGATGCATCTATCTTGCTATCTTGATTTTATCCAGTCTGTCACCTTATGGTCCAGTGACCATTTCTACCTGTTTACCACTGAGTTGAAAAATCAATTGGCAAACACATTTGTTGTTGATAGCAGCTGTAATAACCACAGAGACAGGGTTAATATTAACTGAAGATGATTAAATTGGTCAGATAGTTGTTATTGATAAAGCATGGACATTGGTTGTCATGCTGCTTTATGTGAAGCATTAAGGTATTCCATCTAAAGAAAAAAAAGCAAAGAGCATCAAGGTAGCTGATTATAAAGGACTGGTAAGAATTTTATTAAGGCTTCTGTTTATCAAACTGTGTCTATGATGGTTGCTTTAGATAATTAAGTGCAAGTTTTTCTAACCACCAGGCAAATCAGCCAAAAAGCGGCAAGGTGGGGTTCTCACAGAATACACTCATTTTGCCCACAGTTAATCACCTTTGTGACCTTAATTTAACTGTAAAATATTAAAGCTTTCCGTTGCGTTATTGTCGAGATACAGCCACATGAATATTTCACTGCCTCGCGTGGCTCCCGTCTCACTTTTCAGCTGTGTGAGTGGTGTATTTTTCACCGAAGTTTGCTTCACAAATGTGCATCAAGTGATCAACTCATTACTTCGGTCAATACCAAAATTGAAAGATGGATATATAATCTTTATAACGACAGAGATTTATATCATAAATCCGTTGCTATGGTTACAAACTACCGAGGTTATTTGAGGTCACTTGATGACTGCCGCAGATACCCACCCTGTCAATAGCCTTATATCTCCACTAGTAGAGCACCTTAGATAATTTCACTGATATTTACTGAAAATATGGACAAGGGGCCTACCATAAATTAAAACACTGGCGTGGCCTTTTGCCTACAAATTTTGCAACAGCGACGCAAATTCTTCTATTTTCTGGCTACATTATCGTAAAGCATTTTTGCTTCCCACAGTTTCGATTTGCATACAAGGATGTTTAAGTTAATTTCAACGTTAGTTAGGGACTAATTAACTGAAATAGTCTTCTGTAGTTTTTATTTATTGATTCCTGGATAATTAGTATATGCTAAGTTCAAATACGGGGGTTAACATGCATTCGAAACTAAATTCGTGTAGGCGGTCATGACAGTTTCAAGTAGCAGTGGTGGAAGACGTGCGATGAATGCACTGCAGATTTTCCGAATTTCAAGCAGCAGAGCGTATACTTTGTTGTTCTGTAGACCGTTACAAAGACGGAAAGGTTGTGCGATACTCAGGAGATACGACTAAGATGATTGGGGTCACCTCCCGATGCTAAAAGTTACATGCAGTGTGAGAGGCTAATGAGAGGCAGTGTCATCATCAGAGGAAATGGAGAGTGAGCTCGATTCAGTCGTGTGTCCAGCGCATCGTCACATGCTATGGATCCTTTGGGGAGCTGCAAGAACACGTCAACTACTTCTTCGGACCAAGTTATTATTGTAGGACTTTCCTTGCTCGGACCAAGCGGGAGCTTTCATGAACAGTCAGTGTATTCAAATTTTTATCAAGACAAAGCCAAGATATTCAGTTGGTTGGGCCCAGGTAATTAAAAAGTTGACATTCGTCACATCTTTATAATTAATTAACACACCGAATTTACATACAGACGGAAGGTTGATAATGGTATGATATCTGTGTTGTTTGAATTAAATATGCATAGTAATTAGACAAGTGAAGCTAAGTCATCATCTAAATACTGCTATCTCTGACCCTCAGAACCACAGCAAATTTGTTAAATATTACATATAGTGAAAAGAGCTTATGTTTTGTACTGTACATGTCAGCAGTGTAAACTTTTTTGTTTGTAAGAGCAACAAGTTACAGAACCCTCACAACTAAATAATACTGCTTTTGTAGGTCATTGCTTGTGATTAAAAGAGTAACAATCATATCACAATTACATGAATTATATATATATATATATATATATATGAAATAAAGCTTAGTTGTAGCCTAAAATGGGGTTTCATGTTAAATTTTGTTGGTTGAAAATTAAAACCATTCAGTAGATTAAAGAATAAATTTTTGTTGTTATTTTAGCTAGAAGATGTTTGGAGACTGGTCAGAAAGAGCAGCCAGGAATCAGATATATGGCAAAGAAAATAAAGTGATTAATCCAAGCACCCGAAAAAGAAGTTTTGTGAAGAGGATTGACTTACTGCCCAACAGACTGAAATGTATTTTTGATGTTTATCTACTTTGAACAAGTATTTGTATCTACAGTTGAAGGACACCAATGACCTGACAGATAGCTAATGTCAGCCATGATGATCCAAGCAAGTAGCAAGGAGATCCCCCATAAGGAAGGACAGTAATTTATGGGAGCTTCATTAAATGATGAAAACTGACACTTTTCGGTGACTTTTTTTTACAAGGAGCTTTTCAGACATGAATTTTTGCCCCAGAAACGTGGAATTCCGCATTTTTTAATTCAATTCAAGGTGTCCTGGACCTCTGGACGCTTAGGTGTTGAGTCCCATGATAAATGTTCGGAGTTCTTTTTTTATTTATTTATTATTATTTTTTTTTTTGAAACCTAGGATCATGTCTGCTTTTTTCTGTTTCATTTTACTGAAGATATCCGTGAATGCCACCTTTCAATGGGATAAGATCTTACTGAGATATTGATATGGAATATCATATTTTTATTCCTAGGAGCAAAAGATCAGTTTGACTTAAATATTTAGAAGCAGCAATATGTTCCTGGTCCTGAGTAGTGCAAAATAATCCATGAATTACACTGTTACAGAAGTTCAACTTATTTCTTCATTCTTCTCAGGAAGGGGATTCAGTTGGATAATATAGATTTACATTACTTTGATGTTTTTGTAGAATGAAAATCAANTGTATATTTCAGTGGTTTTTTCAGGTGAATGCTTTGATGATATATATGTGGTAACAGGTACACAATATGTGATAAATGATACACAATTTGAAGCACCCTGTACTTTTGTGTTTACAGAGTGGATTAGGAAGTTAATTCAGCTGGCTCTATGTTTATAGAACTGCTTAACGTTGCCGTTGCAAAATCTATAGGATTATGTAGATTTTCCGATTATGGGTTCTGAGACATAATGGGAACTGGGTTATTTGAAATACACATAAACCTGCGACACTTGATTAAAGCAACCAAATTAAATGCAATTTTTAAAAGAATTCATGTTATCAAAGCAAAAGCATTTTCATCATTTTGGTTGCCAGATGTCTTTGTATAAGGTTAGATTCAATTTTTTTTCTTATTATTTAATTGTGTAAGTAAAACATTCCTTCATTAGCAGAATATAAAATTGGTGTTGATATGATATTCCCTTCTTCTTCAGGATCTTGAAAACACAACAAAAGTTCTACTTCACAAGAATGGTGAGAGCAATGGCTTTATTAGGGAGGATTGTGAGAAAGCTCTGGCAAACATGATTGCTGAGGTGACTCCACAGAGGGCATTAGTAGCTATCATTCAGGGAGGTGGACAGTAAGTAGACAGATATTTATTGTTTACATATCTTAATTTCATGTTATCTAGATTATTTAAGATCTGCTTTGGTTCTCAATAACTCATGATGGACGATTTAATCATACCAATGCCCAAAATGAACTTCTGCCTTATTTAGTATTTATGAACACTGTTGTTATGTTGAATAATTTAAAATTAGAAATAAGGGATGGGAAATATAAACATTGATCTGGAAATGGTTGCAGCGTAGGGCTAAAGCGCTGTGTTTCATAAATTTTTCACTCAGTTAATGTTAAGCAATGTTACTAAACTTAGAATCATTTAATGGTTCATGTAAATATGGAGCAAGAATATCTACTTGTTTATTAATTATAGTGATGATTGAAATAAAATAACTTTCAGACACAAGAATGCAACTGTAAGAAGAATCACCTCCCAGCTTTTAGTGGGTTTAGTTGAGCGTATGGGACCTGGCAGAATTCTCAGTGGGGTTAAAGATACCACAGACAGAGTATTGCCATTGCTGGCCCAGTTTGCCACTGATGGCTCTCCAGAGACGAGGTAAAAATCATTTTAAGACTTGCAAATTTGCACATGCAGAGACTTTTAAGAACATTTTTCTTAAGAGTGAATTGGTATGGTCATCCAGGCTGAACAGTAGTTTCATCATTTTAACATATTTTTCATTTTTCTCTTGCTATTGTTTACCAGCTGTTCAAAGCCTAATTATTTCTTTACAATTCTAGGTACAATGCCCGCAAGATCCTCTACATGCTGATGTCCCACCAGGACTTTGACAAGTGTCTCACCAAATATCTTCCACAGAATACACTGAGAAATATACAGGAGGTTGTTGACAACGTGAGACAGAAGGTAAAGGTCATTACATCAATTTCGGGGAGTTTTAAAATAAAGGTTAATGAAATTTATATCATTGTTTTTAATTTGATATCTCAATGTTTCTCTGTTGCTATATATATATTTTTAAACAATATTTTAGGGCCCTGGTGATGATCCAAGTGACACCCCTACAGCTCGATCCAGGAGGTCAGGTCAAGGGTCAAGGTCACGTGGAAATTCTGCTGGAAGGTAAAGTTGATTTGTCAAGGAAAAAAACAAAGTTTATTCTGTTTAAAGTCATTGTTATTTTAAGGGTGCATCTTCTTAGGGGTTAACAAATTCCATGTGAACACACTCTTTGTAAGCATTACTCTCTATCTGATTGGTGTTAGACTGACAAAGTGTACAGTCCATTCTAATATGATACTCCCAATTTTAAATCTTCATTTTGCCTTTTCTTGTTACAGTAGTATGGTTGATGGCTCCCAAGGTTCTCCCTCCCTACCGTCCAGTTCCTCGAGCAAAAAGCGAGGTCACAGGGTACACATGGATGAACAGACTCAGGAAGAGATAAAAGAGATGAACAATATGCTGGGAGCTAGCGACTGGAAGCAGAGGCACGAAGGGCTGACAAGGCTGACAGAAATGTGTGAGCAAAACCCAGAAGTTGTAGGGGCAAATATCACAAAAGTAAGCATGGATATTAGTTAAGTTTTAGATTATGCTGTAGGATTAATAACTTCTGGTGTCTATCATAGTAACATTGAGATGTGTTATATATTATTAAAAAAATAGGATATACAACTATAATGTTAAAGCAGCATCCATTACTAGTTTTCTCATGAGTAAAAAACTTTAATCAAAAGATAACTTGAAATCAAAACATTTTTTATTTAGATCAGATGACTGAAAGCCTCCAAATAATGCATTGTTCTATTTCCAAAGACTTAACCACCATAATTTTTTGTCGTATTTCCATTTCAGATTTTTGATAAATTTGTTTCAAGACTGAATGACTCCAACAGTAAAGTGAACCTGTTTGCATTACAAGTGTTGCTTCAGATCACACCCCTCCTTAAGGATTATATGGGCTCCTGTATCAATATGGTAATCCAAACAGTGTCCAACAATCTATCTTCCAAGAACAAAGATATCTATAGCACTGCAATGGATATATTGGATTGCTTTATGGAACATCTAGGTATGTTTGTCTCTTTCGGTCTAATTTAGAAGTGCTTGGTAGAAATTAAAAAAAGGTAATATTCAGAGCAGATAAAACCACATATGATTGAATTTTATGATGTTGTCATATCATATTGCAATTTTCACTTAATATTTAAAAGCAGTTCATTTGCATATTAAAAGACTGTATTGTTATTGATTTAATTATTTTTTTGTGTAGTAGAACATCATTAATAGACGACTCGAATGCTGATTGGCATCATTTTTCTTTTAGATGAAGCTATTCTTCTCCAGCCATTTGCAAACCAAGCCCAAGCTGGCAATGTGAGAGTGAAGCCAGACATGATAGAGAAAGTGGCATGTAAGTGATGAAAAGTTTGAAAGTCTATGTGAAATATTTTTTAACATATTGATATTACATAATCAAGCAGTATAATCAAATGTGTTTCCACAGAATGTATTTACAAAGAAGAAATGACATATGAAGAATTTTTAATGCCAAGTTGTACTGTTAAGCTTCTTAGACTATCATCTTCAATTTGGTGTCTTATTGCATTCTATTATGGAATTTTTGTGAGTCATATAATTAATAATGTATAAAAATGTTTAAAAGTTTAAATTTCTATTTTTTTTATATGCAGACTTGGTCACCAAAGTATATCCACGCAAGCAGAAACCAGTGATGCTCCATGTTCTGCCACTATTATGGCACCTTCTTGGTGCCCAGGCCAGCAGTGGCTCTGTACAGGGTGGGACAGGCAATACACAAACTGCCACGGCACGCCTGGTCTCCAGTCTGTACCAGCAGATGGGACAAAGCTTACTGGATCAGGCTAGCAGTCATCTAGCACCCAGGCACATGCAGACTCTACAGGATATGATCCAGAATCAGCAACAGTGATTTATTTGTAGCCTGAAGCCTGTTTAGGTGGTGTTGGCTCCATGATGTGATATGGTGTTTTGTTTGAAACAGAAGCAAATACCTTGAATTGCAGAGAAAAAGATTGCATAATATGCATAGAGATCTCACTGAATTAGTCTCATCTCTGATACTGTTTGCTGGAGAAGGCTACAAGGATGTACTGGTTTCAGGGCTTTTCCCTGTCCTTAAGAAGGGGCAATACTGTACTTAAAACTGATGCCGTCCACACCTTTGCTTTCAGGACTTTTGTCAAACATGCCTAAGTCTTAAACCCCTTTTACACTGGACAGCGACCTTGCTGCGTCCTTTGTGTGACCATAAAACTGGCATTGCTGTGGTCGTAGGAGGCACAAGCATTGCTTTGGTTGCAGCATGAAAGCTCAGTGATTGGCCAGTTGTCAACACGTGAAGTATTATTTTTTTACTCTCAAATCGGGCCGTACTAAGGAATGCAGAAAGGACGCCGTCCAGTGTAAAGGGGGCTTTAATAGTTATGTCAACATTCTTTCATTGTGATATTCATACATATCTTTATAACAGAACTGCTTGTCCATGTGAATGTGTGAACAATTATTTACAGTAAATATTGATTGCTCAATTTTATCATTATTATAGTTTTACTATAATTATTGTGGCATGCATTGCCTGTTGCACTGTTGTAGCATGTCCAGTTTTCAGAAGGACATTCGTTATTATTGCATTTTACTTAGATATGCCTTACTGAGTTTTTAAGTCTGCTACACTATGTGCCACAGTATTGGAAATGAACATTTGGCTTCTCTTTTGTTATTTGGGATAACCAAAGAGATGTCATGCACGAACTGAAGTCAGAATTATTTGTTATTCCGTCCAGTTATTACAAAACAATTTGTTGATGGGAGATTTTTATATGTGTGAATGTGGTAGAGCGAACTGTGTTTATATATAAATAAATATATGTATATGTGTATGTACAAATAATGAATATACGGATATGATATACATTGCAAGTTATTATTTTTGCACTACTTACTCAAGCTTTGTCTTAGCTTGTCCCATGCATTCCTTGTTTAATTAACTACATATAATTATCATTTCTATTTTATTTTTGAAAAAAAAAAAGTATTAGTGTATGCTTTTGATTTGAATTACAAAAATATTCTAAGCCTTTTTTATTTTAAAGAACAATGGAATGGAGTGTTCATTAATAATTATGTTTTATTGTTTCAATCGAGTTCTTTGAACCAGGAAACCTTTAAGTTATAACACTTAGGTTATGATGCCCAATTCCTTGTGTTATAGTTTAATGCCAAAAGCAAATTGCCTAGTTCCCAACATTTGACCTATAGTCAACAGTCACTAGCCATTATACATATGCCATTAACTTCATTTGCATTTGGAGTTTATATATCCAATCCTATATTAAAATTAGTGCAAAGAAAAACAATGCCAGGTATAATGTTTTCATTAGAAATTTACCCCTGGAGAAGCTTTGTAATGTAGGATATGTTGATGCTCCTCTTAGTAGTTGTATTTCATGGTGTGTATTGTATGAATTTTATTCACAAAGGTTCATTAAAATGCTATTATATACAACAACTGATTTGTTTTTGTTTTGATTTTATTTTAACATAAAAATACTCAGTAACTGTGAAGACAAAAGATGTCAGGCAATTTTGCTTTTTGACCCCAAGGAAGCTCTTGTGTAAATGACTATATAACAACTCCCACAACTTTCCTCATGAAACAATATCTCCAACAGTAAAAATTCACATATAAGCCAGGATAAAAAAGCTTTACAACTACTGTGCATCAATGTCCCTTAATCAGTTTATGAAAAGCCTAGCCATCTGTTCAATTTGTTGTTCATTCTTTCCCACCACGTGCCGTTCTCCTCGAAATCATCATGAAAATCTTGTTCATTTCCAATACCATCACTGTCAATTATAAAATAACGGTCTATGTAGCCTCTACACATTGGACATCTCCTTATTAGTCTGAGGCACTCGCCACACAAACAAGCATGGCGACAAGGCAAAAGAACTCTACTGATTGGTGCATTCTGACACACGGTGCAGTCATTTTTTGAATCCACATCCTCATCGTCATAATTTGAGTCCCTACCCTCCACTGAAGTAGATGTAGTCTCACTGAGTGGAGCATCTGTTGTGTTTGATTGAGAATGTTGCCTTTCACTCTGTTTTGCCATGAAGAGAGACTGAAAACAAGACAAATGGAAAGAAAATCAATACAATAAATTATCTACAGTTAATACTTCGGCAGATCAAAACGGCTGGCAATGTAAGGCAATTTGAGGTCATGATGTGCAGATATTGTTTAAACTGGCTAATACTTAGCTGACTCATAACATGTGCAAAACTCCTTTCAGTTAGAAAAACAAAATAACTGAATTCATTTCAGGACAACCACCTTAGTTTCAGACAAATTATATATTTACTAATTGTCACCAGCTAATGTACATGTCAACACAGAATGTCCATTAGCAAGTAAGCATGTTCATATATCCAAATGTGATTTTCAAATTAAAGGTACATACGAACCGAGCATCGGTGGAGCGCGGATTCCCAGTAACACATGTAAACCACTTCTTTTAGTTTCTTCTACCACTCTAATAAATTCGACATGCCAAGGGATAAACTGAATAGATCACCCGATCAACCATAAAAGAGCTTTAGAGTGCTCCTTTCTTTAAATTTTTGGTTGTCAATTTAACCTACTTTCGTGACCTACTTTTCTGCCCCATTGACATACAGCATAGATTGCTAGCAGAAAAATCTGTTCAAACATCACTTTCGGGTAAAATTAAACAATGCCTTTTGGTAATTCTCTTAGTTATGCTACTTGAAACTATATGCTGGCATTTTACTGGGCATAACATCCACCCACATCCTGCCACAAGAGGCCTTATCCATCATTCAGTGATTCTTCACCTGTATTAGTCAGAAAAAAAATTATGGCAAACCAGGCCATCCTCTTTGTTACAGTACAAACCTCCCACACAGGTGAACTTTGATGCATGGGTATCCACAAGATACTATATGCCATCATAATGTGTAAAAACAATATCAACTTTATTTAAAAAAAAAACACTAAACATCCATTAGTTGGTAAACTTGGCACAGATATGATGCAAAGCAGTTATTTATTACCTTTCAGAAAATTGATCATTTTTCATTGTTTTACTTTAATATTTGTTCATCTTTTTAAAGAACCATTATCTTTAAAAGTTAATTATATAAAAATGCTCGTATGAAAATATTCTGTCAATATCTCATGCTTGTCATCAATAAAATGAAAAATAAAAGCATTTCCTATTTTTGACCATTTAAGCCCTTGGTTGGAATAGGCTACCTACAAATGTTTGGTTAGGTTGTGTTTCAGTAATGATTATCATGGAGCATAGCATACCTTTAAGGGAAAAATATGTCCAGAGGCAGCTTTGATGTACTGTGCCATGATATGTGAAGGATTTTCACAAAATTTATCCTGGATGTGAACAATGGTCACCAATCCAATCTTGAAAATAAACAAATTAACATTTATATATATCCATCTTCGCTGATACTATTCCATTTTTTACGTTTATAAATCGTAAAACAAAGGAAGTTCAGCTTAAAATACACTTGAACAACTCCAGAAAATCACTTACACATGTAACTATTCAATCCTATGAATTACTAGACTATGTATACCTTCTTCAATAACACAAGTACCAATACCGTAAGGCCATAACTGTAAAAACAGAATAATGACGGATTCATAAAAATTGAAAAAAATCTCACTTACAATCTGATTCTGGTCCTCACTGTCTAATATGTGCAAGTTGTCTGGGTCTATGACAGTGATGATGACCAGTGGATAAAGTGACCTTGGAGATTCTCCAAGCTTCTCTTCCAACACACTTGATGTAGATGTAAAAGTTATTGTCTCGTCCCTGTTGCCCCTTTCATCTTGAGAGATACTGCACAGTTAATAAGGAATATAATTTTCATTATAAAAACTCCTCTACACTGTTCGATCCATGACGAAGGTGTCATGAACTAGGTCCCTCATTGTTTAAGCTCAAATCTAATTTTTATCTTCTGAGGCCTTTTTGCTTAAAAGCATAATTTAAAAATCAACCAGGTATTTAACATTTTCAGAAGTATTTAAAAGGATACTGCTTTACATGACAAGATTCTATACAGCTGCTTGTGAAAGCTGCATCCTGAGAATGCATCTTCTGAATAAACTGTCTCCCATCCATTTTGTACAGCAAATCAAATAATTGTTTGATATTCATTCCCCAATAACCCTTTACTGAACAATTCAGAGTGCAGTTAAACTTCAACTCCACAAAATCTGGAAATAAAAAGAAAAAGAAATCATATTCTGTTTATCTTCCAATATAATCAAATCTTAATTACTCATTATTACTTTTTAAGTTAAATTCTATTTTTCTTTAACAAAATAATACTTTGAAGAAAACTTTTCCCTTACATTCTAATATTTAATAAATCAAGATATTCCAATAGTAATACAGTCATGTTCACTACATAGTTTAAATACAAATGCCTGAAATGTGAGGGTGTGGAGCTAACAGACTTACAGTCATGATTTTGCTGGCCTGCATGTTCTAGTTCTACAACAAATGGATTATGGTTCCCAATCATTGACTGTTCAGGAGCAACAAATATGTCTGATATGCTAGATGATCCTGCTTCCAAAATGTCTGGGAACTGGTGACTGAAAGAAACATTACATTTGTTTTATGTTTTCTTTTTCAGATAAATCAAACATTTGCCTCATTAGAGGAATGTCTAAAATTTGTTTTTTATAGAATGTGTCATTTCAAAAATAAATAAATAACATTTACGTATTTGAACATCCAAGTTTTATGGAATGTGTTTGTAAATGTCTTTGTGATAAATAATCAACTGACAATTTATAAAACAGTAAAGAAACGTATCAAACGCACGGGAACGTTGTGCAGACTTGATATATTACTATATTGATAAAGTCAAACTGAAAAGTGAATGCACTATATTCTACATTGTACATAAAGTCATGTGACGTGGGGGCCGTAGCGATAGTCCGAAGGTTCACTGGTCCGAATGTTCACTATAGAACCTTCGGAGCAATGAACCCTTGATTAAAAAATCGATGAAAATGTTACAACTTTTCGGACCAATGAACCTTCGGACCAATGAACCTTCGGACTATCGAGACGCCCCCGTGACGTGTTATGTTGACAAAAGGGAGTACTGATGATAATAGCTAGTTGTGTCCCCACAGTACGTATCAGATTTTCATATTGCATCCTGCTTCGGAACTGGCCAAACTACTGCTTTGGGAACTGCACCTGTGTCGAAATCACTTGACCATTGTTTTGGACACGTTTTAAGAAAAGTTGAAAGTAAAAGCTTATAAAAATCAGAGATTGTTTATAGGTGTGCTAACGCATGAATTTCCGTGCTAAAGATTGACATACCGAAACAACAAAACGACTATGACAGCAGTGCAGGCCAACACAGTCACCACAGCGGTATATGTCAGATCGGCATTCATAGATTGCGAAAATGTGTCTTCTTCCATGTTTAAAAGCAGAATGCTCGGATCATACAAACTGGCCATGTCTAAAACTACTAGTAGTAGTTGTCATCTGTTTCTTTTTTTTCGCCATCACTCATGTTTACTTCTTTACTTTCCATACTCCTTAATGAAAGAGCTCAAATGCACAGGGAGCAAAATTAGTTGGAGAATAATTAAGATGGATTTATTCTTATAACTTAGTAAATACAATTTACCTTTTAAATACAATTTACCTTTGAATAAAAATAATGAAATATCTGTATGTCCATTACAAGTATGAAACTCAATGTGTCGTATTCATATGAGCACTATGAATTGCTGAAAAACCCCAAGCACCTGTTCTATTTTCCCAAAACAAAACTGACGTCACGCAAACAAATGGCAGCCAGCAGTAGCACAGGAAGCAGTATAGCACCCAATATTTTTCAACTTTCATCCTCTTTTGAAGACACAGAAGGTGGGATCAGTGTTGCAGTTGAAAGATGTCCTCTATGTAGAAATTCAAGACGCCCATTTACTTGTCAACGCTGTCTGAGAGACGGGAACTTTGCACATTCCAAATGCGAAAATCCAGATAATCGTGATAAGTAAGGATTACACTTGTATATGAGTATATGATAAGCTACTGCTGGCTACCATTATATATGATATATTATATAGTATGCTCCATGAAAAACTTGATTTTACCATTACCTCCTTCATATATATTTTTTCAAACCCATGAGGCATTTTATTTATACTAAAATGCAATAATAAGTTTCATTTTAACTGTTTTAGGTTTTCAGTGAAGTTAAGAAAATGGCATGCGCTGAAGAAGGAACGATCAAAAGTTCTTGCAAGGTACATCTTAACACATGTTGTATGTTATTGCTGAGTCATAAGTTACGATGTAGCCTCTGTCGTGCTTCGTTTTGCAGAACATGCGGTGGTGTTTCTGCATGTCAGTTTTTGTACTTTACCCCAATATTTTAACTAAATGTCCTTTGACAGACATGTTTAATTAATATACAGTATATGCTGCAATAGATGTCACTTGATGGTTACTTGTGCAGAATGCCCCAAACTTATACATACATATAATTCAATTTATGTATTCAATTAGATTAGTTTTGCAATTAAAGCACTGTAGTGAGCTCAGCTCTCATTATATTTGAACGGGCTTGAAGTTTCTTGTAAATACATTAAACAAAATTAGAATTAAGTAAATTGCAAAATTGATATATTTGAAAATGAAAACATTGATCAACATCACTACATGACTGATTTTAGAAAAATAGAATTTTAGATTTGTAAATGGGATACAGTAGGTGTGAAGGGCATTCTGCCTAAGAAGCATTTGATATGTAGTACAAATCTATTTTATAATTTTCTTGTCAAAAATTTTTGGAATCAAAAATTGTATATGCATTGATTTATTTAAATAATTTTTTCAGGGTAGAATCAGCTGTGCAAAAGCATCTTGACATCGATGCTAAGGTGAGTCCTAGAAAAGTAATTTTTCTAGTATTGCATAAGGGTTTTACTTAAAATTATGTACTTATTGCTTACTTAAATATTTCTCTAATGAGAATTTGTTTGTATTATATACAACATATTTATCAACATATATATTGACTTTTTTATTTGTCAGCGGCATTTAGTGCGAATTATTAGTGCAATTAACTCCAGTTAAACATATTTTTGCCTGGTCTTTGATAGTTTTTCCTGGGTGTCCTATGTAAAGATCACATTTGCTATCCAGCTTGTCTGCAAAACTAAGATTTGTTGTTGAATCTTGTTTCTTCTATCTAAGTTCTTTGCCATCTTAACCCATTGAATTTATTATTTATTATTATTTATGTATTATTATTATTTTTGGACAACAAATAATACAGTTTCCATGTTGTAAACATGGCATGTTCAAGTTATATAATATCAATACTACTAAAGAAAAACTTGTTTGTTTTGAAATAATCCCTACTCCATGCATTTTACTTTCTTTTTATCTTTTATTCACCAAGAAAACTGAGATACAACTCTACACCAAAAAGCTGAATTTACTGCAGAAAGCTATTGAAGAAGTCAAAAGCAAAGAAGCAAGAGGTGAAAAAGCTTTCTGTCACATTGCATTACCTCAACTTGAATGGTAGCGACACAATTGAAAAGCAAACTACCTTAAAATTATATTCTTTACTGTAAAAGCACTAAAATCTACATAAAAATGTTTTTTGGATGATTCCAAAATTATGTAATTGATAATTTTTCCTGGTTGAAATGATGGAGCCATTACCATATGATGCCTTTAGAAAGAAGGGGATAAAAAGAAAAAAAAGTGGTAAATTCAAAGTTATTAAATAAAAGAAGCTCTTCCTTTAATAACAAATGATTTTACCACAATACCACAATGATTTTTCTACCACAAGAGGACACCTTTTATTTTGTATCCTAGAAGCATCAGTATTTCTTACCATTGTCAGAATAGACCATAAAAGTCTTCATAATATCACAGTTTGCAGTTTTTTAAAATGTTTTTTCTTCAGATCAAGACAACTTAAAAGCCATCAAAAAGAACAATGCTTATAAAAACTCTAAAGTTAAGAAGCAACAAGAAAAACTCAAAAGAATACTTAAATACATGGAAGATGGCCAAAATAAAATGGAGACAAGAGAGGGTTTTTTAATAGAGAGTGAAGATGAATTGAGTAAAATAAGAAGACAGAGGATTGACGAACTTGGAACTTTCATCTTCTCCATCAAGGAGATAGAACCAAAAAGGTGTGAAGCTAAACTACTAATATTTTTACATGCCAATGTTATTTTTCGGTACAATTTTAGCTGGTTTGAATTACACGTAAAAATAATTTGTAAAATAATTGATTACAAGAATGTTACTGAATAGTAGTTAAACTTGTGAATTACAAAAATAGATTACACAGGCACTCATTTTTGTTGTGCCAGAGTTTAGATAAAATTATCAATGCAATTCCTTTGTAATGCTCAATTTCATGCCAGCAGTGAGGTAGACAGTATGCAGTTGAGTACAGTGAGTGCACTAGCAGAGGCCAGGAGGACGGCTTATGTACGAGGGAAGTGGATATACACTGACAATGGAGGGGAGTTACAGTATCAGGTGGTGGATCCTAAATTGCCTGGCCATGGAGACTACTCGGCATACTGTGCGTGGAGTGAGTATTACTTTTACTGTGATATGGTATAGGTTAGGAATTTTAATTCCTATTAAAATGAAATATTTACAACTATTTACAACTATGAAAATGAGTAGCCAAAAGTCAGATGTGCATAACAGTCGTAGCTTAGTACTTTTGACTGGTGATTTTTATTTCATGATTTATGTTGTAAATTGTGTCACAAAGATAAATTCATAGTTTGCGTTATAAATTGTTTGCCGCAAAAATATTTTTATTATTTTTGGGAGAGGTTTTCCTCACTTTATATTATTATACGTGTTAAAACAAAATTTCTCAAGCCTTGAGGGCTTTCAGATTATTATTGAAAATTTAAGTTCAAGATGTATTGACACTCTGCCAAATAGAGTCTGATACAGATGTAAAGAAAATTAGTACTGCTTTCAAAAATTTCAAAACTGCTTTTCAGCAAAAACTATTGGAATGATAGAAATAATGAAAATAAATAAAAATGATATAATATAGAATTACCTTTTTCCAGTTTCTCAAGCTGATAAGAAGCACAGTGCTGAGGGAGAGCTAGGTCATCTTAACCCAGCCTATACTCTGTGTGCTGCCCTGGGTTATACCACACAGATTACACAGGTGCTGGCCTTTATACTGGATGTGAACCTGCCTAAAAGACTCTGTTATAGGTAAAGTATTATGAAGTATGAAATTTGTTAAACACCTTGCTGAAAATTCATATAGTTAAAGCCAACAGGAATAGAAGATTATATACTTTATTGAAAGCTGATCAATTTCACAAATTCTTTGTTAAATGTAGCCTAAGGATACTACCCTTTAGAAGAAACTGGTTTTAAAAAGCATTGCACTGATCATTATTCAGGCAAATTACATCCGTTTGCAATCGGATTTTGTGTCGATCCATTTTAATGAAGAAAATCATGTGAACAATTCAAACTAGCCTTCCTAAATGCATGAAATGTAGGGATCATAGAAGGATCAACTTTTCACAGATATCTGCTCTAATGTTTCAGTGAATTCTTTGGCTGTGATTTAACAGAGAAGCAGTTCAATAGTGCTGTGAACAGACTGAACCACCAGGTGCTCCATCTTTGTTTCACACAGAACGTTTCTCCAGAGAAACTGCACCCTAGGCAAACCATACACAACATGCTGCTGCTACTGAAATCTGCTCATTTAGGGAGGTTAGTTGCATGATGTTAAATGAGTCACTTGCTGAATCAATTTTCTTTCCGTTTTAGCTGTGGATTCTTCACATGCAATATTGTTATTGACTTTGTACCCTTGACGTACAAAAATTTGATGTGAAATTTCAAATTTTTTTAGAAGAATGAATTTTATCTTTGTATGCAATCTGGATGCTGTTACTGCTGTTGTAAGAAGTATTTTTTCTGTTGATTTGATTTTGCTAGAAAGAGGGGGCTGGGGGATTGAATTATTTATTCCTTATTCATTTGCCAAACTTGTATGCTAAGAACACAATTCAGCTTTAAACATATTAAAATTAGCTTAATTATAATTTGCTTTCAGAAGTGGCATGTTTCAAGTGAGCCCTGATCTCATGCAGTCCATAGAAGAGGAATGTAGTCAGTCGGACAGTGAAGAAGAAGAGGAAGACAACTCCAATATTCTCCCAGGATTTACACTCCAGGACATCCCAGAAGACTGGGAGGCCGTACCTACTTGTATTCCAGAAATTCCTGTCCCTTTCCGAGATTCTGACACCAAGATGACTCAGGCACAGAGTCGGACTCGGGAAGCAGGGACTGCCTCGACATTGACCACCAGCGCAGTGACTGGCAGCCTAATGTCTGCTGCTGCTTCTCTCTCATCTTTCTGGCCATGGAGGACTGCAGATACAAGTAGATATGAAAGTAAAGATGGAAAATGAAGGGCCTGTTACTAGAAAGGCTAGCAGTTTTTTTTCTGTAGCTTTTGCCATTTTATTGGTCATAGAAGAGTGCAAGTATGAATAAATATTAAAATAAACATGGGAATAGAAACAGTGCTCATACATTGAATTCCAGTACAAGAAATGCACTGTCTCAGCAACTGATGTCTGAGAGACAAAACTAAAGCCAGCAAGCAAAATGTTGCACCCATTTCCATTATGTAAGGTTTTTTAAAAATTTCAGTTAGAAAACTGAAGCAATTAACTCACACATGTGCAACATTAAGATACTGGCAGTTTATTTTATCAGTTTAAAACTTGTGATAAAAGAGAATGCCTGCTCCAAGTCAGTGGGTTTTAAAATCTTAAAACGGTAATTTGCCAATTTTTATTGTGTCAAATTAATGAATAATAACAGTTCAAGTGATCGATTTGAAGTAGTCTTAAAATAATAACATACATTATATGTCAATAACATAATAGTCAGAGATTGACTGAGGTTAAGTATTTCGTTTGTATTTTAGTAAAAATACAATCTAAACATATTCATCAGATATCAAATCATGAAACTAATTTATTTGTTACATATTGTACATTATTTGCATTTTATCATTCGTTAAAATGATTAAGTTGAAGCAGAAGAAAATGACATGACCACCACACAATGACCTTGCATTGTATTTTCACTTAAATCACATCGAATTGATTATGTATACATATGTTAGTACCCATTAAAACATGGTAATGACAAAGTAGTTGAAAAGATCACATTTATCCCAGTTGAATTAACACTTATATTTTATTCATTGTGATTGTCTTTTTATCCCAGTTTGGTCATTTCATATGATTGTGAAGTATCTTGATTCTTTTTAAAAGTAATTTGTTATATGCATATTCCAATGAGCTTTGGTTTAAGACTGACATAAGGAGGTCATTTGGTCTCCAGGCGCTAATACCTCCCCCCCATTTTATTCAAAGAGTAAAAAATAAAACTTGTCTAATTGATCACATCTTGAAGTTTGATTTTGTTAATTTTTAAAATAAGATATGGACCAACTATTTATTGGCTTCCATGGTGACTATGAAAGCACATGCAAGTATTCTTTGCAATAAAAACAAACAAAAAATTCTGCAATTATTTATTCATAATATCAGACCTTTTCACTAACAAGTACTGACTACTTCTAACAGTCAAAGAGTGCAAAGGATACACAGAGTAACCAAATCACACTTTAATACCAAATCAAAATTTTAACAAAAGGGATTTAAGTATTTTTCTATATANTGGAAAATAAAAACACACCATCTGAACCAAATAACTTTTAAGCAATACTTCAGCTGCAACAGCGATTGATAGGGCAAAGGATTTTAACAACAGTATCTTATAAAGAATAAAATATGCTATACTTTGATGAGGTCTGACTTGTACATTTCAGTTCTAAATCTGAACACTGAAAGATAGACATAGGACAGAGAGAGGCAGGCAAAAACACACACACACACACACACACACACACACACACACACACACACACACACACACACACACACACACACACACACACACAGCATTTGATATTAGTTAAACAGCCATTCCAATACAGATTTAAAAACCTACCCTCATCTGAATCTGAGTATGCCCTCTTAGCAGTTGTTCTACCTCCCCTAGTCCTGCTTGTACTGGGACTGTCATGACCAGTGGTTGCAGGACTGTCTCTTCCCGGTCTGGACCTAGATGCTGGTCTGTCCTGGGCTTGTTCTCTGTTCTTGGACCTTGTAGGTCTGGCGTCAGCTGGGCTGTTCCTGGTACTGTTTCTGCGACTTTCACTTTTCACAGAGGTGGGCGTTGATCTACCTGAACCAGTTCCTGGAGAGGATATTCAATTAAAACGTTTCAATTTGGCAAAAAAATTTATGTTCAAATGTGGAAATTGTAGCTACCAACAAAAAGCACTCAAATATGCAAACATACTCTTATTGCCAAAAGAGAATGATGAAACTCTAAAATGCAGCATCAATCTGAGCATTTACACATACCCATCTACAAAATCTGAATTGATGAATGTAATGCTATTAATTAATCAAGCAATTCATCATTGCATTTACATTCATCCAAATGGGTAATTAAACACTGCATACCACAGATTTAAAAAAGTTGATAAAATACTAGTATAACATGCTATTCAATTTAAGTACCAACCTTTTATCCTAATAGCCGATTTCTTTGGCTTAGCAGGCGTTGGCTCTTCCTCCTCTGACTCTTCTTCCTCTTCAGAACTGAACACCAATCAAGATATCGATGTAAAATGATTTAGCATTTCCTTAATTTGATGTGCAGATTTTCACAATTCAAAAACAAAATTGTATTAATATATTTATCCAATAACTAATATAGACTATAACTAAATCAATGCAATTTCTGTACCTTTCTTCTTGGTCCTCCTCTTCATCTTCTTCATCTTCACTCTCATCTTCCTCCTCCTCTTCCTCAGATTCCTCTTCCTCCTCCTCATCACTGGACTGGCTGAAGGTCTTCCTTCTCTTTCGAGGACTCTGCAGCTTCACCTTGGGCCGACAGTCTGGACAATACCAGTCACCTTTGGGAACATCCTACGAAACAGGAGATAAAATGCAAGTATGGTCATATCTATTTCAAATCCATATCTATCACCCTTTTCATATAACAAATAAAAATATTACCTTGAAAAAGGTTGTTGAATAATTATACACTTCCAACTGTATTGTCTGGTTTTATTCCATTTCACAATTAATTAAGATATTTACAAACTGTTCTTCAAAATTAAAGCATAAAAAATAATGAAATCATTCAAATACTTTTACTACAAAAGCTGGCACAATACTCACCTTCATTGGTGGCTTGAGGCAGTACATGTGGTGCCCCCTATCACATCCATCACAGAGCAACATCTTCTCTCCGTCTCCTTTACGTCTGCATATGCGACAGCGAGCATTGAGAGCAGATTTGGACCAGGTGATGCTGCGATCTAGTGTTGCCAGGTATAGGCAGACCTGGGGTAGACTGGTGCAACTCATCAGGGATTCTTCCCACCTTTCCAGGGGAGTCTTCTGCTGCTTGCCTACTTCACTCTTGTCCTCCTCTGAAGAGTAATAGGTGTAATATCTTTTTTCAGCCATTCAAATTTATTCAGGTACTTGTTTATGTTTTGGGAAGAACGTTTATATACCCATGTTTATTAAAAAAAAAAAAAAAAAAAAAAAAAAAAAAAAAAAAAAAAAAAAAAACTCAGAAGCTCAGTGCATTCACCTGCTACAATAAAACTCTGAAGGGTGGTTTATTAAAAACAAAATTGAAACCAAATCTTTTATTCCATTTTATCATGTTTATCAAAAATAACACATAACTATCAAGAAAGAATAACATTAATCTAATTTTATATCTAAAACAGAAAGAAAAACATTTTAACTGTACCGTTATCATCTTCTTTTTCCTCCTCTTTATCTTTTGGATCGTCTTTCACCCTGCTCCTAGTACGTCTGCTCTCTGCAGATTTCTTAGCCACAGCCTCCAGGGCAGCTTTCTGTTTGGCTTTTTTAGAGTCCTCAGCTTCCCCTGTGTGTAGCATTTACCAAATTATTACAGAACTTAGTAAACAAATTTAAAATCTCACAATCTGCATTCGAATAGTGCTTCATCTGTTTAATTTCATTTATTTTAAATTACTCTGATTATCAAGTTCCATTACATAAAGCTTCAGACATAATTCTATTGAAATTAGATGTAATGCATGGATTACATTGGCCATAATTACAGAAATAATACTGTAGAAGATAAGCAATGACACTTCAATCCTTAACAAACATAAACCATGGTTAAACCACATGTTAATATCACAAGTAAAACTCTATACAAAAATAAATGAACATGTCATTTCACACATTCTTACCAAGAGGTGGATTAATAAACTTGGGTTCCACACACTGTTCTATTTGAATTAAAGCTTTGGCAAGGTCTTTCACCACATGACTTGGACTTTCATCATCTGTATCCATTTTTGACCTAAAAAAAGGATTGACTATCTAATTATTTGCATGATATGCTTTAAATTATGAGTTTTAGTTAAAAATGTTGATGTCAATAGAAAACAAAAATTCGTAATAAGCAAAGTCACACTCACTCCTCTGCCTCCCCAGTGTTTTCCACCTTCCCTGCCCATGTCAAATTGTCACACTGGACATCAAAGGTTCCCTGCTCTAGAGCTTCTCTCCAGGCTAGACGATCTTTTACCTACAGGAGACACTTCAGTATTAAAATATTGACCGTTTACTTTTGATCACCTTTAAGATAATCTCCAATATCATGTGTTTGCACACGCGCACACATGCATGCATGCGTGCGTGTCACATCTTTTGAATTTGTTCTGGATGTTGCAGAAAATATAAAAAGTCAGACCTAGAAATTTAAATATTCTTATTTCACATTTTCAAAAGATGAAAATACTTTTTTTTATTATTTTTCTTTTGTTTTCTGCATTAAAGACTTGCCTTCAAAGTGCCTAGACTTCCAGCATAAATCCTTTCCTCTGTATCCAGCAGCAGCTCCCTGAGTTGAAGCTCCAGGAATTCCTGAGCAGAATTATTCTTCACAGCCCCCTGAGTGGTTCGATTCCTGGACTTGATATTGACATACCTCTGATCACTGCTAGATTCTTCGTTTGTATCCTTGATAAGTAAATCCACTGGTGTCTCCTGGACAGATTTCAGAATTTGTGACTTTTGTTCCATGAGTGTTTGCTTCAGAGAGCCTTCCCTGTAGCCCCTGGGGTTGAGGGATTCCAGCAAGTTTTCAATGTCTTCTGGAGAACTGTAGAATGCCCATCTAAATTTACTCTGAGGTATAATCTGTGAGTTGAACCCTTCTTCATAAGGCTTAGAATCAACCCCGACTGATGCCAGGTTTTTCTCTGCTGCATTTTGTGTTTCCTGAGATGAGTGGGCACCTCCAGTTGCCTCAACAGTGCCATCGCCACTGCCATTTTTAATGTTTTCAGAATTGACCGTGTTTGTTCCCAGAGGGTTTTCCATCTTTGCAACTNTGAAAAATAAAAACACACCATCTAAACCAAATAACTTTTAAGCATTACTTCAACAACAAACTAAGATAAAAGTTGTCTGAAGTACAGCTGCAACAAACATTGATAAGGCAAATGATTCTATCTGACAAAGAATAAAATATACTTAGATGAGGGCTGAATTGTACATTTCAGTTCTAAACCTGAACACTGAAAGATAGACATGGGACAGAGAGAGGCAGGCAAACACACACACACAAACACACACACACACACACAGAATTTGATATTAGTTAAACACCCATTCCAATACAGATTTAAAAACCTACCCTCATCTGAATCTGAGTATGCCCTCTTAGTAGTTGTTCTACCTCCCCTAGTCCTGCTTGTACTGGGACTATCATGACCAGTGGTTGCAGGACTGTCCCTTCCCGGTTTGGACCTAGATGCTGGTCGGTCCTGGGCTTGTTCTCTGTTCTTGGACCTTGTAGGTCTGGCGTCAGCTGGGCTGTTCCTGGAACTGTTTCTGCGACTTTCACTTTTCACAGAGGTGGGCGTTGATCTACCTGAACCTGTTCCTGGAGGGGGTATTCATTTAAAATGTTTCAATTTGGAAAAAAAAAAAAAAAAAAAAAAAAAAAAAAAAAAAAAATGATCATTTGACAATTTGTGTTCAAATGTGGAAATTGTAGCTACCAACATCAAGCACTCATATATGCAAACATACACCTATTGCCAAAAGAAAATGAAGAAACTCCACACCACAGATTTAAAAATATTGATAAAATACTAGTTTAACATGCTATTCAATTTAAGTACCAACCTTTTATTCTAATAGCCGATTTCTTTGGCTTAACAGGCGTTGGCTCTTCCTCCTCTGACTCTTCTTCCTCTTCAGAACTGAACACCAATCAAGATATTGATGTAAAATAATTTAGCATTTCCTTAATTTGATGTGCAGATTTTCACAATTCAAAAACAAAATTGGATGAATATATTTATCCAATAACGAATATAGACTATAACTAAATCAATGTAATCTCTGTACCTTTCTTCTTGGTCCTCCTCTTCATCTTCTTCATCTTCACTCTCATCTTCATCCTCCTCTTCCTCAGATTCCTCTTCCTCCTCCTCATCACTGGACTGGCTGAAGGTCTTCCTTCTCTTTCGAGGACTCTGCAGCTTCACCTTGGGCCTACAGTCTGGACAATACCAGTCACCTTTGGGAACATCCTACGAAACAGGAGATAAAATGCAAGTATGGTCAAATCCATTTTAAATCCATATTCATATCTATCACCCTTTTCATATAACAAATAAAAATATTACCTTGAAAAAGGTTGTTGAATAATTATACACTTCCAACTGTATCATCTGGTTTTATTCCGTTTCACAATTAATTAAGATATTTACAAACTTTTATTGCTATTGTAACTAATGAAGTTTTTCTGAACTGTTCTTCAAAATTAAAGCATAAAAAATAATGAAATCATTCAAATACTTTTACTACAAAAGCTGGCACAATACTCACCTTCATTGGTGGCTTGAGGCAGTACATGTGGTGCCCCCTATCACATCCATCACAGAGCAACATTTTCTCTCCGTCTCCTTTACGCCTGCATATGCGACAGCGAGCATTGAGAGCAGATTTGGACCAGGTGATGCTGCGATCTAGTGTTGCCAGGTATAGGCAGACCTGGGGTAGACTGGTGCAACTCATCAGGGATTCTTCCCACCTTTCCAGGGGGGTCTTCTGCTGCTTGCCTACTTCACTCTTGTCCTCCTCTGAAGAGTAATAGGTGTAATATCTTTTTTCAGCCATTCAAATTTATTCAGGTACTTGTTTATGTTTTGGGAAGAACGTTTATATACCCATGTTTATTAAAAAAAAAAAAAAAAAAAAACTCAGAAGCTCAGTGCATTCACCTGCTACAATAAAACTCTGAAGGGTGGTTTATCAAAAACAGAATTGAAACCAAATCTTTTATTCCATTTTATCATGTTTATCAAAAATAACACATAACTATCAAGAAAGAATAACATTAATCTAATTTTATATCTAAAACAGAAAGAAAAACATTTTAACTGTACCGTTATCATCTTCTTTTTCCTCCTCTTTATCTTTTGGATCATCTTTCACCCTGCTCCTAGTGCGTCTGCTCTCTGCAGATTTCTTAGCCACAGCCTCCAGGGCAGCTTTCTGTTTGGCTTTTTTAGAGTCCTCAGCTTCCCCTGTGTGTAGCATTTACTAAATTATTATAGCACGTAGTACACAAATTTAATATCTATCTTGCAATCTGCATGCAAATAGTGCTTCTTCTGTTTAATTTGATTTTTTTAAAAATTACTCTGATTATCAAGCTCCATAAATAAAGCTTCAGACATAATTCTATTAAAATCAGATGTAATGCATGGATAACATTGGCCAAAATTACAGAAATAATACTGTAGAAGATAAGCAATGACACTTCAATCCTTAACAAACATAAAGCATGGTTAAACCACATGTTAATATCACAAGTAAAACTCTATACAAAAATAAATGAACATGTCATTTCACACATTCTTACCAAGAGGTGGATTAATAAACTTGGGTTCCACACACTGTTCTATTTGAATTAAAGCTTTGGCAAGGTCTTTCACCACATGACTTGGACTTTCATCATCTGTATCCATTTTTGACCTAAAAAAAGGATTGACTAATTATTTGCATGATATGCTTTAAATTATGAGTTTTAGTTAAAAATGTTGATGTCATGTAAATATAGAAAACAAAAATTCGTAATAAGCAAAGTCACACTCACTCCTCTGCCTCCCCAATGTTTTCCACCTTCCCTGCCCATGTCAAATTGTCACACTGGACATCAAAGGTCCCCTGCTCTAGAGCTTCTCTCCAGGCTAGACGATCTTTTACCTGCAAGGAGACACTTCAGTATTAAAATATTGACCGTTTACTTTTGATCACCTTTAAGATAATCTCCAATATCATGTGTTTGCATGCGCGCACACATGCATGCATGCGTGTCACATCTTTTGAATTTGATCTGGATATTGCAGAAAATATAAAAAGTCAGACCTAGAAATTTAAATATTCTTATTTCACATTTTCAAAAGATGAAAATACTTTTTATTATTATTTTTCTATGTTTTCTGCATTAAAGACTTGCCTTCAAAGTGCCTAGACTTCCAGCATAAATCCTTTCCTCTGTATCCAGCAGCAGCTCCCTGAGTTGAAGCTCCAGGAATTCCTGAGCAGAATTATTCTTCACAGCCCCCTGAGTGGTTCGATTCCTGGACTTGATATTGACATACCTCTGATCACTGCTAGATTCTTCGTTTGTATCCTTGATAAGTAAATCCACTGGTGTCTCCTGGACAGATTTCAGAATTTGTGACTTTTGTTCCATGAGTGTTTGCTTCAGAGAGCCTTCCCTGTAGCCCCTGGGGTTGAGGGATTCTAGCAAGTTTTCAATGTCTTCTGGAGAACTGTAGAATGCCCATCTAAATTTACTCTGAGGTATAATCTGTGAGTTGAACCCTTCTTCATAAGGCTTAGAATCAACCCCGACTGATGCCAGGTTTTTCTCTGCTGCATTTTGTGTTTCCTGAGATGAGTGGGCACCTCCAGTTGCCTCAACAGTGCCATCGCCACTGCCATTTTTAATGTTTTCAGAATTGACCGTATTTGTTCCCAGAGGGTTTTCCATCTTTGCAACTGAGTCATCGCCAGTCTCCATATTGTTGGCATCGAAGGAATCATTCTCTTTGTCACTTGCAGTGCTCTTTTCTTCAGTAACAGGTTTCACTAGTGGCACCTGACGAGGTAGGTTTTGGCCAAAGAAAGGATTGGATTTGTCACCTGTCTGTGTTACTGGGAGCAGGAGATCATCTGGCACGTAAAGCTCTTCGTCCTCTACAAACAGACCTAGAAAACCAGTGTTTTTAACATATAAATTTACTTTCAAAGTAAACAGCGACAATAAGTGGAAACCAGTATGGTTGTAGAGTAAAGCATAAATGAACAAGCGGATAAAATGCTCATCTTTGATAAATTCATATTTCTCGTGACTTAAAATAATTCAGGCTTTAAAATACACCTTTTCATTCCAAATGGCAAGCCCATGATTAAAGCAGTACTTTCTTCTCACCTGGCACTGATCTGAAGACCCAGAACCTTCTGTAAACACGGTCCCTGCCCAGAGGATACACAGCATTGCCATGCTGTAGTTTCTGAACTAACTCGTGCAATTCTGCCTCTCTCTTCATGAACAACTCTTTAAGTTCTGCTTCTCTTTCTTCTCGTTTTTTTCGCAAAGCTTCACGCTCCTCTGGGGAAAGTTTGGACTCATCTATGTCCTAGTTTATACAAATAAAGGATGTTTAGCAAAAAGAATTGCAGACCTTTTGCAGAAACATGGAATAAATTAAATTGTATTTCTTTTTATTTTACATTCCTTACATAAAAAATAATAAACTTTGATCATAATATTTCATGGTAATCCATTAATGTAGATTATTCTGTAATATATATAGCTCTGTGTGTAAGTGTGCATGCATGTGAAAAATAGTCAATAGTATGAATCAACAAACTTTGTGCCATCCCCCATTTCAAAAATTACCTCTTCATCCTCTTCGACTTCTTCCTCTTCAGTCTGATTTTTGTCTTTGGATGATTTTCCTTTTTTGCCCTTGGCAGGGGTTTTCTTGCCCTTTTTCTCTTGACTCTCGTCTTCCTTCTTGTCCTTGTCATTTTTGGTCTTATCTTCCTCTTCTTTTTCTTCTTCATTCTTTTTTGAAGCATTATCTTCAGCCTCTGGTTGTTCACTGAATTCACAAAAAAAGTTAGAAATAAGTAAGGATATAAATTTAAAAATAAGTTAGAAATATATATACAACTGTACAAGTACTATATACAGTATGCGGAAATTTAAATATTAATCAACCAAAGTTAGAATGTGACCACTTGACATTACTGAACAGTCCTCATAAGTACCTTTAAAATACAAATAATCACTCAGTTGGTATACCTTTGAAATATAAGATTCTCAATTTGTGTGCAGCAATAAACATGAAAATTCATCACTATGACATCTCTTGAAATATGGAAAAAATTCAATTACCCATTTTTTGTTTCATCAGCTTTTAATTTCTCCTCGGCTTCCTTCTTTCTCTGCTCTTTTTTCTGTGCTTCCAATTCCCTCTCTTTGGCTCTTTCTTCGACCCTTTTCTTATATCTATAACAAATCTTGATGCCTTAAAAAACTACAATTTAAAGTCTTGCCATCCATTTACAAATATTAAATCCAAATGTAGGTTCCACAACCTTAAATCAATACTTAACTACCAACCTTGGCAAAAGCAAGAAGGAAATCAAATGCAATGGATTTTAAAACATAAATGAATCTAAGATACATGGAAACTAAAACCTCATAAAGTGTTACTAATCAGCTTAACTAATATGCATCTATAAACATGTCAAAAAAAATTCTAACCTAGCAGCTGCCTCCTCTTTTTCCCTTCTCTGCTCTGCCCACTGATGATGCCTCAGGTCCATTTTTGCCTGTCGTAGTTTTTCAAAATTGTCTTCTATGAAATCTCTGCTTGAAGCATAGGTTAGCAACTGGTGCACCAGAGCAATGATTACCTTCATCTTTTCCCCTACAGAGAAATGAAACCCATGGAGAATAAAATTGCTGGTATATATTCATATCATAAATTGTTCATATAAATTAAAATCTCTTTCATCCCACTGGGAAATCAAGATTTGAAACTGAAATCACACTATTACTTTATTTATTATGATAAAAGTCATTACAATTCTAATTTGTCTAAGTTATTCCTCAGAATCTTGACTCTGTTAACAGACAAGGCAGCACAGAACAATTTCACAGCAATTACCACTTACCAGGTGAGAGATCAAATACATTATAAGTACTGAGTGCTTTTATAATGGCAGATTCCTGCATTTTGAACTCCATGCCAGCATCATCCAGGGATGTATATCCTCCTCTCTGCTGGTAGCGGAACTTGGCATTGCTGGCATTAGCATGGGCACCAGATGATAGAAAATGGAGGCGCAAGATTTCCGTGAGAGTAAGAGAATCAAGTTGTAAATTCCTCAATGGAGTCCCTAAATTAGCAAGTTAAAATACAGTGTTATAAATTTCATATGTAAAATCTACAAATCGTTTTTAATTTGGTTTCAAGTTTCCAAAATTATTATTATTACCCTTAAAAAGTCCATTATATAGATTTTAAGTCAGATTTTTACTATAAAATATAGGTAGTATATAAATAGGAAATAATGAGCACAGCACGTACATGTGTGCATGAATGTTACATTTTACTTTAAGTGTTACTTTCAGACACACAAAGATACGAATTTATCTGTCACATTACCATGATATAGGTGGGGCCACTGAGAGGCCACTGTAGCAGCCTGTATCAGGTCTTTGGTGGACAAGTCAGCAATATCTGTATCCTCATCAATTGTTTCCACTCTTTCAGCTAAAATTACAACATATTCTTACTGATTTCTATTATGTTACAATTCAGCTTACTTATATAATTGAGCAGTCTTAAGGTAACAAAATGACAGGATGGGTAAGTTATATTGTCAGTTGACAATATTTACAGATTGAAAAGTAGCTTCATTAAACAAATAATGGACTTGTAAATATATTTCTTTTTAGCAGAAACAACACTTAAAATAGTCACTGAGTGAACAATCCGTTTCATTCACCCTAAAAAAATGTAGCCGTGATTCTATATCCTTAGGTACAAACTATGTAATATTGATAACATGGTAAACCAAAAAACCAGAAATTTTAACCATACCAGTTAAATTTCCATCCTTTTCCTCTTTCTCTATTTCTTCCTCCTCCTCTTCCTCTTCTTGTTGTAAGTTAAAGATGGAGACCAGTAGAAAGCCAAGTAGATCTGCTAGTGTGCCATCAACATCCTTCTCCAATAGAGCTTTTTCCATCATATCTATGAAAGAAAATATGTAACCATTACTTTACAAGGACACAGCATGTCCTGTAAAGTGAAACATGTTTTAAAATCCAACATGCATGACGTTGTGGCTATTTTAACTTACACGTGACTTTTGTTTGTGTCTGCTAATTAAATACAAGTGTATAGCAACTTTGAGGGTAACAGTTAAGTTTGGGGTACACATTAAATTTTCATAAATGGTTAATACATAGGATAATCTTTATTTAAATACTACAACGTATATACAATCTGAGTGAAAGGAGTCATAAATTTTCACAACAGGGAAAACAGTACAAAATCTGTAAACAAACACATGGCAGATTTTGCTATTGGGATAGGATCAGTACTCACCAGCTGGCAAATACACCTCCCAGTCATGAAGGAAAAAATTATGGTCAACTTACCCATGGAGACACCATGAGGAAATTCATCCTTGATTTCCAGCAGAGGTCCAAAGACATGCAACATTTCCAGCACCATCATCACATCACCAAACAGCTCCTCTGGTATACGAGTTTTCACAGGAGTGGGGTCAGGGAGGACCTGATATCATATATGCACTTATTAAATACAAGTGAAATGCATATTGTGTTGGGTGCTGGCAATATACACAAAGTGAAACCAGATTTTTAAGACTTATCATCTGAACAGTAACTTTCATACATTTTGCAATTTGAAAAGAAATACAATTGCAATATGGATGCTTGTCAATGTTGAAAAATTGACCCATTGAAATATCATTAAATATGCTTTTAAATAGAAAAAATCAAATCTCTGTGCCAATCACTGTCATGTCCTTCACCTTGAGATCATCACACTCCATGTCATCTCTGGGCTTGCTCCATTCCTTCAAATATTCAGCCTTCAGCTTCTTTTCTTCTTTTAACTGGAGATGAAATCACAATCAAACTTTTAAAAGCATGTGTAGGTTGCTCTATATTCTAATTTTAAAAACAAAGTTTTAAATTTTTCAAAAATCCTTTTCATGGCAAAAGAATCAAACATCGTAAATGTAAATAGTTCAAACCAAAAGGAGACACTCAACCTTTTCCCTTTCCTCCCTTCTCCTTTCCTTTTCCTCTTCTAGTTTCTTTCGAAGTTCTTCCTGCTTTTCCTGCTTCTCTGCCAACTTGAGGGCCTTCATGGCCTCTTTTTCTAGTAATAACTTCTGTTTCATGGCCTCTTTTTCTTCTTCTGTTAATTTTTTCGGTTCTTTTTCATCTACAAGTTTTAGATTGTGTATTATTAACTGCCAAATGAATTCTACCATACATATATTCTAAAAAGTTACAAAAGTATGCTTGCTCATCATTATTTCCATCTTTATACTTATATTATCAAGTGTCCAGTAAACTTATAATGTGAATATAATTATAAACAACTGCATTGGAGGGGGTGCAATGTACCTATTTTCTGTTTTTTCTCCTTCTTCTCTTTCTTTTCTTTGTGTTCTTTCTTGGCTTTTTTCAGGAGCAGATCAACATCAGACTTATTCTGTTTGGGTTTTTTCTTCACCTCAGAAGTCTCAAATGTGGGAATGGCACTTGGAAACATGCTTTTGAAGTTCACTTCATCCAAGTGATGCTTCCTAATATATTTCTCCTACAAGTTCATGATAAATTGCAAAATTAACCACACACTGCTATATGCATCCTACCACATGGATGCATATAGCATTTATTTTAGCACAGTTAGCACTGAAAAGCTTTCACACTGGTTTTGCAACAACTATATATAAACTAATTCACTGATTTCTTTAGATTAGCACTTTCCCAGTAAAGGCAAGGAGAGGATAATGCTTTTATATTACAATGTTCTAAAAACTACTCTGAGTTAAGCTAATAACATTCAAATGTTAAAAAATATAAGCAAAAAAATTTTATTTAGATTTACTGTTGCTTTTTAAAATCAAAGTACCTTCACTTTCCATATTCCTTCACTTGCTTCACAGTGACTTTTTAGAAACAGTTTGCTTTTGTCTCTGGTATACAAGCCTTTCTTTCGACTGGAAAAAGGTAAAAACATGTAAAATACTCAAACATAACTTAGCTCACTCCCTTTTCACACACTGACAATTACACCAAAATAGCAAAGGAAATGCATAAAATCCTGTACGACAAACCATACCCACACTATGAAATCTGTGCTTGTATTATTGTGATTTAGAGACATACTCACCAAGAATTCATTCGGTCTAACAAAAAAACTGAAAATATAACAATGATGTTGAGAGTTAAAAACGTAAGAAAGTGAAACAGGACATTGTCTTACTTGACATCTGGTGCATCAGCTATAAATGGGTCCCCTTTCTCTCCTTTGCCTATCTTCTGGACAACGTATCTGTAATTGTCAACATCCTCTTGGTCAGCTGCTTCACTTGTCGATGGGCTACATGGAGAAATGAACAATTACATGGATATTAAAATATGGCTTTGTGTGTGTGTGTGTGTTTGTGTGCGCGCACATGCATGCTTGTGTGTGACTGCTCAGCCTATGCTGATATCTTCTTATAGCTAAATGTAATCAAAGAAAACATAATAAACAGTAAACTGAATCCTGATAATTTGCAAAATCCGTATAGTAATCCTGATAATTTGGAGAAAACATACAGTAATAATTTTCATAAGTTCGATTTATCGTTAATCAAAAGGGGAATACTAAATGCTGTAACAGCAGTCCAGGACATGTCAATATATTGCTATTCAAAGATATTGCCCATAAATGACAAACACTTTGTTTTAAAAGATCTCTGAAGAAGGAGAAGAAGAAGATCATGCTGCCCTGTTACGATTTCACATGGCTTAATCGTATGAAAATAAATAATACATTTTGCATTCAATAATTACTGCTCTTTTTATAGGCAGCTGTCAAGAAAGCAATATCAAGAACAATATTCATTTACCTGGTTCCATTGACATCTCCATTAGGCAAAGGGGTAGGTGGTAAGACCTTAAGTATCTTGCAGGATTTTCTAAAAATAAAATACACTATTCACCACTAACCAAAATGCATTTGGAATACTACTACCCTGTCAAAGGTGCAATGTTTTTTATATACATGAACATGATGATTGGTTTAATTAGATGAAAAAAAGTTTTTCTTTCTTCTGTCACTTTTTCCCTACACTTAAATGTAACAGTGCTATCAAATGGGTCACAATGTAATATCAAATAGTTTGACCAAAGAAAAATTCTGTAAAATCACTGTTTGGTTTGGGCACAAGTCTAGAAAGTTTAACCAAAGAAAAATTCAGTGATATTTTCCCTATGTTTTTTCCAATTTGAGAAACTTTCCACATGGACTTCTCTATGACTAGAAAAAGAAGCAGTTATTTTCGAGGTTTTCTCCGATTTTCAGTGGGGTTTAGAACCCTGAGAGCAAGGTGCTTAAAGGGATAATCCAGACATGCTGAAAACTTTTCAGAATGGCCGGACATTTGGACCGGCATTAATGAAAAATTTGCCATACCGAATGGATTTTTGTCGGACCAAAAATCACCCTATTTGTTTGAGACAGATACTTATAGTATATACCAGTACGATTAGGGTAGCTTACTTTGTTTGTGAATGTGATATGTTTAAAATGGAAGGGAAAAAACGCTTTGGGTTTTATATAATTTTATTAGGGAAGTATGTCGAATGATGACTGTAATTTCATAATTGCTGCTCTTAAAACTCTTGTCGGTCCTTTGAACCGACCAAGTCCAATTTTTTACCGGTCTAGACAAATTTTCCCAGTCATGAACGATCGGACCGACAGTTTCAGCATGTCTGATAATCTACTGAAATGAAGTAAATGTTTTTGATATTGAAAATTCACACTTCTGCTGAATACTTGCTATGGGGAAAACAATTCAAATGGCCACAAGGCATCGTTAATTTACCTTAACGTTGCCAAATCAAAAATGAGCTGACAGTGCAGTATATATGGCACCGCTATTGCACAGGACTGAATGCCCATGGGCTCTGAACAAAATTCAAATTCTCATACAGAACTGTTAAGTCAACAATGTATTATGTAGGTCAACCAGTTATGATTCAAGACACCCAAAATGATGCCACAATGTTCAAAACTTGAGAGATTTAAACAAACTCTTCATAACTGATGACCTGATAGTGACAATCTTTTACAATGCATTTACCTTTCGCCTTCATGTATAACTTCCACCACTTCCCCAACAAAATATCTGTCCTTGGTGAAAACGAATACATCATCATTCATATCATTCAGCCTGCTCCTGTGTGTCTTTGTTGCCAAAAACAAGATGGGTTTGTGAAGATAGAAGGGGAAGGATGACAGGTGCTTTCTTGCACGTTCTTCCGATTCTAAGGCCTCTTGGTACGTCAACCCTGATCGACCCGTAATCGAACATGACCATACCAGGCTGTTGCATAGGATGATTCGTTCAAAAAATTCCCTGGGAAGCGAACAAAGAAATTATGATCAAAATGGCGCAGTTGCTCAAACACCGGTTGCGAGTGTCTTTCACCCACGTGTGGTTTGACCTAATTCGGGTATAATTGACAGCTTCATAACAATACAAAATAAAATATTTTACTTACTCGTAGTCCCTGAATATTTCATTAGTCAGTGGGCAGTAAAAAACTTCTTCGTCTGGCTTAATATCGGATGGAACGGAGTTCTTTTCGAATGGCTGCCTTTTCAGTAAAGGCATCTTGAATTTTGGAGGGAAAACAAAGTTACCTCCTGAATGGCCAAAATTGTGTCAAAATGTCCTAAATATGGTAGTCAAATTATTCCTTATATCTTTCTCTGTCCTTCTACGATATAATCGTCTGCCACTAAACCCGAAACCATGGGGAATTCTCACGGTTCTGGGAGCTCTCTGTGTCGCGACTCGTCACTTCAGAAAGAGGTCAGACTTGGTCGAGACACAAGTTTTGTTACAGAGCACACGCTGCTGTATGGAGTAGGGGGTAAAATAAATGCTGCTAACTTTTGTTTTATAGCGCAGATAACACTCAAAATGCACAGAACGAAAGAACAATGATTGATTGCTTAATACGGTGAGTTATAAGTTTCATAAGATTTTTTTCTAAGCGTTTGGGAATAAAATCCACGGTCATTTCTGAACAGGTGAAAATCTAACTCAAAGAGGCGGTAATCAATGGAGGGTACGTTTGTGATTGGTTGCTTTTTATTGATTGACAGATGTTTATGCAAATCTACACTTATATATACTCAAACGCAAGTAAACATTAGTATTGTTGATTGTGATGGCACCACTAATGCAATCCCTTTTCTTTTGTGTTGCTCAGTAGGACTAATCGAAAAGGAAATGATTTTCCAAGAAAACTTAATTGTTTCAAGTATAGCCGTAGCACCAATAGGCAGGATAGATAACATGAAAAGACTGGAATTGGGACACACTTTATTTTGTACTGCATGCATGCTGTCCTCTTCAAAAATTTTATGTATCCGTTTATTCATTTTTTTAAGAAAGAAATTTACTTAGTTAAAGAGCCACTAGTTAAAAACACTTGTAATTTTGCATTGTTGAATACGAAAATGAAATATCTTTTTATGACATAGAAAGATAAATAAGTTTTAGACATGATCTAAAATAAAAACATGGAATAAATCCAATACCTTTCTTCAAATAAATCTGATAATGCTAATTTTTAAACTGCATATGAACCCGCCAAGATGATTTTGATTGACAAATGACTTATGTCAAGTTAATTAAATTCACTTATTCCTTCAAAACATTATATATATGTAAATCCAAAATTTAAGACCATATTTTCAAGACCATCTATTTGCTCAAAGGGTGGGGTAGGGTGGGGGGGGGGGGATGCCACAATGCAAAATCAATAAATCTACAAAGATTCATTTTTTTAAAGTGTTTTTTTACCGGACACATGTAAAATTACATACATTTTCATAAAATGCAGCTGTATTTCTCTGAAATGTCCTACTTTATAAGTGAACTGAGTCAGTGCCATGTTTAACCGCACCACATTTCTTTGTTCACACTACATTTCGCACAACTGATTCAATCTAAATGAGTGTGCTTACACGTGCGTTCGACTCTATGACCTTTGGGGTCACCCCTGTACACATGTAGGTTTCTCGTACTCTACTGCTCAAATGGTTTGATAGGAGATCGCATCTGCGGAGAGAAGGTGCGCATCATTTAAGGTTTGCACTCTGTATTTCCAGACGTTGTTCGTAAATAATGATTAAATGCATTAGCAGCGAGGTGGATGGTGAGTTAGGAGTTTGGTGGATTGGGGCTGGGGGCGGAGGGGGGGGGGGGCAGTGGACTGTGATTCTTGCCAGCACTAATATAAATTTTATTATTATTACCGGTTAATGATATAGATAAGAAGACCTGCCAAACAGGGGGCTGTCAGTCAGGAGACCGACACGATAGCCTTAATTTGCTGTGATTCTGTTGATAACATCAACTAGTACCGTCAGTGTCATAACTAATGTAGGTAGATCACAATCCGCTAGGGGCGCTACAGTCGTAACTGTCCACGGGCAGTGAAGTGTTAAACTGAAGTCGGCCTGCTGACAGTTCGCCTATGGAACCCCTTTTTTAAATCTCTCTTTTAGCGCTGCGTAAAAAAACTAATACAAGCCATTAACTAAATAAGTTGTAAATCAAAGAGTAAAATCCGGTCACATGATTTTCCCATGTTGCAGTCTTTGACAAGTTTCGGTTCTGCTTGTTTTAAGTTTTGCCTCTACAAAATGCTAAAAAATTTCAGGTAAGTGCTGGTATCATCTTTTTGAAATTTATATCCAGCAAAGTTTATGAAATTTGCTATATTATGTAGAAAAATCATGAAATTTGAAGGTTGCGAAGTATAGTTAATTTAATCCGCAATATTACATGATGTGAAAATTACCACAGGGAAATAGCTCTGCCCTGATTAGTCACAGGCTATGTGAGCCAGACAATAGGCTGAGCACACAAAGACACACAGGGTGCTCTGCTGCGCCTGAGTGATCACTGCTGGTCAGTGGGCACAGGTTTTGAGCTGAGAAGTGTGGACACTTTTGGTGGATTTTTGCAGTTAAAAAACTTCAATATCTTTGTTGCTTGTAGGAATATTTAAAAAATTCCAAATGATTTCATCCGGTTTTTGCATTACCTTTCAGATGATATAAGTATTTTAATTTTCTGATCAGTTTGAAAATTTTTCTGATATACCTAACTAATGGATACGCATGTGGAAGTACTAGTACATGTAGTACAGTAGTACCAATTGTGAGACTACCAGTGCATTGGCAGTTTGCTAGAACACATTAAACCCGACAGACTGGATTTTCAATTTCAGTTTGCAATTACTTTCAGCTGCTGTTGGCTAAATCAGAATGAAGCCATTATCAATGGGCTTGCATGAGCAGAGGTAACTATAGTGTATTTTTTTAAAAATAATGTATACAGTGTAGGCTTTGCTTGCAATCGTTTGGTTTTCATGTGAGATACATTGCCTTAAAATATGAAGGACCCATCTATGGGATTTTTCAGCCAAAATGAATCTTTAGGGGATCTCTCCATGCATTTCAAAATCTCCTTCAGTCATGTTAATGCCCTTTTAAAGGTTCTTATATATTCCAATCCAGACTCTGAAAACAATAAAACCCTTTATACAAATGATTATCTGAAGCATACCTTGTGTGGTCATTATATTCTCAACCTCCTTTACCATTGTCAGCTTACAACGTCTGTTTTATTTACGGCACAGGGCAATAATGCAAAACACCTCGCATTTTCTTGTGTAAAAAGGAGGCAATGTGAGTGATGGCAGATGTTGTTTATTTGATTGGACGTACATTCATTTAAAACTAAATTATTGAATTAAAATGAAGTAAAACATGAAACCCAAGTGCAGGGATGGGTCAAGCAGTGGTTCTCAAGTAGGAGAAAATTGCTCCTTACCCCAGGAAAATTTATTTTGGTTGAAAATTCCTGTGGTGTGTCTCTTTAAACTTACCAAATTGAAGAAAAATTCATTTTTAGTGATTTTTTAAAAGTCTGATATATATTACATAACATATATGATCAGAGCTTGTTTAAAAAAATTTCAGCCTCAAGTTCAACACATTGTTTGCCAAGCGGTTCTTGAAGTTGTTGAGAATAATGTATCCTAAATGGACCAGTGTTACAGTATTATTGACCATAACCCTGTTGCTGTTAGGTTTGTTAGGTAAATACATAACCCTTTTAAAAATATGAAAAAATTAAAAAATTAAGTTAGAAAATTGATAATTCATTTAAAAAACTATCTGCAATATTTTAGACAGCAAAGTGTTGAAGAGTACAGTTATGTCTCTCTTACCCTCTACCAGAGCCACAAATTAATATTTTTATGTGCACTTTTCTCTAACAAAGTAGAAATGTGCCATGAATTAGCCAGAGACACGTGAATATCTGGTGAAAAGTCAATCTGTGGCCCTGGTAGAGGGTATGTTTTTCTCTCTTTCTTTTTAAGAATGGACTCAAGTGGTTAAAAGTCAGAAATGTATTATAACTTGAATATACTACTTGTTGGAAATTCTTTGAAAACTAAACTTTAAATTATTAATTAATTAATTTAGTTACTTNATAAGGCAGCACAGAACAATTTCACAGCAATTACCACTTACCAGGTGAGAGATCAAATACATTATAAGTACTGAGTGCTTTTATAATGGCAGATTCCTGCATTTTGAACTCCATGCCAGCATCATCCAGGGATGTATATCCTCCTCTCTGCTGGTAGCGGAACTTGGCATTGCTGGCATTAGCATGGGCACCAGATGATAGAAAATGGAGGCGCAAGATTTCCGTGAGAGTAAGAGAATCAAGTTGTAAATTCCTCAGTGGAGTCCCTAAATTAGCAAGTTAAAATACAGTGTTATAAATTTCATATGTAAAATCTACAAATCGTTTTTAATTTGGTTTCAAGTTTCCAAAATTATTATTATTACCCTTAAAAAGTCCATTATATAGATTTTAAGTCAGATTTTTACTATAAAATTTAGGTAGTATATAAATAGGAAATAATGAGCACAGCACGCACATGTGTGCATGAATGTTACATTTTACTTTAAGTGTTACTTTCAAACACACAAAGATACGAATTTATCTGTCACATTACCATGATAAAGGTGGGGCCACTGAGAGGCCACTGTAGCAGCCTGTATCAGGTCTTTGGTGGACAAGTCAGCAATATCTGTATCCTCATCAATTGTTTCCACTCTTTCAGCTAAAATTACAACATATTCTTACTGATTTCTATTATGTTACAATTCAGCTTACTTATATAATTGAGCAGTCTTAAGGTAACAAAATGACAGGATGGGTAAGTTATATTGTCAGTTGACAATATTTACAGATTGAAAAGTAACTTCATTAAACAAATAATGGACTTGTAAATATATTTCTTTTTAGCAGAAACAACACTTAAAATGGTCACTGAGTGAACAATCTGTTTCATTCACCCCTAAAAAAAATGTAGCTGTGACTCTATATCCTTAGGTACAAAGTATGTAATATTGATAACTTGGTAAACCAAAAACCAGAAATTTTAACCATACCAGTTAAATTTCCATCCTTTTCCTCTTTTTCTATTTCTTCCTCCTCCTCTTCCTCTTCTTGTTGTAAGTTAAAGATGGAGACCAGTAGAAAGCCAAGTAGATCTGCTAGTGTGCCATCAACATCCTTCTCCAATAGAGCTTTTTCCATCATATCTATGAAAGAAAATATGTAACCATTACTTTACAAGGACACAGCATGTCCTGTAAAGTGAAACATGTTTAAAATCCAACATGCATGACGTTGTGGCTATTTTAACTTACACGTGACTTTTGTTTGTGTCTGCTAATTAAATACAAGTGTATAGGCAACTTTGAGAGTAACAGTTAAGTTTGGGGTACACATTAAATTTTCATAAATTGTTAATACATAGGATAATCTTTATTTAAATACTACAACATATATACAATCTGAGTGAAAGGAGTCATAAATTTTCACAACAGGGAAAACAGTACAAAATCTGTAAACAAGCACATGGCAGATTTTGCTATTGGGATAGGATCAGTACTCACCAGCTGGCAAATACATCTCCCAGTCATGAAGGAAAAAATTATGGCCAACTTACCCATGGAGACACCATGAGGAAATTCATCCTTGATTTCCAGCAGAGGTCCAAAGACATGCAACATTTCCAGCACCATCATCACATCACCAAACAGCTCCTCTGGTATACCAGTTTTCACAGGAGTGGGGTCAGGGAGGACCTGATATCATATATGCACTTATTAAATACAAGTGAAATGCATATTATGTTGGGTGCTGGCAATATACACAAAGTGAAACCAGATTTTTAAGACTTATCATCTGAACAGTAACTTTCATACATTTTGCAATTTGAAAAGAAATACAATTGCAATATGGATGCTTGTCAATGTTGAAAAATTGACCCATTGAAATATCATTAAATATGCTTTTAAATAGAAAAAATCAAATCTCTGTGCCAATCACTGTCATGTCCTTCACCTTGAGATCATCACACTCCATGTCATCTCTGGGCTTGCTCCATTCCTTCAAATATTCAGCCTTCAGCTTCTTTTCTTCTTTTAACTGGAGATGATATCACAATCAAACTTTTAAAAGCATGTGTAGGTTGCTCTATATTCTAATTTTAAAAACAAAGTTTTAAATTTTTCAAAAATCCTTTTCATGGCAAAAGAATCAAACATCGTAAATTTAAATAGTTCAAACCAAAAGGAGACACTCAACCTTTTCCCTTTCCTCCCTTCTCCTTTCCTTTTCCTCTTCTAGTTTCTTTCGAAGTTCTTCCTGCTTTTCCTGCTTCTCTGCCAACTTGAGGGCCTTCATGGCCTCTTTTTCTAGTAATAACTTCTGTTTCATGGCCTCTTTTTCTTCTTCTGTTAATTTTTTCGGTTCTTTTTCATCTAAAAGTTTTAGATTGTGTATTATTAACTGCCAAATGAATTCTACCATACATATATTCTAAAAAGTTACAAAAGTATGCTTGCTCATCCTTATTTCCATCTTTATACTTATATTATCAAATGTCCAGTAAACTTAAAACGTGAATATAATTATAAACAACTGCATTGGAGGGGGTGCAATGTACCTATTTTTTGTTTTTTCTCCTTCTTCTCTTTCTTTTCTTTGTGTTCTTTCTTGGCTTTTTTCAGGAGCAGATCAACATCAGACTTATTCTGTTTGGGTTTTTTCTTCACCTCAGAAGTCTCAAATGTGGGAATGGCACTTGGAAACATGCTTTTGAAGTTCACTTCATTCAAGTGATGCTTCCTAATATATTTCTCCTACAAGTTCATGATAAATTGCAAAATTAACCACACACACACTACAGTGTGTCCTACCACATGGATGCATATAGCATTTATTTTAGCACAGTTAGCACTGAAAAGCTTTCACACTGGTTTTGCAACAACTATATATAAACTAATTCACTGATTTCTTTAGATTAGCACTTTCCCAGTAAAGGCAAGGAGATTATAATGCTTTTATATTACAATGTTCTAAAAACTACTCTGAGTTAAGCTAATAACATTCAAATGTTAAAAAATATAAGCCAAAAAAATTTATTTAGATTTACTGTTGCTTTTTAAAACCAAACTACCTTCACTTTCCATATTCCTTCACTTGCTTCACAGTGACTTTTTAGAAACAGTTTGCTTTTGTCTCTGGTATACAAGCCTTTCTTTCGACTGGAAAAAGGTAAAAACATGTAAAATACTCAAACATAACTTAGCTCACTCCCTTTTCACACACTGACAATTACACCAAAATAGCAAAGGAAATGCATAAAATCCTGTACGACAAACCATACCCACACTATGATATCTGTGCTTGTATTATTGTGATTTAGAGACATACTCACCAAGAATTCATTCGGTCTAACAAAAAAACTGAAAATATAACAAAGATGTTGAGAGTTAAAAACGTAAGAAAGTGAAACAGGACATTGTCTTACTTGACATCTGGTGCATCAGCTATAAATGGGTCCCCCTTTCTCTCCTTTGCCTATCTTCTGGACAACGTATCTGTAATTGTCAACATCCTCTTGGTCAGCTGCTTCACTTGTCGATGGGCTACATGAGAAATGAACAATTACATGGATATTAAAATATGGCTTTGTGTGTGTGTGTGTGTGTGTGTGTGTGTGTGTGTAGTCGTGNTAAAAAATATAAGCCAAAAAAATTTATTTAGATTTACTGTTGCTTTTTAAAACCAAACTACCTTCACTTTCCATATTCCTTCACTTGCTTCACAGTGACTTTTTAGAAACAGTTTGCTTTTGTCTCTGGTATACAAGCCTTTCTTTCGACTGGAAAAAGGTAAAAACATGTAAAATACTCAAACATAACTTAGCTCACTCCCTTTTCACACACTGACAATTACACCAAAATAGCAAAGGAAATGCATAAAATCCTGTACGACAAACCATACCCACACTATGATATCTGTGCTTGTATTATTGTGATTTAGAGACATACTCACCAAGAATTCATTCGGTCTAACAAAAAAACTGAAAATATAACAAAGATGTTGAGAGTTAAAAACGTAAGAAAGTGAAACAGGACATTGTCTTACTTGACATCTGGTGCATCAGCTATAAATGGGTCCCCTTTCTCTCCTTTGCCTATCTTCTGGACAACGTATCTGTAATTGTCAACATCCTCTTGGTCAGCTGCTTCACTTGTCGATGGGCTACATGAGAAATGAACAATTACATGGATATTAAAATATGGCTTTGTGTGTGTGTGTGTGTGTGTGTGTGTGTGTGTGTGTGTGTGTGTGTGTGTGTGTGTGTGTGTGTGTGTGTGTGTGTGTGTGTGTGTGTGTGTGTGTAATACATTTTGCATTCAATAATTACTGCTCTTTTTATAGGCAGCTGTCAAGAAAACAATATCAAGAACAATACTAATTTACCTGGTTCCATTGACATCTCCATTAGGCAAAGGGGTAGGTGGTAAGACCTTAAGTATCTTGCAGGATTTTCTAAAAATAAAATACACTATTCACCACTAACCAAAATACTTTTGGAATACTACTACCCTGTCAAAGGTGCAATATTTTTTATATACATGAACATGATGATTGGTTAAATAAGATGAAAAAAGCTTTCCTTTCTTCTGCCACCTTTTTCCTACACTTAAATGTAACAGTGCTATCAAATGGGTCACAATGTGATATCAAATAATTTGACCAAAGAAAAATTCTGTAATATCACTGTTTGGTTTGGGCACAAGTCTAAAAAGTTTAACCAAAGAAAAATTCAGTGATATTTTCCCTCTGTTTTTTTTCCAATTTGAGAAATTTTCCACATGGACTTCTCCAGGACTAGCAAAAGAAGCAGTTATTTTCCAGGTTTGCTCTGATTTTCAGTAGGGTTTAGAACCCTGAGAGCTAGGTGCTTAAAGGGATAATCTACTGAAAAAAGTAAATGTTATTGATATTGAAAATTCACACTTCTGCTAAATACTTGCTATGGGGAAAACAATTCTAATGGCCACAAGGCATCGTTAATTTACCTTATCGTTGCCAAATCCAAAATGAGCTGACAGTGCAGTATATATGGCACCACTATTGCACAGGACTGAATGCCCATGGGCTCTGAACAAAATTCAAATTCTCATACAGAACTGTTAAGTCAACAATGTATTATGTAGGTCAACCAGTTATGATTCAAGATACCCAAAATGATGCCACAATGTTCAAAACTTCAGAGATTGAAACCAACTCTTCAAAACCGATGGCCTGATAGTGACAAGCTTTTACAATGCATTTACCTTTCGCCTTCATGTATAACTTCCACCACTTCCCCAACAAAATATCTGTCCTTGGTGAAAACGAATACATCATCATTCATATCATTCAGCCTGCTCCTGTGTGTCTTTGTTGCCAAAAACAAGATGGGTTTGTGAAGATAGAAGGGGAAGGATGACAGGTGCTTTCTTGCACGTTCTTCCGATTCTAAGGCCTCTTGGTACGTCAACCCTGATCGACCCGTAATCGAACATGACCATACCAGGCTGTTGCATAGGATGATTCGTTCAAAAAATTCCCTGGGAAGCGAACAAAGAAATTATGATCAAAATGGCGCAGTTGCTCAAACACCGGTTGCGAGTGTCTTTCACCCACGTGTGGTTTGACCTAATTCGGGTATAATTGACAGCTTCATAACAATACAAAATAAAATATTTTACTTACTCGTAGTCCCTGAATATTTCATTAGTCAGTGGGCAGTAAAAAACCTCTTCGTCTGGCTTAATATCGGATGGAACGGAGTTCTTTTCGAATGGCTGCCTTTTCAGTAAAGGCATCTTGAATTTTGGAGGGAAAACAAAGTTACCTCCTGAATGGCCAAAATTGTGTCAAAATGTCCTAAATATGGTAGTCAAATTATTCCTTATATCTTTCTCTGTCCTTCTACGATATAATCGCCTGCCACTAAACCCGAAACCATGGGGAATTCTCACGGTTCTGGGAGCTCTCTGTGTCGCGACTCGTCACTTCAGAAAGAGGTCAGACTTGGTCGAGACACAAGTTTTGTTATAGAGCACACGCTGTTGTATGGAGTAGGGGGTAAAATAAATGCTGCTAACTTTTGTTTTATTGCGCAGATAACACTCAAAATGCACAGAACGAAAGAGCAATGATTGATTGTTTAATACAGAGAGTTATAAGTTTCATAAGATTTTTTTCTAAGCGTTTGGGAATAAAATCCACGGTCATTTCTGAACAGGTGAAAATCTAACTCAAAGAGGCGGTAATCAATGGAGGGTACGTTTGTGATTGGTTGCTTTTTATTGATTGACAGATGTTTATGCAAATCTACACTTATATATACTCAAACGCAAGTAAAAATTAGTATTGTTGATTGTGATGGCACCACTAATGCATTCCTTTTTCTTTTGTGTTGCTCAGTAGGACTAATCGAAAAGGAAATGATTTTCCAAGAAAACTTAATTGTTTCAAGTATAGCCGTAGCACCAATAGGCAGGATAGGTAACATGAAAAGACTGGAATTGGGACATACTTTATTTTGTACTGCATGCATGCTGTCCTCTTCTAAAAATTTATGTATCCGTTTATTCATTTTTTTTAAAGATAAAAATTTACTTAGTTAAAGAGCCACTAGGTAACAACACTTGTAATTTTGTATTGTTGAATACTAAAATGAAATATCTTTTTATGACATAGAAAGATAAATAAGTTTTAGACATGAACTAAAATAAAAACGTGGAATAAATTCAATACCTTTCTTCAAATAAATCTGATAATGCTAATTTTTAAATTGCATATGAGCCCGCTGAGATGATTTTGATTGACAAATGACTAATGTCAAGTTAATTAAATTCACTTATTCCTTCAAAACATTATATGTAAATCCAAAATTTAAGACCATATTTTCAAGACCATAGCTTGGCAGTTAAATTGCTCTTTGCTCAAAGGGTGGGGTAGGGGGGGATGCCACAATGCAAAATTAATAAATCTACAAAGTCAAAGATTCATTTTTTTTAATTGTTTTTGTACTGGACACGTAAAATTACATAAATTTTCATAAAATGCAGCTGTATTTCTCTGAAATGTCCTACTTTATAAGTGAACTGAGTGTAAAAAGTCAGTGCCATGCCATGTTTAACCGCACCACATTTCTTTGTTCACACTACTTTTCGCACAACTGATGCAATCTAAATGAGTGTGCTTACACGTGCGTTAGACTCTATGACCTTTGGGGTCACCCCTGTACACATGTAGGTTTCTCGTACTCTACTGCTCAAATGGTTTGATAGAAGATCGCATCTGCGGAGAGAAGGTGCGCATCATTTAAGGTTTGCACTCTGTATTTCCAGACGTTGTTCGTAAATAATGATTAAATGCATTAGCAGCGAGGTGGATGGTGAGTTAGGAGTTTGGTGGATTGGGGCTGGTGGCGGAGGGGGAGGGGGGGGGCAGTGGACTGTGATTCTTGCCAGCACTAATATAAATTTTATTATTATTACCGGTTAATGATATAGATAAGAAGACCTGCCAAACAGGGGGCTGTCAGTCAGGAGACCGACACGATAGCCTAAATTTGCTGTGATTCTGTTGATAACATCAACTAGTACCGTCAGTGTCATAACTAATGGAGACGCATGTGGAAGTACTGTGAGACTACCAGTGCATTGGCAGTTTGCTAGAATACATTAAACCCGACAGACTGGATTTTCAATTTCAGTTTGCAATTACTTTCAGCTGCTGTTGGCTAAATCAGAATGAAGCCATTATCAATGGGCTTGCATGAGCAGAGGTAACTATAGTGTATTTTTTAAATAATAATGTATACAGTGTAGGCTTTGCTTGCAATCGTTTGGTTTTCATGTGAGATACATTGCCTTAAAATATGAAGGACCCATCTATGGGATTTTTCAGCCAAAATGAATCTTTAGAGGTTCTCTCCATGCATTTCAAAATCTCCCACAGTCATATTCATGCCCTTTTAAAGGTTCTTATATATTCCAATCCAGACTCTGAAAACAATAAAACCCTTTATACAAATGATTATCTGAAGCATACCTTTTGTGGTCATTATATTCTCAACCTCCTTAGGTTTACCATTGTCAGCTTACAACGTCTGTTTTATTTACGGCGCAGGGCAATAATGCAAAACACCCTGCCATTTTCTTGTGTAAAAAGGAGGCAATGTGAGTGATGGCAGATGTTGTTTATTTGATTGGACATTCATTTAAAACTAAATTATTGAATTAAAATGAAGTAAAACATGAAACACAAGTGCAGGGATGGGTCAAACAGTGGTTCTCAAGTAGGAGAAAATTGCTCCTTACCCCAGGAAAATTTATTTTGGTTGAAAATTCCTGTGGTGTGTCTCTTTAAACTTACCAAATTGAAGAAAAATTCATTTTTAGTGATTTTTTAAAAGTCTGATATATATTACATAACATATATGATCAGAGCTTGTTTAAAAAAATTTCAGCCTCAAGTTCAACACATTGTTTGCCAAGCGGTTCTTGAAGCTGTTGAGAATAATGTATCCTAAATGGACCAGTGTTACAGTATTATTGACCATAACCCTGTTGCTGTTAGGTTTGTTAGGTAAATACATAACCCTTTTAAAAATATGAAAAAATTAAAAAATTAAGTTAGAAAATTGATAATTCATTTAAAAAACTATCTGCAATATTTTAGACAGCAAAGTGTTGAAGAGTACAGTTATGTCTTTCTTACCCTCTACCAGAGCCACAAATTAATATTTTTATGTGCACTTTTCTCTAACAAAGTAGAAATGTGCCATGAATTAGCCAGAGACACGTGAATATCTGGTGAAAAGTCAATCTGTGGCCCTGGTAGAGGGTATGTTTTTCTCTCTTTCTTTTTAAGAATGGACTCAAGTGGTTAAAAGTCAGAAATGTATTAATTATAACTTGAACATAGTACTTGTTGGAAATTCATTGAAAACTAAACTTTAAATTATTAATTAATTAATTTAGTTATTTGTTATTTTTTTAAGGTCAAGTGGTAATCTATTTTGTGGGACTAGTTCCAAGCAGATTCTACAAGGTGTTTGGAGACAAGGACATCTACAATTTCAGAGTGCTGATTATTTCTGCCCTTGGCCTAATTGTTGCCAATGCATTTGTAAGTAGGTTTCTCTTAAGTACAAGCAAGTATTTTCTGTAATTCTACATGTTCACACATCTAAATTGTACTAATGTAACTGTCTCTCAGGCCATTGCATGACCTCAATTTAGTTAAAGTATACAAATAATAAGAAAAAATGACAGAGTTGTTCATATTTTTATCAAATGTATAACTTTATGTACCAGTATGACATTTTCTTATTGTACATATTTATTTTGTGAAATATCTCCATAAACTCAAATATCCATTCAGACATCACAAAGGGTTGTCCAGACAAGATTAAGCACATGCATTCATTTTGGGATAGAAAAATGATTCTGATTAATACAATTTGAAGTTTTTTCTCAGGTTATCAGCACAAGCACCTATGTAGCATCAGTGCTCTATGTGACCTGGAGGGGGCTAATCACTCGTCATATACACTCCAAGTACTTCAAGGATATTTTATACTATAAGATAAATGTACTGCAAAACAGAGTGGACAATCCGTAAGTTTTGATTAATAATTTAATTTTCCTTTTTATTTATTTATTACTTTTTTTTGTAAATTTGACTATTGATAAGTTTTAGTTTATCATAAAGTTCCAGTTATACTAGGCCTTACTTACCTCACATATAGGGATATTTAAGATTGGTATTTAAGATTTTATTCTAATCTTAGGTCTGCAGGTAGTTTTCAGTACTTAAAAGGGTCCATTTTTATAAAGGGCATTTAGCACTAAATGGTATATAAGCCTTACTGGTGAGTAAATTCTCTAAAAGCCTGTTAGTGCTAAATGCCCTTTTATAAAACTGGGCCTAGAATGCTAGCTTTTTTTATTTGTTTGGCAGTATTTTCAATTTTGATAGTAGTTTTTAATTCCACATTTTTTTGTGAAAAACAGATCAATTTTATGTATGATTTTGATATCTACATTTTCAGTGACCAACGAATCACACAGGATGTTGACCGTATGTGCGACCAGTTTAGCCAGGTGGTAGCTCCAGCCATTATTTCCCCATTTACTATTGGTTATTACTTATACCAGGCATACACCAGGTATGATTTGCAGTGATGATAGTATTTGATTCAGTATGGAGTGTAAAATCTTTGCTAGTGTATTTTTCCCCTTTTTTTCCAAAGCAATTGAAATTATTGTTGAATTGTTTATGCCTCTTTATTGTCATTGGTTTCAATGATGTGATTTACTTTGTTAAAAACAATTTGAGTTCTTTTATTTGGTAATTCCAATCTTATGTCCTTGTTATGTATTGTTTGGTATACGTGTACACAGCATAGATAATTGTTATTATAACATAAGATGAACCTCCAAGATGCATATGGCTTTATGACAAACCCATCTTTATTCATAGACATATTATTCTTTCACATAATAATAGATAACATTACTTCTTTTAAAAACAGTTACCATTTGTTTGATTTTTGTATTTTATGTTAGGGTTAGAAATTAATTTTTTAAAATAAGGTTTACCATATACACTACCTTATTCCACTGTTGATTTTCATATTGCATTGAAGGTAATTGCTTCTTTTCATCTTTGTCAGACTATAGTGCCTCACTACATGGGGTTGGGATTTATATATTGCTGTTGGAATAATTTTAATATACCAATGGAAATTTTAGCTTGGTCAGATTTATTATTAACAAAGTAATCAAAACTACTTTAAATCTTTTAGGCAGATTTTTTATTTAGATATTTATTCAGTGGCTGTTTTTAATCTCATGAAGTTTTATGTGATCGTGTAGACGAAAAGCGTAGAATTAGATAGCATACTAGGCCAACCTGGATCATCGCACACAAAGCCATTTGGACTGGATTAAGTGTTCCTAACATCAAAGGGTGTCAAGACAAAAATCAATGTTTTAAAAGCTCATTTGCTTATGTCAGTATCTGCAATGCAAAATCACTTAGTAGATCTCTTTGAAAGCTAGACAAATGACAAAACCACTTCGAAATGATTAAATTCATTTCTCACTTTCATTAAAGTGAAAGAATACAATCTGTAATTGCATTTTAGTGAGAAGTGATTTATGTGGGATTGAGGATTTTTGCTTTTATAATCCAAGTGTATTTGCCAGTGATTTAAAGGTAGGTTAAAAAGTGCACAGCTGTAACCCCCCCTTCCCCGCCGTCTGAAGCTTTTTTTTTGCACAATATAGTGAAGTGAAGAAAGGTAGGATTTCTGCTCCCATCCCACCCCCTTCTAGAAAACCTTTTTGGATGCCTTCCTTTGTTGAAAGAAATGCAAAATTATCATTTGATATATGATATGTGTTGAAAGCCTGTATATTGCATATGTGAATTAGAGAGCCTGTGAATGTCATTGTAATTAATACATTTAGTACTCAGTTAACTTGTTGCTTTTTTCTAGTACAAGTATATTCACTGCTAGTATATTCACTGATTTAAAAGCCAGTCTGAAGTGAACTTTACTGACTTGAATACTGTGAGTTATAATTAATTTAACTGCTAAAAGAGGCTTCTCAATCATCAAGCATTTCATTAATAAATCAAAAGCCTCTATACTGCTGTGCATGGCGTGCAAGAATTCAATATTTTCTCTCAGCTGTTTAGTTCAAATCTGTAGGGATCACTACAAGTGTGCCACAGTTGCATAGCCCAATGGCAATAATGCAGCGAAGACCCATTAAAAACAGATTTGCTTTTAACAAGGATTCTTCTCCTTCAATTCCTTTTACACTGACTGGTTGGTGTCTGAGGCACCAACAATATCTACCAACTAATATCCACCTTCATATAACTGTGTTATTGATAAGTTAAAAAGGTGGATTACAAATAAGTAGCAAAAAAGTAATGAAAAATAATCTTATTTGTATTTTTTAAAAATAATTTTGGCTCAAATCATATGGTTAGATAAGTAAGATTGGGCCTTGGTGTAAATATTGATTTTTATTTAGGGAGCTTATCCTGTTGTTCAGATAAAGGCAAGAATTTATATTAAACATTTATAACATCTTCTTTTCAGTTCTGGATATTTGGGTCCAGTGTGTGTTGTGGGTTTCTTCATTGTGGCAACAGTTATCAACATTTTGCTGATGTCACCAGTAGTTAAGTTTGTTTTCTTCCAAGAAAGACAGGAAGGAGATTTCAGGTATAAAGATATATGCACAGAACATATGAGAAAAATTCATATATTTAATACTTTTCATATTTTTCAATTGAAATATTTTATTCTCTAAAATTATCCCATCCATGAATTTCTTGTGAAAAATTCATATTTAGTGAATTTTCCCAGCTAAACAGCATTTCCTCCCACATATCAACTGTAGATCTTCTTTTTCTGACACTCACCATAATTCTGTAACATTTTTGGAGAATGCAAAAATTCAGGGTATTGAAAAATAGATATGCTTGTATAATGTCATTGACTATCTTACATCTTAAGAGGTGGGGCCAGATACAAATTAAAAGGAATACATTTTGATGCACATCTGCCCATTTGCTCATATTTATTATTAAAGTGGCAGACATAATTTTCTTTTCAATTTTGGAGAAATATAGAAATTAATTTCCGGGAAATGTCAACTGGTATGGGTCAGTAAGCTGTTTCAGAATTCTGCCCACATTAAAAAGTCATTCACCAGCTTGATTTGGTGACAGTCTTACCCAAGCCTCTAGTGTTACCCTGATAGTAAAGAATACATAAAAAAAGAAGTTATAAGCATAGATAATTTAGTACTACTTTATAGTCTGACCCATTCTGTTATCACTGCATCAGATACAAGCACATGCAGCTGCGGGTCAATGCAGAGGCTGCAGCATTCTATAGATGTGGAACTCTGGAACTTCATAAAACTGAACAGAAGCTCGACAGATTATTGAGAACACAGCAGCAACTCATGATGCGAGAATATGCTCTGCAGTGCAAGTATTTTGTTGTGTTCTTTTCAGAAATTCTTTAATATTGACAATCAAATTGGGTGAATTTTGTAGATCAATAATACACAGTTTATACCACTGATTTCCATAAATCTTAAGCATGCAATATTGTAATTATTTTCTTGCATGTTACATATATAGAACACAGCAGCAACTTTTTTTTTGATGGTATTCATTCTTATGATTTCTAACTATCTTGTAAATCTTCAAATTTTCACAAATTAAAATTATTTTTTCTGCAGGCTCTGTTAACACTTTTGACTATTTAGGCAGTATCTTGAGTTATCTGGTATTAGCCATTCCCATCTTTGAGTGGAACATGTATGACAACTTGTCTCCTGCAGATCTCAGTGCACTTATAAGCAAGGTATATTAGTAAGCCAAATAAAGCATTAGATGATGTAGATAACTGTTTATAGATAATAACTGTGTCTCCTTATTACAAATAAATGGTAATGCAAGACAGTGAACATTATCCATTGACATTCATGGATGAAAAACAATTAAATATTGTCTTTTGTGTTATGAAGGTCAACTCAAATTATGTTCATATTAATAGTTTGAGTAATTAAAATAACTTTTCACTTATTAAATCAAGCTTTGTTATTTATTTTTTTTTTTCAGAATGCATTTTTTATTATTTATTTAATCAACTGCTTCACAAAGCTGATTGATCTCTCTGTGAAGATGACAGATGTGGCTGGAACATCACAACGGTAATAAGCTAATTTATGAGTTTAGTAGGAACAGTGATAAATGAATACATGTTTATTTTATTTATTTATTTATTTATTTTTGTGGACCCAAGATCACTTGTAAGATAGGGGCAAGATACCAGATTCTCCTTGCCAAGAAGTTGATTGTGATTTTGATACTTTCTCTTAGTGTTCATTGTCAGCCTCACCACATTCATTCATTCATTTATTACTTATTTACTACTCTTTCAAAGGCATTACCTTCAGATCCTGTGTGTATGTTAGCACCCCTCTCTTTAAGTGTATCTTGATATTCATTTTTTAATTTAAACTTTTATGTTTTTTTAGTCATATTTTGGTTATAAAAAAACAAACAAACAATACTTTATACATAAATGCTTTTAAGAGGTAAATTTTGTGGAGACATTTATTTTGTCCTTATGTAATGAAAATAAATTAGAAAATTAAATTACTGTTAATGGATGTAAATGTCTTATTTGATTTGTATAACTTGAATGGGTGAGGTATGAAGAGTTATATGTAATTAAAATCAGACTGCATTTTGCTATTTATCTTGTAGTATTGGGGAGTTACTGGAAAACCTAGATTGTCTGGATAAAGACGAGAGTGAGAAAATAACACCATTCCATGATAATGATACCCCAGGCAGAGGAACAGTATCTAGGTTTGTGTGTGTGTGTTTGTGTTTTTTTTTTTGTTTTTTTTGTTTTTTTTTTAGTCAAAAGGGATGTTAATTGTTAAGGGAGAATTTAGAATTAAAGGATCTGGTAATGCTTTTAAGAAATTGCTAACAACACAGTAAGATATAAGTAGTTTTGAAGCAACTTCAGTAGGAGACACCTAGTATAGACAACTTTATCAGCAAATCCTATGCAAAAAAAAAAATCTCAAGAGTTAAAACTTCATCTCTCAAATATATGTTTATTTAACACAAATTAACCCAGGTTAATCTATGCTTGTCTATATTTTCAGAAAAAGTAGAATAAAAAGAAAGTCTGGGCATATAACTAACTACAAAGGACAAGCTTTATTGATATTCAGACATTCATATATCATTCCAGTGCAACAGGTCTTTTGGGAAGTATGCCTGATGAAGATATAAACAATGTTAATGTTGAAATACAAGATGGCCGTGGCAGGTCAGACAGCACTGCATTAGAGTCCATAGTTTCCTCCAGGTAAGTGATGTATATAAGAAGTTAATTGCAATCAATATGGTGGAATAATGTCAGCAGTTTACTCATGCTAGAACTGTTTCTGTTGATACAACCTTAACTGTATCGTAGGCAATTTGAGGCTGGTTGCTTTAGCTATAGGCTCTATAATGAACCAAAGTTTCAAGAGTAAAGTTTTGATCTCAGAAATATTTTTTCCTTGTTTATTATTAATTGAGATGAGTAGTTAATACTTTTTACCATAATTTGGAATTTTTTTTAAAAAAGGATTACTCCAATAATATTTGCAGCATAGCGACCCCTATACCAGATGGCACGGTAGCCATGAGGCTAAATGCTTTATCTTACCATCTTCCACAAAGTGACATGGTGCTAATGAAAGGTACCACAATTTAAGTTGTTTGATTTTTAAATGAGGTGCATGTCTTTTGGATATGCTTAAGGTTCTTTTACCTGATTACAGATGCCATAGCATATTTGAAATATGTACATTTACAGTCTTTCTCCAGAGTTCAGCATCCTTTATGTAATTCTTTCTGCAGATCAAACCTCTTGAGGTTACAATTTGTTCTAGTTATCACTTTTTGAAGAATATTGTAGTTGATATAATTTGTCACTTTTTCCCTTTTAGACCTGTCCCTGGAGATAGTAGCAGGAAAGAACCTACTTATCACAGGGGACAGTGGCTGTGGGAAGAGTTCACTTCTTAGGGTGCTTAATGGGTTGTGGCCTCTGATGGAGGGATCTGTTGAGACATTGGTGCCATTTGGAACTAGAGGCATACTTTACTTGCCCCAGAAACCTTATCTCACAAATGGAACATTAAGAGAACAAGTGGGTTGTTCGTTTGTGGAATTTTCAATAGTTTTATTGCAAAGATTACTAAATCAGGCACAATTATGTTTGAGATGCAGTTAGTATGAATAACATGAAATGTAGGAGATTAAGGGAAATTATTTCAAGAAAAATGAAACTACTAAATATTTGGATAATTTAGATGTTAATATGTCTTCTAATTATTCTGCTTAGTTCAAATTTTAAAAACATGCATATCTTTTTGATGTTAGATATTGAAGATACTAAATCCTTAATTTCAGATTATCTTTCCACATCATAAACTTTCATCAGGCACTGGTAAGTATCATCACATTTTCAGTGCTAAATTTTATTTTTAAAACAAAATTTTAAAATAAAGTATTTAAACTTATATAATGTGTTTGAATCGAATGAGTTTCTTGTAAAATTCTATGAAATGACAGTTTGAATCATAACAAAAAACATGCACAGCTTTGACTCGAGCTACAGACAGATTCAGGAACTGGTGATATATGTACAAATAACATGTATAATAATTGCTTTGCTTTCAGAAAACGATGAGATAATTCACCACTTCACTAGCACTGTAGATTTGCAAAAAATACTCGATAGAGCTGGAGGGTTGGATGTAAATAATGAATGGAATTGGTAAATTGAGTTAATGCTTTGAATTTATTTTTGCTGGCAATATGGAAACTTCATAAGTTAAAATAGAAATGATACCCTTAAATGACTCACAAAAAAAAACAAGCCATGTGTTTCAATTGACTTAAAAAATTTGAGTTCTCAAAGCTTTATTATGGAAGTGGTTAACTATTCAGAGGCAAATAAGCAAATCTTACTTTGTAAATGTCATTCATGAAACCTGTCGTAAGTTAAATTGGGGTATACTATTTTTGTTCATATTCATCCACACAGGTATGATGTGCTGTCTCCTGGAGAAATGCAGAGACTGTCTTTTGTCCGTCTGTTTTATCACCAGCCACCTTTTGCAAGTAAGGCACAGTCTGAGTGTATGATTTTAATGCTGTTACTTTTAGAAAAAATAATTGACATGTATTGATATTACACACATGAACTTGGTGTGAGAGTTACACATGGACTTAGTGTGAGTTAATAATATTTATATTTTGGACTGGATGATGATTAAATTTTGACTTATTAATTTTTCTTCAAATGTATTTCTTTAATGTATTGCAAAAATAACGATTTGCTGACAACTTTCATTGAGATCTGTTTTTATATTAGTTTTGAAAATTTTGTAGTCTTGGACGAGGCCACAAGTCAGGTAAGCCATGCTGCAGAGCTGCTTCTATATAAAATGTGCAAAGAGTTGCACATCACAGTGATCAGCGTGGGCCACAGGGATTCTCTCCGAGAGTTTCATGATATAGAGCTCAGACTTGATGGAAAAGGTGGATGGAGTCTAGTTAACCTGAGGTAGCAAAGACATAACAGTAGAGATGAGACTATACATTTATTACCTGGAATACTGACCGTTTTGATATGACAGAAACTGATTGACTTATGGGTGTGATATTTGATGGAATATTGAACCTGATGGTAAAACAGTGGATGAATGATGGTAATATAAGGTGGATAAAATGATGGTGATATGGTGGATAAAATGCTAAATGCCTAATGCATTAGTAATGTGGTGCTTAACTAGTTATTTCTGAATGTTGCTTATAAGTCTTCACAGAAGATTTAGATAAATATATTCATTCAATGCTACATTTTAATAGCTGCCAAGCAGTGCCCTGAAGTCTATGATTGTTTTATTTGTAATTATTTATTCTAATGTTATATCAATCTTTGAAAGTTTTTAAGACATTAAAAATTCTTCAGCCAGAACGAAAAACAGTGCATGCTGTAAGTAAAACATTTTACTACTTGAAAAGCTGAAAGCCGTTCTGGACTGTTCCCAAGTTTTATTTTAACAATAGATATTTGATTGGTTTTTCTAAGAGTAATAATACTACTGGACTCAAAACATACTTGTTTAAAAATATTCAATTTTTAGTTTTCATTACATGTAAAACTTTCTTTATTTAACTTTTTATTGTTGGAAGTATTTTATATTTATGAATGTCATTCCAGTATTTATAATTATCAATTTGAAAAAGAAATTTCCACTTTGTGTTATTTGTATCAGTTAAAGCACGTAATCACATTTTATTCATCTTTTGCATTGAGCAAAATTTGACTGCAATAGCTTATAATGTTGTAAACTACTAAACAGCGCTGACAATCAGCACAATTTTGATTTTTACAAAGTTCATAAACATTATATGTGTTAACTGATGGCTGTGTCAGCCATATGGATATTGTATTAATGTTACATTACTCATTACCTGCTTCAAAGAAGAATTTGATTTGTTACAATGTGCCAGTGTCACAGCAAACACTTACATTTGCCAATGTAGAGTGTTTTTGTTTAAACCAAATGGTTCCTTTTAGATTTAATTCACAACTAAAAAAACTTATTTATTTTTATTATTTTGTCAATAGGTTCCTTTATATAAGCAAAACATAAATTAAACAAAAAAAAAAAAACATGAAATTCTTTTGAGTTGTATATATATTTATTTCAATTATCTTTCTTCATATACATATTTATATTTTTAATAGAAAATCTAATCTATGAGCTAAAATAAGATAAAATCTTCATAATTAACGATGGAGCAAAAAATCAAGACTAAAACTGTCCATAATTATGCAAAAACTGTCCATAATTGTAATCATCCTACTCCATACCAGATATCTTACTTATATGATGTGCGTATTTAGCAGTGTTTTATGAAAACACTGCATTTATTGTTTCTCACAATGCATATTGAAATGGATGCATATATTCTATATATTCTAACCTTATTCAAACCTGCTACAAGGGGGTTGAACTCCCAAGACAAAAGTATTTTTAATCATTAATTGCCCTGATATTTTGTCTCTTCCATGCCCATGACATATTGCACAGGTACTGGGCTTACTTTTGCCCAGATTCAGACAATTTTAATGTGCATCAAAAGGGTCACCATATCAGGCCAGGAGTAAGCAAAGCACCTGTGCTATATTTCATGAGGCAAATTTGGGACGTAAGCCAAGATATGTAGTTACTCAGTTCACAGATTATTTTCAGTGTACTGAGTGTGAAAGTGACAAAATGTTGGGTTATCAATTAACTTGAAGTTCTTCTGTCTTGAGAGTTAAAGCCCCTTGAGCTAATGCTCTGCCTTATGAATTGTAAGCAATCACAGCAATGCCAGATATGCCACCCGTAACATAAAATAAGGCATCACTTCAAGGCACTATTTATAATGTCCAGTATGGTAATGTTTAAAGAAAAATAAATTATTGATGCATAAATCATCAACAGTATATATAATGCTACAAATAAAATTTGCAAACTTGAATATCATATTTGAGGTTTATTTATCCTACATTATATTAAAAACCTGCATTAATGTTGTTAATTGTTTGATAACTATGTTAAGCCTTCTTACACAAAATATATGAAGAAGCCATTGCAACATACACAAAATGAGCCAAATTGGGGAAAACTGTGTATCTGAAACAATCATTTTTTACATTGTAGACAGAATTCAGAGCAAGCTGCCAAGTGGAAATCATCCTCAGGTATTCATACTTAAAACCTAGAACAAACGTAGTGTAAACATCATAACAACAAATATTGTCCACCGGTATTCATAGCTAAAATCTGCAAAACTGATGTAAAATTGTATAATAAGTAGATTGAAGAAACTACAAATATAATGCTGCTAAAATAGTATGTTAATATCTAAATATATAATCTCAAAAATTGGTGAAACTTTTACTAAATGGTGCCCATAATAATAAATATTGCCCCTGCAACAGCAACAGAGATAAAATGTTTTTTCCTCATATTACCATAAATTACATAATCAAATCGATCCCAAAATATGCTAAACTACACTGCCTTCATGCAAAAACTGAAGCTACAAACTATCCCTTCAATTGGATTGTTGAAGTCTGTAATGCTAAATCACTTGTGTTCATGCCAACTTCAAAATTTTGACCTATGTAATGATCCTGTTAATTATTGTTTTGGCCAGTATTAAATCAAATTAATCAAAACCACATAATGGCATAATGAAACCAAGATTGTGTTAATATCTGACAATCACAGCCAGGACTTCTTTTCACTAATTTCATTGTGATGGTCCACAATTACTTGTACCACTCCTGGTTCTGCCAAGGTTGAGATATCTCCAAGGTCATCATGTTGACTTGCAGCAATTTTTCGAAGGATCCGACGCATTATTTTCCCTGAGCGTGTTTTTGGAAGACCTGGGGCTATCTGTGAATGGAGAAAACACACAACACATCAAACACTTGCACCTCAATAACATTCAAGCTGTTGTGATGAAAAGGATGGAATGAGTATTTGAGGTTGTGAGATTTTCTTGTCAAATGTACACTATATAATGTTCAAAAGGTGAATTATAATCATTTAAACTAATATACCAATTCCTTAATTACTTCACTTGATACAAAATATAACCAAATTTCTCAGTACATCTTTAGGATCAATTACAAGTCTAGATTTACCAACTGTCAACAACAAGAAAAATATACTCTGTCTAAATGAACCTTATGAACTGTTCAGAATGAGTTATTGTGACCTTAAAGCTAATAATGCACACTAACTCCACCAGGACTCTCACTGAACTCAAACAAGATTAACAGAATAGCACGCCTCTTCTTGTTTCGAATGTTCTTGTATAATCACCAGCGTCTCTGTATATAAGGAAGAGGCATGTTAGTCAATCTGATGGTATTCAGTGATGATGAGAGTCCCCATGTGGAGTCAGAGCACAAATTTTGCTAGGTCAAAATACAATAACTACCTTACACCCTCTGAAATAAAAACATACCAGTATGATGTCTGGCACAGCATAGGAGGCAATCTGTGTTTTGATCAGATTTCTTAATTCTGGGATGATATCTGCTGCCGTTTGTGTTGCATCATCTTTAAGGGTGACATAGGCATAGACACCTGAAGAACAGCATATGACTTGATGCTATTGTGTACTGCATACAATCATCTTTTATCATAAACTGATATAAAGAGATTCATCATATCCCTTAATAAAATAAAAGAAATCCATGAGCCTGTATTAATCTTTTGTGCTTTACAAAAATCTATAAAGTTTACCTGTACAACTAATGCACAAATAAACAATGGCCTTATAAACTGTTTTCTAAGAAAAGCATAATTTACCTTCTCCTTTAATCTCGTGAGGGAATCCAACCACAGCCGACTCTGCCACTGATGGGTGTTCATCCTGGACAGTATAACAATTTAATATTTAAACATTTTAACAAGAGTAAGACAGTTTCACCTTAGGTAAAATATTAGTTTTTTGCATTCAATTAAATCCGCATGCACACAAAACCAAACATTAACAAGTTCATCTAGCTGAGCAAGACACAAGTGAAATCTCTGCAGTACAAACTAACATAAATACATACTATAGCATCTTCTATCTCAGCTGTTCCAAGTCTGTGTCCACTAACATTAATGACATCATCCATTCTGCCAGTGATCTGGTAGTGACCACCCTCGTGACGATGGGCGCCATCCCCAGTAAAATATACACCTTTGAGGAATATAACAGTGTGAATAGCCTGAAGATTTTTATTGTTAATAATCCCAGGTCTCATACTCCCTTAAACTTTTCCAGCAACATGGGCATTTTCTCTTTTCAAATCCTTGAAAATATTGTAAATAACACTTAATTTCAAAACAGAGCTAACAATAGAGTTCTGAGAATAAAACTTTCATAAAAGAAATATTTATTTACCAGGAAACATTTTGAAGTAAACATCTAAAAATCTTTCATGGCTGCCATGGATTGTTCTGGCAATGCCTGGCCAAGGTTTTCTGAGGCACAAAGCACCACTGACATTTTCATCAGTCAACTCTTCACCCTAGAAAAAAGTGATACTACTACAGTGTCACATGTATGCTTTCTACCATTGCCATTCATGCTACCACTTTACTGGCACTAACCCTGTGGGAGTTTTCACATTCCATATGTATTTGCAATACTATCCTTTTTTATAAGTCATAAATATCAAATACAAATTTTCCAACCACAAGTATACTTATACTTTATTTCTACTGTTTTGTCTACTAACAAGATACATCAGCTGAAAAAACTAGTAATACTTTTTCATTTTTTTTTAATGAAGCACACCCTTCTGCCTCACCTTCTCATTCAGAAGTACTGGATCTACACCAAAGAAAGGCCTCATAGGCATGCCTGGCCTGATCTCTGCTCCTGGGGCTGATGGACGGGGACTTATCAAAATCCCTCCTGTTTCTAAAATATCATAAATTCTTAAATTGTATAAAATGTTATGAATAATCAGTAAACCACTATCTTTACAGCTGGAAAGATTTCTTGCGCATGTAAAATAATGGAAACATTATTCAGTTTGGTTGTCTGCTAGTATCTATCTATGGCTGCATTCGGAGCAGTGGACTAACTAGTCCAAGAGTCAAACATGGCTGACCCACTTGAATACTTCCCCACAGGGAATCTATTCAGTGTCTATTATCAGATAAGATGGCAAGCTTTTAAGTGGATTGCCATAATTGGCCCACGGACTAGTTAGTCCACCGTTCTGAATGCAGCCATTACCTATCTATAATCTCACTATAAAACAACACACACACATCCACAGCCAGTGTCAAGTGATGGTTTTTTATCTTTAAATACTTCAACATTCAAATTGTAACTTGTGAGACATAAGTACTGTAGTATACCTGTTTGCCACCAGGTGTCTACAACATCACATCTTTTCTCCCCAACAATGTCATGATACCACTCAAAGGCTTCACGGTTCAGAGGTTCGCCAACTGAAAATATCCGGAAACTAATTCTCGCTGAATGTGTTGTAACACATTACATTTACTTTGGAAAGTAAGTCCTCTGCAACCTTCAATGACTTTTATATTTTTTTCTGAATTACAAGTAATCAGCAATGCAAATCAGGAGTTTCACTGACATGTAAAAATAGCAAAACTTTAACATAAGTGAGGATAAAGAGGCATGCATATTAAAACCATAAATACCAGTATATTTTGTATGGTTTGACATGTTATGAAAGCACATAAACATTTTGCTGCCTGCTTAAAAAAAAGAGTATCTATCAAAGCTCTGTCAACCTACCACACCCCAGTGTTTTGAGTGATGACCTGTCATACTTGGTGACAAAAGAATCTCCAGACTTCAGCAGTAATCTCAGAGCAGTGGGAGCAAGGTACAGTATGTTCACCTTCAGTCTTTCTACCATTTCCCAGTAACGTCCTGAAACACAGAACTCTCTGTGAAACTAATATGTATTTTGTTGAATATTTTCGATCCAACTGAAACATTTACTTTACAATCTACTAACAGTCTTTCTCAATAAAAGATTCAATAATCATTTTCTCTCTCTGTTTTGTTTTTCATTTTGCAAATGGCAAATTGTTCACTTTTGAAAAAAATGTTACTCAAAATACTTATTTCAGATATCATTTGGATTCTTGGGCTACAATTTTCAATTGGATTAATATATTTAGATTATTGACCAAAACAAGTCTAATAAACAGATCTCAACATATGTATCCTAAAACCTTTGGAAATTTATATAAATCAGCTATCTGACAGAAAAAAAAAAAATTTTTTTCTCACCTGGGTCAGGATATGTGGGTGTGCTTTCAAACAATACTGAGGTAGCACCATTGCTGAGAGGTCCATACACCCCATAACTGTGGCCAGTGATCCATCCAATGTCTGCTACACATGCAAAAATATCTTCTGGCTGGTAATTAAAAACCATCTAAAAAAGAACACATTTTGTATTTTTATTATTTAAAACTGACATTAAACAGACAATGTTCTAATATCTTTTTCCCTACTACATGTACTTTAGAATTCACACACAAACACACATCGCTAAAAGTAAAAGTGAAGAATGAATGAATTATTCAAAAGGGATAAACAAAAAAAATTGCTGCAATAGTTTTTCATGTTATTACACAAAGACCATGTATTTGGCATATGACAGTTCACCTGATGAGTTACAGTGGTATACACAATATATCCCGCCTGTGTGTGTACCAATCCCTTGGGCTTGCCTGTACTCCCTGATGTATACAACATAAATAGTGTGTCTTCACTGTCCATCTTCTCTGGGATACACATTTCTGGATACTGGGCCATTTCCTAGCCCAAAATATGTAATTAGTAGTGAATAACAGTTATGAAATAGCTTGCAAAAAGTAAATAACTGATTACTAAGCAATGAGAAATTTATGCATTGTGTTTGTTTTTTAAGAGTAAGAGAACAATATGATAATTCTTTTATGGCAATTTATGTAGTTTTATATTTCAACAGGGGTTTCAAGGCCAAAAGCTATGTTAATAAAGCTAATTTCCAAGTCATTATTTCACCGTATGTTTTATATATACCCTTAATGACAGTAAGTAAATCCGCAGATCAAACATATCTCGTATATGTTACAATCACTAATTTTGATATTTCAATGACTATAACCCTTGCACATTCAATAGTACCTCTTTTAGCAGAAAATCCTTCTCTCCCATTGAAACTTCTTTATTAGTTCTGGTTGCCATGAACACTCTCTTGACACCAGGGCATTTCTCCAATGCAGCATCCACAGTGTTCTTCAGTTCTACAAGCTTCCCTCCACGTACTGCAAAATCACTGGTGATCACAGTTTCTGCTCCAGCTAAATTTTAAACAAAATTATCAGATACTAAAAGTGCCATGTACAAACAGAATTGAAGAAATATATTGCTGAAATGAGAATCTCTGAGATAGTGCTAAGTCTTGCAATCTAGGATAAAATCAAACAGGATTCTGTGGAATACATATGATCTAATGATTGTGACTGGCAAACAACAAGGTAAATAAACAATATCATAATACCCACACTCTGCCAGGGGCACATATTGATTTATCACTAGATATTCCCAGACATGTCTCTGGTTAATTCTTTCCAGTTTTTTCTACTGTAAGCAAGAATTTTTGCATGGAATTAATGTCATCACTCAGCTGGCCTCTTGTAAAGAGAATAAAGTATCCATTATTCAACTGAGTATGACCAATCTCTAATGTATTATTTCCTTTATATTTCAGGATCCTACATACAGGTATGATTCACAAATAAGTAGTTTCTATCATACAAATAAATAGTTTTTAATCTTATTTTTAAGAGTTAAATCAGTATTGAAATACCAGAATTCAGCAGACGCAACATAACTTTATAATTATGTATTTTTGAAAAAACTTACCATCATTGATACGCGCAGCCAGGGACTCAGCACTGAACCCAGCAAAGACCACACTGTGTACAGCTCCTATTCTTGCACATGCCAGCATGCTAGCCACTAGAAGTGGGGACACAGGCATGTATATGGCGACAGGATCTCCTCTCTTCACACCATGATCCTTCAACATATTAGCAATCTGGTTCATCTTATGGTAGAGTTCTCTGCAATATATATCAATTTGCTTTTTAAAGAGATGTTAGATATAACTGTCTTTGTCTGTCATCTTCCCAGGTAGTTCAAAATAAATGTTCAGTAGCACCTTTCATTCTTTTTAAGTACTGAAATTACAACACCATACTCTAAAATCATAAGTCTATGTGAAGGAAATGCAAGTGATGCATGTTATTGTTTACAATCAATACTCATTTAGAAGAAAAAAGAAAAATTTGGTCTACAAAATTTATATCTATATTTATACTTATATCAAATATTTCAGAAATACATTGAAGTGATAGTTTTTTTTTATTTGAAAGTTAGTGTTGAGGGCCATTAGAATATTAAAGCATCTTTTGTGCCAAAATCTTATTCAGAGATTTGTGTTATAAACTATACTTCAGCATCATATCATTTTGTTGCTATTTCTTCAAAATATGTCGACTGTACTAAGCTCATCCAAATGAAAATTTCCACTTTCTTAGAAATAAATATATTTATCTTTTTCCAGTTTTGTGCTTTAATTATATTAATATTTATAATATGTAATAAGGCTCAGAATATAAAGAAACAAGAAATATGAAGTATGTTTCCTTTATACCAGAGATGCTAGTTTAACATTAGATGGGAAAGCTCCATGGGAAATACATCAGCTGTTGAAATGGAGATAAGAGAGAGGAGAGAGCTTTCAGTACAACAGGTTCTTACTTGTAAGTAACATGTTCTTCTGTTCCAGGTTCATCTTTTTCCCAAATTAATGCCACTTTGTTTGGAGTGCTTTCAACATGTCTATCAATGCAGCTCTCTAAAACATGCCAAATATATCCACACTCAATTTTATTTTCATATCATTTACAGAAAAAATATTTGCACTTATTATGCTCAAGACGTGCATTGCAAAACAACTTTAAATATTTTTGATATGCATCTTTAGTTATCTATACAACTTAAAATGAAAAAACTCTTTTCTTCCATTTTACACCATGTACAATGCGCTTACCTCAAATTTCTAAATATAGGTTTTCTATCAATATAAGTATAAATATAAGAAACAAAAATGCATGTTAATAAAAGCAGTGTTAGCAGAAGCTCATATGATAAAATTTTAAATTTCCAAGCATGGCATATCCAAGTCATATAATGACAATATATAACAAAATTCACTTTAATTTTTTTCAAATTGACCCCTATAAGCTTTTGATACATATAATATTTGTTTAAATTCAATTTTAAGTGTTTGTTCTACCAGGCAATCATGGGTTTATCTCTTCAAGAGCTGGGGAACATTAAATTATTTTATGACTTAAGTTATTTATGGTCCTACTCAGTATCCTGTAGGCCACCCTAGAGGCTCCAACTAAACCATAAACTTGGTCAACTCAAAACCTCTAGTATCAATGTTTCAACACTGATAATGTTCACATTTAAAACTTTGTCAGAAGTTTGGTTAATTATTTTAATGAACATGTATTTAACCGTAAAATTTTAAAAAATAATGGAATTCTACATAAACATAGATGTGGACAAGCACACATGATTATAAAAATATAAATCAGAAAGATTTTTTAAGTTTCAGACTTTTTCATATTTTTTCCATATTCTGCTTAGGGGTTGACCCATGTTATTCTTTTTTATCATTCATTCATTTACTCATTTGCATTTGATTGTTAATCTATCAATTCATTTATCTGTTAATTTCCCACATACTAATTGCAATATATTTCGTTTTACTATGATTCACTAATTCACTTGTTTATCTATCTGTTAATCTTCTGATTTATTATCTACCCACATTGAAAGAGATTTAATTTGCAAAATATTTTCATGTTAAAATTAAATTAAAATGCACATGAATTTAAAATGAATGTAAAGATACACTGAAACTAGTTGGGTTAAAACGGCAAGAAAGCAGCTGCAGCAGCTTGGGTGCTGTAAAAATGAGGCCATTGAAGGGTAACATTTTATCTTTGGTCGTTCGACGAATCCAACTTTTGTGCTCTGTGTTAATAAAGTGACACAAGTTATCAAACCTGTAACATTAAGCTTTCCTCCTAGAAACCATTTAAAATCCCCCTTTTCCATATCGCATTTCTGAACTTGGTCGAAGTCGGTCATCCACTTGACGCGACTTCTGGCCAGTCGACCCCAAAATAGATCTGGGTCTCGAAGACTCAGGTCGTGGAGGTCTTGGTAGGATTTTATCCCGCTTGTCCCGTCAAACTCCGGAATATACGTTGTGCATATTGGTGAAGATGCTGATGCCATAGTCCGTCTTAATATTATAGGCCATTTTTTCACAGAACAAGCTGCGAGCTTGCTCTCTTTTATGTATCGGCTGAACCCCCGACATAGTCCTGCGCCCCTGTGCGCCATCTTTCTTGTTTACGTGTGAGAGTCGCCGTCTGGCGGCCACATTGACGGGGGCGTGTCTGAAGGCACCTGTTGGAAAAGTGCCAAAATGAGCTTACTTCAACAAAAGTAAAACAAGTTGGGTTTATCAATATATAGCTGTTCTAAAACATAGAGCAATATGAAAATCTTAGTCCTTTTCCTGTCCAAATACCAGCTAGTAGACTTGATTATTTACCAATGCTGTGATTATACAAAAACAAATGACTGCAGGTGTTTAACAGTATATATCTGTCAGCTAAAAATGCTAAAGAGAACAATTTATCATTGAAATAATACTGAGTTTATTTTTCAATCATAATATTATGTGCAATGTACATTATGTTTTTATTTTGCACAATAATATCAGTGTTGCAAGTTTAAAAATTGTCATTGCAACAAAATATGATCTTGAAATGATACATCTTATTTTTATGGTATTTCTTTTCTTTTTTTTTTTTAATATGCAAAACTTTATCTCTTTAAAGTTCTCTCTTTTAATAGTCATATCTATTTAATTTTTATAATTTTTTCCAGAATCAACTTCTTGGCAATTTCTGTTTTATTGTCTTAATATAGGGCGAATTTAAATCATAATCCTGTATCACCAGCTCATGAAATCAGGCCTTTTCACATAGCCAATCCCAACTGACATAAATAACTACTACTATTACAAGAATTGTACATCATTTCTTTTGCCATTTTATAAAATGTTCAGAAGAGCAATTTAAATGCACCTCACAAGGCATCTCTAACACATCTTAATCATGCTTATATCAGTCACCCTTCTTGAAATTTCAGTCTTTATTTTTTTGGTAATCTCACAGACATTCATCAAATGTTTAACTTAACGTGCACCTAAACATTCTATGCCAGCAGGCCCCTCTTAAATCTTATAACAATGTGTAATATAAATTTTATTTCCTGTCATTTCCTTTCCTGTGTTATCCCTGATTTTGGCAATACTGAACAATCTGTTTTTCAATGTCCTGTATACTGCTTAAAACATCTTTTAGTTTTTCTTCATCCATCTCAAATGTCTGAGTCTCTTGGGTCTAAAAAGGAATACAAGAGTGATTTTAGAATTCCCTTTATGATGAAACTCTATACATGGTCTTCATAAAAGAAAAAAGCAATTTTATGAGTATAAAAATATAACTACTGCAGTATTATGATAATCAATATATTTATTTGACCACAATTAAACATAAGAAATAATAAGGCACCTTTGAAAAAAACATCATATTTACAAACTAAACCTTTCATACATAAAAAATAAGTAAGTTAGTTAATTAGAATGACAAAAGCAGATATCATCATTTTCAAGAAGAGTGTGCATTAAAAAAAACAAAGTACCTTATCTTTAGCACTTTCTAATTGCACCTCTACAATGGCAGTGGGGGTGTTGATTTGTTCAATGTGTTTTGCCTGAGTTTTTATATCTATCCTCCAGTTAACAGATTTAAGAGTATTATCCCATGTAGATTGGGCAACTAGGCTATCATGGATTTTTGTCTTATGGTTTTTCCAGAACTTGGCATAAACTTTGGCCTGCTCCTCTGTCAGTCCACCATCCTTCTTCCTTGTCTGCGATGTCAAGAAGGCTTCCAGTTGGTTAAAATCCATGTCAGCTGATGACATGCTCTGCAAAGTAATGTAATTAATAACAACATGTATACTGAAATTGAGCATTTTACTCAGTATGTGTAAATAAAAGTGATTATTGCAAAAAGTTAGCAAATTTTGTCAAACTTCTATTGATAATGGGTACTTTGAGCAAAAACTTTAAAAAATAAACTAGAAGGCAGGGTTGCTTCAATTAAAACTGAGGCAAGAGTCGGTTTATGGCCAGGGAATATAATTGGTAAATAATATTTCTAAAAGCTTTTGTGGTATATATCATAAGTTTAGAACAAAAAATCTCTTTACAAAATGTCATAAATGAACTAGAATATATTTAGTGCATTAACACCTAATATTCGGCGTTTTTCTATTTACTATACCAGTAGAAGTGCTATAACTAATGTTGTACATTATATCATAATGGCATGATCAACTTGTATTCATTAAGGTTTGATCTGGGTAGTATTTACCTTGATTAAATTGGTCGATTTCTTCATCAGATTTTGAAAATCCTCCTCCGACATATCCGCGTATAGTTCACTCTTGAGCAAATCGTGTGTAATATCTGTGTCATTGTAGAAATCTTTGCGTGCAATGCCGTTTAAAAGAGCCAACAAACTCTTTGCTTCGTCTGCCATGACTTCCGCCTTTTTCTATCCCGCAGAAAAAATATTGCTAACAATTAGCAATGATATGATATACTTAATATAAGTCATATGAAAAAATAGGAGAAAGAGATTTTTTATTTAAATCTTTCTGTATAATGAGCTCGTTAGGAGCAAAAACGCCACTTTATTTCCACCACAAATTTCTTTGCATAGTTAAAATAATAACTTCCGGTTTCAGCGCATGTGTGTAGGGTTGACGCTGACACCAACTTTGTTTGATGCGGTGCCTATACATTAACAATTATGTCAGGCATGAGTTTGTCTTATAAGAATTCAGGAATAACTAGTGATTCAAGCTATGGAGAACAAGAGCAGGATGCAAATTCAGCTCTTTTGGAGCTTGATAAAGGTGCCCCCCCCAACCAATATTAACACAACCTTACTCGACTACATTGTGGTACTATTTATCTGAGCTGAAATGTTCACAAAAAAGGTTGGCGCAATTTTCTTTTACACATGGTACTTTCCATCTGTCGCAGTGATACAGTTTTACAAAAGAGCCCAAGTTGAAAATTGGGCATAAATAATTTTTTCTTATATTCTTTTTCTGGCAGGATTAAGGTCCCAGAAACCGGGAGAGCAGTGTGAAGCAATAGTAAGGTTTCCCAAGCTATTTGAGAAGTATCCATTTCCAATTTTGATCAACTCTGCATCACTAAAACTTGCTGATGTTTTCAGAACAGGGTAAGTAGATATTCCAGAGTTGTATTCAATCAAGTAGAGAAAGCTATTTATTCTGCACATATATAGTTTGATTAAGTTTAGCTTTGCATTATATTAGATCTAGTAGTTATTTTGTTCATTTTAATATTTTTATTAACTTATTTATATATGTATTATAATTATTTTTTGTTGACAGGGATGCAGGGGAGGAGGGCTAAAGGCATAAAATCATCTGAAATTTGATTACTAGTATTTTCATTTCTATAATACCATATACATGAACATTTTACTTTTCAGGACAAATTTCCAGAGGCTGAACATTTTAAAAGTTATGCAGCAAAGCCAAAAGCATCTTGATAAGATTCTAAATGTGGATGAATTTCTGAGGAGAATATTTTCTGTCATTCACAGCAATGACCCAGTGGCCAGAGCCATCACGCTGAGGTGAATTACGTACTATTGATTTGCATTGGTGAAATGTGTACAGCACAATACTGCAGAAAGTCCTTCACAAAAATAAAAAAATTGAAAGAAGAAGAAGGCGCAATGCTTCTGTCAGAATAATATTTACACTGAAAAGATTTGGCAATTACTATTCCTGGAATTGCTTCTTGAAAATTAGATTTCTGAATCAAAAGAGTGCAGTACATTTAAAGGGTATCCCTGTCACCATAATAATCTGTTGGAGTTATGAATATATAACCAGTTAAACATGATGATACTAATAGAGGTAAATTATCAGAGTAGTGTTTTATCTAAACTGAACTGTTATCATTTTGATGGAAATATTATTTAAACAGCTTAGTTGTTAAGTCTGAGTCACTATGAAACAAACGGGTCATAAAGGTATGATAATAATGATTTGTTTTATATTTCAGAACAATGGGTAGCATTGCCAGTATTATCTCAGACAGGAAGAATGCTCACCACAGTGTCATCAATAGCTTGGATTCCCATGATGCTGTGGAAGTTGAAGCTGCCATATTTGTAGCATCATGTTTTGCTGATCGTTCAAAGTGAGTGTTGTGACTAAGATGAAAACAGTCGTGAAAACGCCAGGATAGAAAACAGTTGAACATATCTGAATTTTTTCACCTCAGATGTTTTCCTTAGATGTTCAGTGGAACATTGCCAATTTCAAACAGCAATGGAGCTTTTGGAGAGATAATTCATTTTTATGTGCTTTAGGATAAAATGCTTGCTTCTTTCATAATTCAGTGTTTGTGTAAAACCTTTTCTTCAGTACTTGGTACACATTCTATGATAATTATGAATTAAAAGATGTCTTTTTTTGTGAAATAATCTTACATTATTTTCATAAAAGAAATGTTGTTTTAGACAATTTGCCACCAGCGTGTGCCAGAAGCTGGCTGAGATGATCCAAGGGCTGGCCACTCCTGTTGATATGAAATTGAAGCTGATACCTGTATTCCAACATATGCACCATGATGCCACTACCTCTGCCAGGGTGAGTGGTATGAAGGGGGGATATGTCAGCACTCTTATTTCTTTAAGTATAGATTTTAAAGTGAATATAATTTGGGTTTTAGGTATAGTATATACACATTTTGACTTTAAACATGCTCAGAGCATTTTTGTCATGCACTAACGTTTAAATGTATTTTTCTATATAGCGTATGTCAGGTAATGTTTTACTAACAAATCGTGTCTTAATTGAGAAGTTAATATTTTAACCCAATTTATTTTGTTTTTTATTTGCAAATGAACAGCTTGATTCTCACATCATTTCCTGTTTTTTACTTTAAAAACTAGGATTCATGAAGTGAATTAAAGAATATTCTAGAATTTAAATAAACTCTCGTTAAACAGTGTAGTAAATGTGTATATTTAATCAGGTGCGTGAGTTATGTAAAGAGATGCTGCCTAACTACCCAGCCAGAGACATGGTGACTGTCACTCTCCACACACTCTCAATGCTGGCAGCTAAGTCACTCATAGATATTCCACAACAGGTAAATGTTTTTGTAATACAAGGCATGCTTAATGTCTTCACTTATGGCAGAGTCATATGGGGGTAGTGCAGATGATTTGTTTTGGTGTTTTTTGATTTTGACTAAACTAAACTAAGTATTTTTGTATTGACGAAAATATTAAATGGACATAAATCTTTGTTTTCATAGTGTCCATTTCTGTCTCAAAGGCATATTAAGGTTAAGTTAATTATAAACTAATTTATTTTCCCCAAAATTGAAAATGTTCACTATGCTAAATCCAAGTGATCTTGAAATGTGTTGATGATTTGAGTTTGGGTTATAAATGTAGAATTATTATCCATCAGTACTAGCAAACTATTAAAGAAGCCAAGAAAATTCTACATTTTCCAGTACTTTTTTATTGACAATTGGCTTCCATAATTCATTAAAAAAAAAGAAAAATGACTATGTTAAATCAAGACAGAAAAAGTGTGTTTCAAAGCTTTTATGTGATTGAAAACATTTGTTTCAGGTGGAACTGTTGCTAGTTTATCTGGAAAAGGACCCCAGGCGCCTTGTGAAGATCACAGCACTCCAAGATCTACGCTTGTTGGTAAAGAGAGCCCCTCACATGTGGACAGTCCAGCAGATTCAGGTGTTTTTTTTTCTTTATCTACACAGTATATTTTTTGTTGTTATAATATTTTTCAGAAAAACTTAAATTAATTGTAATTGATACGTTAGCAACTAATCAGCTTAAGCCTGACAAGCAATTTTTGTGTTTTGTTGATTTTATATTCCAGGTAGTTGATCATATATCATCTGGTATATTATCTACAAGGCAATTATGGTTATGATGTAATCCAGCATTATTCTATATGTAATCATTTATTTGCAGTGCCTTTGCAGTTTTACCATGAACACCCCCTTAGATGGTCTCAGAATGGGAGCTCTGCTAGTGCTTACATCTTTGTCTAAAACTATTGCTCTAAGCACATTCAATCAAATTCAAGGTATATATGATAAAAATAACAAAGTATATAAAAGTCCTCTTTTAATACAGTTATGAAATCTGTATCTTAGGCATCAGAACATAGAAAAACTCATTTGAGAAAAAGTCCAGATCATAAATCATATTTCACCAATTTATCAGTCAAGATAAACTGTGTTAACTTTGGAAAGATGGTTAACCCATATATTGATTTATAGGGAGGGATTGAATCACATTTTCACAGTCCTTAAACTAGCGTTATGAATCATTTAGAAATAAACTGCAATGCAGGACAAGATTTAAAGCATTTTATCCTAATATCCTGTATGTATGCATGTATGTATATATGTACTGTAAAATGTTATGTCTGTCTATAGGTTCAGCACTTCATCACATTTGTTCCGAGTTCTGTTACCATATCAACCCAAGCATTGCCTCTAGAGCAACAGAACTCCTCACTGACTTGGCACTTTGGACATTGAAGGGTAATGTTCACTAATAATTCATGTTCAACAATATATTTGTTAAAAACTGGACTGATAATTTTGTGTAACCTTTATAACATGCCCAGTAAATTTATGTATACCTGGTAATTCAGACACAGAGTCACACATTTAGCAATGCAGATGAAGATATTTAACACTTTCTATTTAGAAAAATGCTGTTGCAGACTTAAAGATGTTTTGTTTCTATTGTTGACATATATGCTGCTTTAACATTTTTTATTTGTTATCTCTTTATGTAAAATGTTAAATATTAAATTTAGAAACTTCTGATGACACCCTCCCCATCATACTAGAAGCATGCACTGCCTTAGAAGCTTTGGTGCTAGTTTCAGCTATGAGTGATGACAAGAAAAACAAGGAAGCTTTGAAGGTACCATATTTTATTCTTTTAATTGGTTATTAAAAATAAATCCCAAAGAGTAAATAAATGCTATATAAAAAATGCAATTTCTTTGTATGCTTCCTGTTTTACTTTTAATGATATTTTGTGGGAATGCTTTACCAAAAGTTAAATTTTCATATAGATACCATAATTGAATTATAAGGAAAGGTAATTAGGAATTGTATGTTATTAGGAAGTGTCAACACTCATTCCAGGTCTGCCTCTTGTCAGTAGTGAAGTTGAGTGAAGCATCTTCATCTGCGGCTGAAAAGTTTCTTAATCTTCTCTCATCACTCCTGAACTCTGCCCCAGGTAACTGAATTAGTAAATAAAAACAATGAAAAAAATGTTTGTATTACATAAGTTTAGATTATGAAAAGGATAATGTAAAATAATTTGAAATCTGTTTTCTGGTTAGAAATTATATACATACTGTTTAAGATCTAAATCAATAATAGTGGTTTATTTGCATATATTTGGGTCAGTGTTTAATTAGGTGTTAATATTTTAATAATACAACTTATTCTTGCAACCAGTGTATTTCAGACAAACAAACAATTTTGATGCACAGTACAAACTTAGTGACATTTAAGTGTGCAGTATTTTAAAATATTATATAACCTTTTTTCTAGTGTCCAGTGCCCTCCTGTTGTGTGACTGTCTAGCAGCAGTGAGCAGTTACAACAATGAAAGCCTGCAGAGCATCTTTTCTGAAATACAGACCACACTCAAACAGGCAACAGAGTCTGGGCAGCATGGTTTTGCAGTAAGTCAGAACATGTGACCCAAACACTTACTTCTTTTGTTAGATTTTGGATAACTTTTCTTGGCACTTTTAACTGAAAAAATATTACTTATTATTAATGATTTTATAGCTGGGTTAAAAAGTTTTCTTGGTTTGTTTGCTGCTTTGTTCAGTACCTAATCAAAAACAAGAAATAAATAATGATTCATAGTTCAATTTCAGAACATTGTGAATTTTTAAAGACATTTCACCTTTAAGTTTTATTGAAAATCATGTTATTGTAACAGGGCAATATTGCTGTGTGTGAGTTCCTGTGGGAAAGAGAGAGTGAGGAATTGCAATCACAGTAAGTGTGCGAAACCCTACCTGTCAGTTTATTTTTTTTCTGTGTATTGATTATTAGGTAACACTCTGCACCTTAGTCTTTCAAGCCACTGCTGCCTACGAGTTACCTGGTGACTGTCAAGAGACAATTATGGCATTGACAAATGTGACCAATCACTGGCAAGCTTACAAAGTGGCAAGGCAGGCCACCAGATATGGTCACCATGAAGTAGCAGCTGGAATCTTCAAAAGTCTGTTTGTAAAGGTATTTTGGCACATTCCTGCACCATACATTGCATTAGATGTTAAAACTCTCACTCATACCATTACTTTAAATCAAAAGTAGAATTTCTTAAATTTGGCTTCTTTCATTTTTATTTTTGAATTTTTTAAAAATTTTATTTCTATTTATTTATAAATTTTTGTAAAAGAAAAAAGTTGTTTATTTGCAGTGTCTTCATATATGTTGTATAGTGTTAAATTCACCTTCAAGTTGTGTTACAATCTTACAATTTTTAATATCTATAAAATATGAATTTGGTTGTCCTCATTTATTCTGAAGGTCTCTTCTGAGCAGTTCCTGTTCTGGCTGACTAGCCTCCATGAGTTCTGTATAGGAGAGACCAGCCTGCGAAGAGTAGAAGATGACATCCCTACAATGATGCAGTGTATAACACAGGCTGCAGTACACTACCATAGGGGTCTCTCCTCACTCAGGGTAGGTTTTTGATAACAAGTAGTGTTGTCTGCTTTTTATTTGCTGCATTAATGGCTGGACAAGTTTCTTACAGAGAATTTTAGTATTTAGAATGTTTCTTTTTAAACAAGCTCACATCCTTGTTGCTTGTAAAAGTTTTCAGCAAATGCTTGCTCTGTTGCTCTTTGTTCATGTCCCATTATTTCAAATATTAATTATAAAGGTGCATTTTTTAAATCCCTTCCTTGAAACTTAAAGGCATTTATTTACTAAACAAAATTAAATAAAGCAGTATTTCTTTGGCTTGTAAAATATACTATTATGCAAAGATACCAAGTGCAGCTTAAATCATTTCCAGGCTGCAGGAACCCCTACCCATCCCTTACACTTCCAGTGTGACTTCATAAAGCTGAGAGTTCAGCAGTTAGAGGCCTGTGCTCACTTGCTGAAAGCCTGCTGCAGCTTTCGCACCAACCCACCCCCGGCCATTGCTGTCAACATTGCCATGACAACGGGGCAGGAGATACAGAGATGTGGCAGAGTGGTAGGACAGGTCTGTGTCTTGGAGACAGTATTTTAGTTTCACATTTATATGCTCAAGTCTCCTCTCAATAATAGTATGTATTGTAGTAGTGATGGCTTTCTATGTACAGACAGTGTATGCAGATCACTGTGTCTTTCATGGTCATCGCTGTTGCAGTCTGTATATTTGTAAGCTTTGCTGCTTACTTTAAAATTCACTTTACAGGACATGTGAGGACCTATCAATCATGATTTAATGATGTACTAGAGACACTTTATTTTTAATTGATTCACTTCTTCTTGTTATACAGCTTCAGCAGTGTGCCAGTGAATTTGAGAATCTCCATACATCTTATGGTCACCTGAGTCAGGCATCATTTGATGCAGATCCTGTGTCACTTGGCAGTTTGCAACTGTATCCTTTATCATCATATGATCATAGCATAAAAGGAAATGAAGCCAAAACACATTATTTATTATTATAGCATATCTTTTAAACCAGACACTTGATATTTGGATGTATATTTCATATTTTCTGCTGGCATTTTCATGATATATCTCATAAATATAGTCAGATAATGCAATGTACAACTGGAATTCCTTGATAATGTGTCTAGATTACAGCACTGCTGTCTCATTGTTTCACAGGCATTGAGAGTTATTCTTCAAAGTAAAAACAGGTAAGGGAATTGTCAGCTTATTTATTTCTGCATTTGAGAATTTTGAAATTTAACTAAAAATGAGAAGTATTTGGTTTGATATTGAAATTGAAATAGAAATGAATGCCTAGGGTCAATTCTTACTTTAAAATAACAACAAATGGAAATAATTAATTTCTTAAGATTAAAATTGCTTATTTTTCTGAGGAGTATATTTTGTCTTAATGATCTCTTTAAAATGTCTTTAAATTATTTCAAGCCGTGGCTATCTGAGTGATAGTCTGTCCTGGTTGAGCCAGAAAGTTCCCACACATAGCTGGCAACTGTATGAAGCCTGCCAGGACATCTTACAAGACTTACAGAAAACTTTGGAAGGGACAGTATCTGAACTGCCTATTGCCTATCAGGTGTGTACATAAGTCACATAGATTTAGGCAAACTGATTCAGATTCTGATAATTATTTCAGAAATGTGTTATTGGCAAACTTATTATTGAAGAGCTTGATTTTCATTTTTCTGCCAATTTTGTGTTAGTTGACATATTTAGTTGTTCTCAATGTTTCAGCATATGGACTTCTTAGAGAGGACAGTGCTATCCTTGATTCAAGTTCCATTGTGTTTTCCAAGATATTTTTACCAAAGTCTTCAGGCAACTTCTATCAAGGTAAGAAATTTAGTGTAACAATCTTCTTTATCCAAGTGTTAGTAAAATGACAAATACTGAAACTAATGCGTTTTATGATTTTTTTTACTTTTAGTAGTTCAGAGAAAAGTTCTTTATCAAAACCAAACTATCAGTAAGACTTTTAAATATTGTATTATTTTAGCTGGCTATTTCACCCCAGCCAAGGAGTGTCACGGAGCCTGTCAGTATCACCCACGACACACATCTCACACTGAAGATAGAGGGGGTCATACAGCATGGCAAGCACCCTGGTTTGTTCCGCAAGATTCACAGTATACAGCTGGATGTCCACTCTGTAATGCAGACCAGGGGGCAAGCACTGGGGGACATGAAGGTATTGGTCAACATTGGGGTTTGAACTACTCTAGGGTGAGAGGGAGTGATTTAGATTCTTTTTGAGGTTGGAATATTCTGGGCGTTTTATACAATTGCATTTTGTTTTAGCTTAAAGTCAGTTAAAAATAATAAAAAAAATTGATAACCTTATAGAACTTGTCTCAGTATTGTACATTAAAACCACTGTATAATTAGAAGTGTAATAAGGAATTTCTTGTTCTATTTCCAGCTATCAGAAAATCCTTCCAATTCTATGACCCAAGTAACAGAGCCACACAACGACTACTTCAGTGCCCACTTCCTGCTCACTTTCCCTGTCCCAGGTATACATACCATATGTATAGAAGCAGCAGTCATAGATGAGCAAGGTAACACATGGAAAACTGGACCTAGGTCCAACTTGGTTGTCGAGTCGTATGATGAAGCTTACAGGATACAGCAGCAGTATGTACGCGCACAACAGAGGAATATTGCCCATAGTAGCAGTACCAGTAGCTTCGTGGCTCAGCTCTCCCAAACTTCTAGTTAACAAGAATCCGATGTGATACTAAGAACTTTTGATTAAGTTTGAGAGTATGTAGTCATACTGAGCACAGGACATTTGGATAAATTTCAGACTTTGTTTTGGACATCCATTGCAAGAAATAGCACTTGGGTTACATCAGCCTAACAAGACCAACAAATTGAAATAAATTATGCTTGAAAGTGATCAAGGCAACCAAGCAGCAAATTTCACTTTTTCAGTTACAAACTAGTAGTTTTGAAAATGAAGCCTTTATTCCTAGAAATCCATGCTATTTTGATCATGTAATATGTTAAGATTTACAAGCTTGTTTAAAATCCACATGGACATTATCAAAGATTGTATTTTTTACAGTGAATGTCAGATTAATAAAGACCACAAACTGTATGACTTTTCTTCCCTGCAATACTTTCCAATAAATATGAGCGCAATTTTCAATAGCTACAAACTTGTACATTTTCAGGTCTACTCTGCTTCTACTACTTATTTCACACAAAAAAAATGATGTATTCCTACAAATCCTGCGTTCTAGGTACTGTTTACATGCACTTTGGTGAAAAAAAGTAATACACAAATACATTTGTTCTTGTATGAGTTATATAGCCCACACTTAGTGCAGACCAGAGAAACGTATCAGTTTCTTACACAAATAATCTTTTAGTCAAGAATAACTATAGGTTCCTGTTGTTCTTTGGTGCTGCTTGGCCATTTTACATTTTCAAGAACGCGCCAAGGTTTGCGAGCTGCTTTGCGGAATTCGGTCCCATTCAGTTGCTTGCGAAGGCGTCTGAAATTAATAAGACGAAGAATAATCACAGCTGTTGAAGGATAATTTTTTTTCTATATTTAAGAAAACTGCATAGTTTGTATTTCATGCACAAGTGAGATGAGCTTTCAACAGTAATGACTTAAAAACTGCAGAAGTTTCAGAGTTGGATTGTGTACTCAGCACTGATCACTAAGAACAGGTCTGTGAAGATTCTCATCACAAACTTCAGGTGTCTCATGCCTATTCAAAAAACTTTCTACAGCCTGGTAAATTCAATATTAAAGGGGGGGGGGGGTAAGCATCTGTGCACACCCTTCATGATTGTAAGTAAATATACATAAACTGAGTTAGTATTTGCTAGACATGCCTTGTGTTATCTGTTGCTAAAAAGAAGACATCATCAGGTGCATCCACCCAGTTCAGTTTCCTTGTGGCCTTGGTCCCTGGTTTGCCACGTCCGTTCATGTACGGGCCCCTCTGAAACATGCAACACAAAAAGATACTGATGAGCTAGGAGTGTTGCTGTCAAAAATTATTGAAAGTATCAAAATTGAAAGTCAATTTTGTCTATGGTTGATGACTTACTACATTTTAAACGAAAAACCCTCCTGACCTTCCACCTCCCAACCCATCACATAAACTGCAGACTGGAATTCCAATCAAAAATTTTCAGCATCAATACCTGCATGTTTCAGAAAACCACTTGGCCATATTTTATGCTCACATTTCACACACATTTATGATTTACAACAAAAACACATTACCTGTTTGATGCTGCTGGACTGTCTGATGACTCCCATGGTTGGACGTTTTGCTGGGGGCCCTAAACATAAAGGGAAGAATAATTTTTTAAAAAATTAAATCATATCACTTCACTGAGAATATATGCAGAATAAAAAATTCTTGAGAACTGTTAAAACAATATTTGAAGTGTCAGGGTTGGATTGAAGGAATCTACACCTCATTCTTTCAGAACAGGTCTGTGAAAGTTCTCATCATGCACTTCTGTCAAAATCATGGCTACAAAAAATATTTCATTGAATCAAAGATCATGTTCATAATCCCAATCAAAGTCCCTTATTATTTTATAACATGTTATGTACCCCTTTGGCAAATCATTTGTGCATTTTCATGTACCTTCTAGTCCACCTTGATCATAACCTCTTTTCTTCATGATAGATGGTTTAGCAGAAGGCGACTCCCCCTCCATGTCTTCCTCTTCCTCCACATGGACATGTTGGCGCTCCCCTGAGAAAGCAAAGGAAGGTAGAAATTGCTAAGAAAAATCCACAACTTAGCATCTTACATGATAGTAAGAAAACAAATTCTATCATAATTTTTGCTTATTTAGCTGCAGGGATAAAAATATTGAGTATGTATGTAGGTAGTGTAAAGTAATCAATTTATTAAAATGCAACATGCCATCACTTCCCAGTTAGCAGTTCAAAATCTGTATCAAAGGGAGTAATAAAATACAATTTATAAATAACAGTGAAGTGTCAGAGTTGGATTGTGAAATTCAACACATTTCATTCAGAACAGGTCTGTGAAATTTCTCATCATACACTTCTAAAGCTTTTTAATGTATCACACAGTACTGATGTCAAAATTTTACATATAAAATGTAATGAAGAGCCCTAAAACAATAAACGCAGACTGTGTCATATTTTTCAGCACTGGGTTCGTGCTAGCAACTTTTGTAAACAAAGCAAATTTAAGCTACTTACAGAATTGGTTGAGCTCCTCAGCAGATGGGCGTGGGTAGGCATACCTGGCTGGTTCCGCCTTTTTCTCAGAGTGTGCCAGCCATGGAGGATGTTCTCCACTAACATCAAGACTCAAGCCTGCGCCAACCTTCTCCATGGTGATCTGTGGCTTGGGCTTGATGGTGATGTTCTTGGCTGCATCTGGCAACCTGACTTGGCCTGTAAAAAAGACGTTTCTGCCATTTTTTCCATCAAATGTGTAAAATTATATATTACCCATCTTCTTGGTGGTGGTGGTGGTGGGTGGGTAATGTTTCATCAAAAATATTAAAGCCTACTTTGAATATGTTTCATCCTCTCAAAATATTGTACCAGATCTAAAAGGCATGTTTTAAATGATTCAGCTCTTATTGAATAATATTCCACAATTTCATCTGCCATGTCAGTAAATATGTGATAACTTACACTCCTGCTTTATTGCTGCTATATTGATTGGGGTGAATGGACTGCGTGCCGCCCTACGAGGCTTCAGTATGTCCCTACACACACGGCGTGAGATTCGAGTAAGAGGTGTAGTAACCAGACAAAATGCAGCACGTGTTTTCATGACTGGTCGTGGACTTCCTGATCGTATTGCTAGACCATGTGCAGTGGCAAGATGGCGGGCCAGATGGGCTTTAAGTTTAAATTCCTAAATAAAAGAATAAAGGGGAAAATTATAATCATTTGCTTTGAAGAGAACAGTTGATGCCTCTTCAAACATCACACACAATTTTATTCACTACAATTACTTGTCCATGGTGTTTTGTAACCATACTTAAATTATTCTCCTTAGATTCATCAACAAACATCATCCATTCAACTCTTACCTTGCCACACCCACTGATAGTACATTTGTGCATCCTCAAAGCAGCCATCTGAGCCAGGCGTTCTGTGGGGAAAAAACAAAATGTTACATACTGCACTAACATTGCTTTCAATATGGTTGCAATCTGGCTTACTTTGTAGCACTATTCTAAAGCCATTGTTCCAGAGAAACACTCGTCCCACAGTTGCCTAAAGTTTCCTTTACAAATATTATATTTCTTAAATGCAACATTATGCCTCATCTTGTGTTGTATCTTCTTTGTGGCTGACACATTCTCAACGGCCATATCACATAAAAAATGCTGCCTCATGATTAAAAACTAAATTTCATCACGCACAAATGTATGTCTTGAAAACTTAACTAAAGCATGGGTGTTCTATTATCCAAATAACGGCTACGATGAAATAAATCCACCTTATGTTGAGTAAAATTTGGAAAATGTCTTCGTTTTTTTTTTTAAAGCCAAATTCGCCAAAGTCCTAAATGTGAGCTTTAAAAAACTTATAAAATTGGACACAAATGTGTTTTACAGTTATCTACTGTTCACACAACTTGCCAATTAAAAAGGAGGGCTAAGCAAAATGCTGTGGCAAGAGGAAGATGAGGCATAATTATTTCATTCTCAATATATTTATATATACTTGTAAAGATCACATTCATTATTATAGGCATCAACAAAATAAGCCATTTTACAACAGTTAACATTGCAAACACTTCAACAGCCTACAACTAAAGCTTTACATTTACAGCACACACTTGGAATTGGGGTCTAAATAACAGCAAGTGAATGGAAAACAGTTAAAGAACTAAAATGCAAATAAAAAGTACAAGCTCTAAATATCTGATAATTGAATTATTATATTATGTATTCCTCTGAAATTGTGAAAGTCATAGATACTGGTACTGGTATATATACTTCTAGTCTTATGCAATAAACATGTTCATCTAACCTTGCCTCTGGTTGGGTGCTGGGCGTTCTCCATCTAAACAGGACAAATAGTACACATATGTGAAAAGAAAACATCTTTACTCAAAGCAATAACTGGGCTCAATCTTTCATTCTTTTCAATCTTTTTTCTTCTTTTTTTTTTTCCTTACGCAACAGAAGGAAATTGTCATTTGGGATAAATAATCTATTTATATCTCTTTTTAGTAAATCAGTTTTTGACCTGGCCAAACATAATCAACTTGCCTGAACACTCAAAGCTAATGGTAAAAATCTTTTAAAATGCTAAACTGAGCCCAATGAGGTTCCACATTGTGAAGTTGACACATTTTTGGTTGAACTAAGGTTTTTCTATACTTCTTTTTTCCCTTACACTTAATGACAGAAAAATTGATCATAATGACGTATCATGTTATCATTCAATTTTGACTTCATTTCAATCAGCCATTGGACCTTTTTGTGATTAGTTAAAATTTTATATCCAAATAACTTTCTATTTTATCTACAATTTGAACAAAATATCAACTTCAGAATCTGGATTAAACTGGCCATTGAATCATCTACACACCAGTATTGGCAATGCAGAGATTCATATATATTTGGCCCAAAATAGATCAATGACATAACATAAACACAAACCATGTACTACACAACTGAAAAATGCTCATTTTAAATAAAGGAAACTAAATTGAAAGCTAAACCCTGAGACTAAAAGTTTTCTAAAAAAAACATCAAGACTTGCAAAGTTTTTTCAATATTATATCATGATATTTGCTCTACAGTTCATTTAGAACATGCAAAATGAGATTATCCAAAGCACATAAAGGTTGCTCTATGGTCACTCTTTTAAAATCAAAATTTAAATGAAATACATCCTTAAAACAAGGCAGAACCAGGGTAGAGTACAGTATAACAACTATTATAATAAAAAAAGCTGACCCATCTTTCTGAAAGATGGAAAATAAAAAGAAGAAAATTTGGGAGACTACAGTCATGCATTACAAAATATACCAGATAAACAAACAAACATCAGGGTAGCAGCTACATGTTACATCATATGTAACCCCTGGTACACTCAATATATACAGACACTCATGAAAATTGTTCAAAATGCTTATCATGGATATTTCTACCTTCTGGGAGATATTCCAAATACTTGTATCCATACCCAACATGTTTAAAAGTCAATCACTCAACAAAGCACCTTTATCTTCTATCTTCACATAATGTCTTTATTTAAATTTTTAAAAGAAGTTCTCCTATAACAGTTTACTTACCAAGTCTTGTAGGCATTTTAAGCCCACCATACTTCTTCCAGTATATCCAGCAACTGGAGCAGAGCCGACATTGCATGTGGGCAGGACCCCAGGCATACCACTGGGAAGAATGGGCAGCTGAGAAAAGATGGTAATTACAAAATGAATGGACATATAAATATGCACATGTTAAATAATGACAAACTTTTATATGTCTTAATCATGTCCAAGAGAAAAGGATATTCCAAATTCTCAAGACAGATTGTCACTGTTATTTGATAATGTAGCATTTAACTTAGATTGCCTAATCTTCCAAAAAGAGTTATACATTATCAGCCTAAAACCAAGAAACCTAAATATGTATTTTCACTTCTCTTCAACAGAAGATCATCAATGAAACAGCCATTTCACATCCTTACAAAATTACAGTTAAACCATGCCTACCCATACAAAAAGTCATACTTACTGTAGCAGCTTTCACAGGCCCTGGAGAGCACACCCTCTCCCCCTGCCCCAGGGGCAGCAGCACCAGCAGCAGCAGACGCAGCAGAACCATTCTTATTGTTGGGCAACTGGGCCGGATTTGGCTTGTTACTGAGAAAAGTAGTCAACATTATAACCGTTGTATCAAAACCATCATCTACTTGAGAGCACAATCAACAATATGGGTAGCCTTAATGTTACAAACAGCATTTCCCATTATCAATATTATAAATTTCAATTATAAAAACTTACTAGTTGGGAATGTAGACCTGCTTCAATTTACTTTCAGCCTCTGCTGCCTTAATTCTTTTCTGCAACAAAAATTAAATTTATTTAATGTGCAGTTTTTAGAGTCAATTAATTTAGAATTGAAATGAATAATGAAAAGTAACAATCAATATAATATCTTTCTATTTTTTAACTTTTTTTTATTAAAACATAAAGGCTTCCTTTTGTCAACTCCAAGCACAAAATGTATTTAAACCATTTGTCACCCATATTTAATCACAGATAACATAGATACAAGACAATGGTGTCATCTAAGGGAACTGTATCTTACCTGTTGCACATATCTATCTGTGGTCTTCCACATGTAATAATATTCCACAATACTCTTCAAAGTCTTCCAGGGGAGCTGCATAATGAAATGAAATCAACATTTAAGCACTTGTTTTATAAAAATAATTAGTGCACAAACAATAATGCAATTTAAGTACACCGACTCAAAAACGAAACATATCTATTTTGTCAATAACCGAGAAAAATGAAAAACTTTCAAATAATATTTGAAGTGTCAGGGTTGGATTGAAGAAATCTACACCTAGTTCTTTCAGAACAGGTCTGTGAAAGTTCTCATCATTCACTTCAATATCTACAACAAACCAGAGGAAAAAAATTTAAGTCTGACCAGTTTTCAGCACAATGATTTACTCACAAAATCTTGTCGAATGTCATTGAAGTCTTTCCCATATTTGTCCAAGGCTTCCTCAAACAAGTTGGCCTCTGAGGCAGACCACTCTTCCATCTCGTCTCGACACAGCACTGGTCCCCCTGGAGGCACCAGACTGGAGATGGCAGTGGCTGTGTTGTACTGGTGTTTGTGGAGGGTATCCATGGCATGGAACTAACAAATAGAAGTACAAATCTGATGTATGGGCAAAAACATGGGTTTAATGCCATTGTATTGTAGCAGCACTTTTCTGGATAAAATGGCATGAAACATTGAAAATTTTCCTTCTTTGTGAGCAAAGTTCTTTATAATTTCAGTCCTCATAAGGCTTGCCTTATATAACAGGTTCTTTGTCCGATATAAAGAAACCAATACCCAGCCCTTTTTATGTCATGAGGTGTTACATACCAATGTGACATCCCTGGAAGCAGCAGCAGCACTCATATGTAAACTTGGTTGTCTTACTGTACTTGTGCAGTCAAGTGCTCTAGCAAAGGTCCCAACAGCCCTGAAAGTTATATTACATAAACAATGAATCAATGGTCAAAATAATGGTAGGTACCCTTTTGAAAATATACAGGAATTCTTTTTTCCCTCTCTCTTTTATCAATGTAGTTCATTTTATCTCTCTCATCAATTCTGTCAGAAGTCTTTTTAACTGATCACAAATTTCAATTATCTCAAACATTTTTAGTTTCTCAGAAATACTGGTGTAAAATACATTTAAATCCTAATCTGACCCACTGTTTTGAAACTGCTAATACTTGCCTGGCTATAACCATGAACTGGTCAATCTGTCTGTCAGATAAATGGGTTTCTGGATTCCAGACTAGTTCTTCAAGGTCTTCCATCTTCCTTCCATCACTTTCACCTACAAAGGGAAAATATAAATCAATGAAGGAAATACTGGTTCAGTTTACCACAGGAGTATTTTTTTCCTTGGATTTAACTGCATACACATAACTGCATATTAGTATTTCAAATGCATATATCCAGTGAAATTAAACTTAAAATTTCTTTCAACCTAAATGTCAAATGTAATGGGTAAATTTTCAAACAATAATTACAGCACTTAGATCATCATTTAGAGGCCAGTCCAAATTCAAAACTGCTGAAGCAAACAATATATATTTTTTTAATTTGGGAACCTATGACAGAAAATTATAATTTAAACATATGTGGGTGTCTATTTAAATATCTATGTCTGGACTTTGTCTACAAAAACCCCCATGTCTGTTAAATTCCTTGCACAATAAACTTACCTTCTTTAAGTAGTGGTTGTACATCTGCTTGATATCTTCCACCTACACGGATCTCCCCCTTGTCTGCCAGTAAGGTTTTCTGTTGGGGGTCATACACCAGTGAATAAAAAAATGTGTCCTGTAAAATAATTAGAATGTCATTTTCTGCACATCTACTACCATTGTAAAAATGCTAACATGGGGACATAAATAAATTTGTCTGTAACTTAACCCCTGTATTGTTTCCTCTTATTATTCCATACACACCTATTTAATCTCTTAAAATTTCAATGTCACAGCTGGATTGAAAATTACTTCATACATTTACTCAGAACAGGTCTGTGTATTTCTCATCACACACTTCACTGAATCATACTGTTCACAGCCTTATGGATATTGTATGAAAATGTACACACAAAAATTGATAAAAACTGGTTATACTTTTAAAATGTTTTCCAAATTCCAGGAAAGCAAGCCATTTCACGCTGCAATGTTCATATAAGATTCTACTGCTTCTGCATGGAACCTAATATTAACAATTACCTCTTTATTTAAGTAAGATGCTAGCAGCTCTGTTTCATTCAATAAAGTTACTGTACTCTTTCCTCGTATATGCGTGGCAGGTAATGTCTCCACTTGTCTTGATAAAAAGAGTTCTCTGTGCTTGAGCTGATGCCTTTGCTGCTCTGATACATCATCATTTTCCTCCATTTCTTGGTCATCTTCAAGTGTACCTAAAGTAGATGCATTGTACAACACAGGATTATGTATATTCCAGTTGCATAATCTTAGAGAAAAACAACGTTTTTCTACTAAGTTCTGTTTGAAATCAAAAGAAAGGTTTCTTTACAGAAACTTGAATTAATTTAAATACACATGTGGCATGCAAGGCTCCATTGCCAAGCAAGGCACAAAAGAGGCAACAATTAAGATTCTTACTTTGGTGTTTATCTGCCAACATGATAAGAGAGTTGGAAATGTCTCTCCGCCTGTAGAAACACATGACTTTGGCCTCCACATTGCCATTTGGTGTCTGCAAGAGAAAAAAACCACATTGCATCAAGAGGTATTTTGAACTAAATGAGTAATAATCTGCTCAACATAGCAATTTTTCTTGTAAAAAAAAAAGATATTCAATGAAAAAAGTTAAATACCATACACACTGATTGGAAACCGACTTACTACAATTACCTTGCAAAATTATTCATAAAAAAAACATGGGAGACTTTGCTTTTAAAATATTAGATCTAGACTATGATTATAAAATACACTTGTGTCTTAATACTTAAAATACTGCCTCAATCCAATCATACCTTGTTTAGTTCTTCTATTCGTCTAATCTGATATGGTGACGTAGACGATGTCTCAAAGTACACATAGTCTGAAGGAAAGAACAAAGGAGGGTGATTGCTTTGGGTGGGCAAAATGCATTGGCACAAAATAGTCCCCGAGAGACAAATGTACTAATTGCAACCAAAGAAAACTAAATTTCAGAATAAATCCTTGAACACAAAAATCTGCTTAACCTCGGGATCCGAGTTAAAGCTTCTGAACTTCCCTAGAAATAGTATTCAACCAGTAATATCGCGATTTTGATGCGGCACAATCGAGCCGTATCACTACCAACCGCGCGCGATTGCGATAACGACAAACAAAGAATTAAACTCCTTTTCCATTCGAAAAAACAAAAATTTGTGCCCAGTGTGATATTTGGTACACAACACCTTCATTGAAACACTGAATAATCTGTTTTTCACAAAAATCACAACCATTTTCGGAGTGAATTATAACTGAACAATCGCGTATCCATCCGCCAAGCATATGCACATGGGTTGAGATACTTACCTCCAACCCGGTACATATTCGCAGCCATTCTGACGAATTAAAATATATTTTCTAAACTATGATGATCCAGAGGCCTCGCACTTCTTCCTGTTAAGACATGGAACTCTCCTGAACGCTCAACAAACCTTGAGATCGATGGGTGAGATGAGCACCCCCGGTTGCGAATGCGACAGTCTTCCTTGCTCTTTCACTCAATCAGTGACGTCACTAAATATCCCTGCAGATTGTTACAGCGAAGAATCGGTGTCTTCCCTTCTACGATCCCTCTTTCACTCGGTACTGAGTGTGCTCTACATCAACCATGAGCAACTTTTTGTGTTTTAAAAAAGATTTTAAATATAGGTCTATGCACTGATTCCCTTAGAGAAGAATGTTGCTGCTAATATAAGATGTTTAAAAAATTATTATGAGCCTATAATGATTATAGGCCTATATTAGTAGGCTACACGTGTGCAAATGTACTAGTAGGCCTATCTTAATTAGATTTTGTATTTTAATTATAAGGACACCCCATTCTTGTACACTTTCTGCACTTGGAATGAACACTTTTTAATGAAATATTTTCAGTCGTAGACGAAGTGTTTATACATAGATATGCAAATTTGTGAATCAACAATTGCAAAAGCTAGGACATCTTTTTATTCTTCGGTTAATTTTGTTTATATGCTATCAGACTAACGACAAAAATGTCACGGTGAAATAAACTATCACTATCAGACACGTAGGCCTACATGGTTGACAACTGTGACGTGGGTCATGCTCTTGCTAGGCTTGATCCAGGCTGAAATACCAATAGGCCTAGGCCTCTTATCGCATTCGACAATCGCTCTTATGGCATAGGTTATGTTAAGTTGTGATTAACAGGGGGAAAAAGAGGGAGGACATGAGGTTTTCTCTGCCCCTCCTGCTCAAAGTAATAACGAAATGTGTGCGTGGGACCTACTTCCATACTGACCTGCATAAATATATGAGTTCTTGATGTTGGTAGTACGTACCCAAGATAACGGAACTTATTGGTATATTTCAGATGACACTGATAAACTATAATGTACGTATATCGTCTTTTAAAAATTTTACATGGGACCGAAAAATTTAACGGCAATTTAGATAGCAAAAACCAGATGGTCAATAACGCCATAGCCTGCTGAATTATTTTTAATAACCTCTAAATTTCAACAAAATTTCAATTAATTCATGGTATTGCCTCCGTAAAAACGCATGTGCAATGCCAAAATTTAGCACCATTTAGCTTCTTTCTAGTTTTATTCTTTTAATTGTCAACAGAATCAATGCAAACTGCATATTGCCAACAATTCACCTTTTTTCTCTTGAGACATAACTTTGCAGGCTACAAGGATTTTATGTTGTCTTAATTTATTTTTAGCCTGTCCATATATATCAGAGTCACTTTACATCGCCTTTACAGACAATGATTTAAATGCCTGCCTTGAATTCGCACTAAGTTAGAATGCAGGGAACGTAGGCCTACGTAACTGTTCAGAATCAAGAGAAAAAAAGTGGTTTTGAAAAAAAATCTACATCTGTATAATACTTATGAATATGAAACTTGACAAAATGCAATTTAGATCCGCGGTGAGTGCTGTACAATATAAATTATTCTAGACACAAGAAAATCGTCTATGCATATATATGGCATGGCTGCTTGTATTTTTCGCATATTTTGGTGAATACAATGTAAGCCCAACGTGTATACACTGGACAATAGAAGAGTCATCCCTACTGAACCAATACTTTGGGGGAGATAAATGACCGTGGAATGATATGCTCCTGGTATCATTTTATTAACATCAAATTTCACAAAAAGACCAACAATACAATTCCATGGTACAGCGGTTTTATACCCATTAGTCACATTATAAGTAGACCAGGCATTATAACTTTGATTACTCTGATCCTGGGGGTGACACTTCTATTGTCCAGTGTGTATATGTTTTATATTGATCCCCAGATGAAATTTGAAAGACTCATATTCAAATCTTTTATCGCGTTGTTCTTTAACGTATGCATGCTTTATACCTAATCTAGGTTACTTCCGCTACTAGTTACTGTATGTTAGTCTGTACGTTTTACCTAGGTTTAGGCAAGGAGTAACTCCTTGGTTTGGGCATTATTAGGTCCGTGGTTTAGGCATGTTTAGGTTCCACAGACTTAGTGAGTATAGCATTCATATCAGACCTAATTTATTTTAACATCATGGGCCCGTTTGTCCTGTGATTCTTCTTATCTGGGTGATTTACACGACACCTTTGACATAGAATCCCAGGTAAGTGCTGTAATGACAGGTGAGTATAAGTCACGTTCAAATCTATGCAATCAAATGGCGAATGGTGCAGAGGGAATTTTTGCCTTTTTAAAAAATATTTTTCATAAAGTGTTAGACGTTTCCTTTCCCCAAACCAATCAAAGGATTCATTACTACTGGGTACAATTTACTTAATTATTATAGGGCTCAACAGACCCCCTCCACCTTCCAGCATTTTTCTCAGGTCCACATCCAGATTCACATATATATATACGACTGTGCCACGTGTGCTTCATTCATTTCGACCAGGTCAACCGCCATTTGAGCAGTGACATAACAAACTATGTGTGGACAGTAAGCGGTGAGTGTGCAATTGTTGTATGCAACAACATACCGACAACAGCCAGATGAGCAGCCTAAAGGACAGCTGAAAAATCCGTATGCTTGGCGACTAATCAACTGTACGGCCATGTACGGCTAATAATAGTAATAAGTTCTAGGTGCTTGCACTATGATTTAGACCTAAAACCGCCATGATCGACTAATTTTTACCTAGAGATGATTTTAACTACCTTTTAGGTTGGATAAATTTTAAGTTTAGTCTGGTTTTACCGAGGGTTTTGCGTAACATATGGAAGTTGAGAAATCCTTTTGGGAGATAGGGAAAGTGTGGACACGTCATTTGAGTCATTGAAGACAGCTTGTCGCCCCACTTCTTACCTCATACCAGTCTCGTGGTGCTGCATGTATATTTGCCTTGTTATATGATAACAGTGTTGGGAATATCCTACCCTCTACCAGGGCCGCAGTTTTTATTATGTATGGACATCTTCTCTCACGCGTACAGAGAGTACTGTCATTTTAATCAGAGAGATCTGAGGATATCTAGTGACGAATCTATCTGTGCTCTTGGTAGAGGAAAGGGATATCCTGCTCAAGCACATGACATTGGACCCATGTTTGAAGGGGGAGTGCTTTCCCTTATTGTTCAACATTGCACAACAGTGGTCTCCATTTATGTTATTAACAATATTCAATTAGATTTTATACGTTTGTTTTGACAGCTAGGCTGGAGTGCTTGCTTTAAAATGTTTTATAAAATAATTTTTGGAGCAAAATTTAGAGTGGGATGGAGGGGGCAACCGTTCTTTACGTTCATGAATGGTTGAAAAAATGCGAGGGCATTAAGACCTCTTCCCTCCAGCTCATACGCCTCTGTTACACTTTTCTTGTCCAGATTCAGTTTCAGTATGAATAACTGTTTATAATAGGTACAGGTGATGTAGGCCTACGTGGACATCGTTCTAATATAAGTATATTGTCTTACACCCCATTTCCATAGATTAGATCGACCTACTTTAGATCGGCCTAACTCCCTGGGGGTTCACGCTTAATAGCTGTCAGCCGGGCGGACACGAAAGTTAATTACCCCCTTACAGCTTGTAGTAGGCGGGACGGACATTTAAGTCGGATTATCTGAAAGTAATCTAGTGAGACTCCCCGCGGGGATAGATCGATCTAAAATCTATGGGAATAGAGCCTTATATGTATTATAAGTCACTGTCTGTTTATTGTTTCGGTCATATCATCTCGATTTAGTGTAGAAGAATCTTTGTTTTAGAATGCTTTATGAAAATTAAAGAAAATAAGGTTGACAAATATATGCAGTCTCCTTAACCACGCGTGTGCACGTTAAGAGGCCGGATAATTTGCCCATCAAGCCAAGACCTATTAAAGCAATATTATGGCTTATTTATTTTTATTTCCTAAGGTTTCGTTTCCAATGAAACTATTGGTCTACATAGATTGACCCAACTCCGCGTGGACTCTCCCTGAATGCAAGTAGATTTACAGACTAACACGCCTCCTCTTTTCCAACATACTCGTAGAATCCCCAGCTTTTCTGTATTTTACTCAACGCCAAGAGGAGGCGTGTTTATCTCTTAATCTGATTGCATTCAGAGAGAGTCCCCGCCAAGTTGGATCGATCTACGTAGAATGATTGTTTCGTTGGAAATGAGCCCTTTTCCATGGCAGTTTAATCTCCAGGATGTCGCTTGCTATTGTAAAAGAAGAAAAGACAGAAACAAATGATTTATGAACCTTTGACAAGTAGCGTCCTAGCTGGCCATTATTCATGATGATGCATACGGACGTTTTAATACGAGCGATGGGTTGAAGGGTAAATGAAGAACGACTACCACAATCTCTGTTCTAAAAACCATCTCCATGTACCAACTTTCTCTGACTTTCAGTGAAATGTCTTTGCGTATATATCTTAATTCATCTTATTTTATTACTTACCTGACAGGCCAATAAAGATGATACCGATGATATGGAGTCCTCTTGTAAGGGCAGCTCGTATGTCCATTCCACTAACAACAAGATGTAGATCAAGATACGTGTTCTCGAGTGACATAATAAACAAGAGGACATTATCCCAGCAGTATGTATGATAGCATGATAAAAATATATTCATACCATAATGATATGAATTAACCTCACACATAACCTTACATATGATAAAGCCAATTTCGAAACATTATAAACATTTGAAAATAGAATAATCCGTTCTGAAATCTCAGGTCAAAATCAGGCTTATCAAAATTTAAGATATACTTGAAGAAATTTTCAACATGTGTGTATGGAGATCTAGGGAGGAGACCCAAACCGAAGTCGGGGAATCCCCAGTTCTCTTTTCAGCGGATGGCGTCTTGCTTTCTATCTTGGTTCTGTTCATTTAAATTTAAACTCAATATAAAAGTTCAGCTTTGTAGTTAGGTAAGTTGGTCTCATATATATATTTATATGTGGCTATCTGAAATCAAAGTATATTTTCTAAAAGGTGATTCTCGTTTTTTCAACTAAGGTCACGGACATTTTCAGTAGCTACCGAGGGAGATATATTGTCAAGAATCAAAATACGACAAGTGGAGAAGAAAGATGTCCCTATTCTGTTCAAAATCTACGATCATGAGAACTGGAATTACAGCCAAGAGACCGTGGAAGCTTTCGTAGATATTGCTGGAAAATCGTTCCTTGTTGCTGAACTAGACGGGAATGTTGTAGGTGAGTCCAAGCTTTTCATGACTTCATTGCATTTGACAAAATAAATTGAATAAATGCATTAAAATGTATGTATTCAGTGAAATATACGAAACTTTAATGTAGAACGGGTGATGAAATGGGCTTTACACACAATCTTTTTTTTTTAAGTTGAAGTGAAACCTACCCTTTCAGAATTTGAACGTTTTAACTGAACTGATTTTAGTTTTTTTTTTAAATTTTTTCAAATGGATTTATATTATGGACAGGTTCCATGATGGCTAATCTCCTTAATGACCAGGAAGCCTTTGGTGGTCTTGCAGCCGTTATTCCGGAACTAAGAGGAAAGGGTATAGGTGAGTGTTTCACTGAAAAACAATCAAGAGAGTGGCAGCGGTGTCAAGACTCGCACAAAATGCGAAAATATAGCTTGCAGGAACGAGTCCTTAAAGTTTATCGCTATCTTTATTTCATTTTATATTATTGTTTTACTTTTTTTAGCAAAACAGCTTTGGGCAAAGCGGTCTGAATTTATTGGAGAAAGAAATTTTGGTGTAAAATCTGTCCTTCATAGAGAGGAAATCCTGAAAAAGCATGGCTACAGCGTATCCACCTACAAATGTCCTCTAATTTGTGGCCGTATTGATCTATCGACCATCAGTGTACAGGGTGACAGCAGTGTTGACATCGTCCCCACATCTAAAGTAGACTTTGAAGCGCTGGTCAAATATGATGCCGAAATCCACACCATTCCACGGCGCACTTTCGTTGAGAAATGGCTGGCAAGACCTTCGGTTAAATCATTCACAGCTCTGGACAAAAGTGGAAATATTGTAGGCTATGGTGCGAGCTCAGCGGCGACGCACTCCTATCGTATTTGCCCCCTGTTCGCCGACTCTTCTCTCGTCTCAAGACTTCTCCTGGTGCGTCTGCTTCAATCAGTTCCACAAGATGCAAACGTCGATATGTACTTGAATACAGAAAATGAAGTTGGTAAAGAAATCATGGCTACCAACAAAGACACGTTCAAGATAGCGTTCGAGATGAGGAAGATGTTTACTAAGAGGGACGTCGATCTACCTCAACATCACAAAATCCTTGCATATTCTTCAGTCGAATTGGCCTTGGTATAGTTTGTATGATAAACTTTCGGTATAAATACAAAAGCAAATAAATATAAATACAATATACTGAACTACTTAAACAGTTCTGCCAAAAACGTGATACGTATTGTATACGTTGGTCAAGAATTCTTTAAAATGGTGATGTTACTTTGAATGTAAATACTTAGCTCTTAAAAAGATATATTTCGTGTAAACTTTTTTGCGTGTGCAAATCTTGTTATTATTATCATTAGTAGTAGTAGTAGTTTATTAATATAATACCTAGAAACGTTATTTGACCAGGTATAAACGTTTTGTTCGGTTTTAAGGGTGTTTTTGCTATGATATGCAACTATTTTTTTTTTTTTTCATTATCAAGAATGTATTAATCTGCCACCAAACTGGTAAAAATCGGTCCCGAAAAATGGGCCCTAAAGCCCATTTTTCTGTAATTCAACATTAATTTTTGGTACCTATTAACTCCTGAAGGTTTGATCTTTCCAAAGAAGTGTACTTTGGCATCGTTTTAATCATAAATCGGCGCGAAATCGAAGTTTTGGAACCGGCTCTAAAGCGTAAATTCTAGCCTGTAGGTGGTTTTTTTTCTCTTTTTTGGAGGGGGGGGGTCCGTTATACCTCCAGAGATCCAAAAAAAGCGCAAACCGAAATCAAACATGCTTAAGATATGCCTTGCGGTAAGATATCCATTTGCCGAGATGATGTCTCAAAACGGGCCGACATTTCAGCTACATGTACCAGCTCACTGCACATGGCACTGTACCGGACACCGCAGTTGCACTGTTCACTGCAAATATGTATACAGTATTTTAAATTACAGATTTTGAAAATAATTTTAAATAATAAATCAGTGTCTTTAAATTGGTAGCTTGCTTTTTTATACAGAAACTACGTGTACCTCATCACATGTACGTCATAGACTTTATGTTGACGAAAGTACATAACAAAATACATGGTGTCGATGTAAACAGACTGAAAAAGAATCGGAAAAAGATAATGAATTGTGTTAGAGAAGAAGAGATTGTCGCACTCTAGACAGCCTGAAAGTCATGACGTGATTGTGATGATTACCGATCTACCAATAACTTTTTTTTAAATAACGTTTATGTACTTTCGATATCATAACTTCATTAGGCTGAGAGTTGATAAACGACACCCTGGCACACCCACGTCACTCTTTTTCTCGAGAAAAGCAGCAAATCCCTTAATTACCACAAAATCTTTTGCGACTTCCGAATCGTTATTAAAGCTTCGCAATATTATCAAAACTTATCATAAATGCCAAGGTAATTTCACAGTTAGTGCGATGCATTTCCGTTATTCAATCACAAATACTGAATTTGAAATGAATAACTGCATTTTGTTAACAGCAGACCCCCTTTTGCCATGTAAAACTTATATACATGACCTTGAAAAGCTGTTTACCAGCAGAAAATCGATCTCCTATCCACAAGCAGGGATATCTGCCAATTTATTTACGTCTTTACAGCGGGTGAGTGGGTGCATATTCAAAGTCCCGTGAAAACGGTCTTCACTGTGTCTAGTGGAACGGCACCTTCTGACAATGTCTTGAATTTTTATTTTCAAGTCTTTTGAGTTTTGTTCTTTTTATTTAGATGTACACATTTTCAGTTACCCCATCATATTAAGAACTTTTTCCAGCCTGTGCAACCCCTTGACAATCCCCGATAAATGTGCTACATGGTCTGCACTGCTTCTTGATGAAACTAGTACGCTTTTATCTGAAAAATGTCTCCTTTAATTCTTTTATATCAAAAAAAAAAATAATAATCTCACTTGACATTGACGAAATTTTGTCACCTCTGGCTGTAACATGGGCAGTAGGCCTCCGTATGAACAAGAGTTCATATCACACTGAAAACAAATCATCCAGCATAAGCATAATTCACAGAATATTATGAATTACTAAAAGACATATGTGACAATTGACTTCAGGAGGTTTAGAGTTACTTTTGATAATCAATACAATGACACATAAACTGTCAAGGTCTCAAACGTGCAATGCACTGGTACCTAGTCATTCATCTGCTATCAAAAATATATTGCCTAGATTAGAGCGCAATTTGCATGATGGAGGGGGGAGGGTGCATTCTTGGTAAGTTCTTGTGCACCACTACAGATAAACCTGTTTAAAGAAAAAAATTCAAGGCAAACAAAGAACGTTTTACTTCAACATAAAATGAAAAATCCTTTGACTTTCAGACAAGTTTTATTCATGTCGTTTACAATAAAAGTTAATGCAAACTGGAATACACAATATTTTTACATCAAGTAAATTATCAACTGGCATGTTTTATTGTTAAATTGAGTCCTCTAAACAAAAACAATATATAAATTTATACAATATACAAATACAATAAATGCACACAAAACAAACAGTGCTGTCCAACTCCTTAGATCCCCACAGACTGATGTATGGTACATGAAATAACATGCAGTGGACATTAATGCATGGCGTGCTCATAAAACAGGATTTTCAGGCCAAATATAATTTTCCTCACTTAAAAAATAGGTCTCCTACTCATAAATCATTGCTCAACCCTTCCATGCACTTGCATTTGAGGTTTTGTACCTTTCCTAATGAAATAGTTTTGCTATAACCAAATCATAATCCAATCAGACAGTCAGTTTTTCTGACATGTCAGAAGCAAATATCGTACTCTAATCTGTAGGGGATTATCTGAATTTGGAAAGTGAAGTTGCTTTGCTGGATATTAAGACAATTTTTTTCAAAGGCATTAAGTGGACCTTTAAATGCACAAATCTTAATGCATAAGATAAACAGTTCATCTAGACTTATGTGAGGAAGTATCAAGACCCTTCTACTCCAATTACCATTCACTGTTTGAGCACAATATTTTTTTTTCACATGTGGGATACATAAATAAAACAATGCAATGCATTGCAGATTCAATGTACAGTTCATCCTGGCAGTAAATGTGCAAACAATGTCCCTGTTATGTAATGTAGTTCAATTCACATCTACATACTTCTCATAGCTACAGGAGAGCAATTTTATTGTTTTCAAACTTGTTTAGTCTATATCTATCCTACTCTCTTCCACTTGTCTTGAAGCTGGGAAGTAGACTTTGAAGCTGAAGTCACTTCGGGGAAAGGAACCCTGAAAAAGAAGCCATGCATTTAAGAATAGAAATACTTTATGTCTTTAGAAAAAAAAGGTGGAAATTATACTTATATATTATTCTGATATCACTGTTGAAAAACTAAAAGCTCACTCCTGAGAGAAAAATAAAAAAAACCAAGTTGAGACAAGGTTCACATACACATCTTAACATACTTTTTTTCTTTGCAAATCTGCATGTCACTATAACTGGGTACATATGAAATTCCTAGGTCAACTGTTTCCCACACTTTTTTTTCAATTTTGCATTTCACAATGATTAAGTATATGAAATCTGTAAGTCAACTACTTTCCAAGTTATTGGCATTTTTTTTTTTCATAAAAATAACTTCAAAGACCTAGAAAACCAGGTCAAGATGAACAATTTGATAACTCATGCAAGCACTTGGTAAAAAGGCTTGTGTCCACAATAAATTGTTTTATACTTCAAAAACAAGCAGAAATTTTGATAAACTGAACTAGATACTGAAAGGGAATACAGCTAGCTCTCTTTTAAGTCTCGTCAAAGGAGGCAAGAATATACCCTCAAATAATAGTCATGATTAACATCATTAACTAGCACCATGAATGCAAACCAAATTTTAAAAAACCCAAAGACATCATTAACATCATACATCAGAGTGATCAAGGCTAGGGGTAATAGCTGGAAGCTCTCCCAGCAAGCTTTCACAAGTTTTAGTCTTCATTCAGTTCCAATCAGTTTTATTCCTTTGATATAGACTCAGATTAGTTCACGTTACCAGTCAATTAACTAATAACATCAATAATGTAACCAATGACATGTACTGTTATAATTATACTACAGAAGCAGCCTGGATGGTGGCCTGCAAAGACTTGCTGTTGGGTTCAAGAATACTAAACTAAAGGCTTATACGTGTTATTATCTTGTGACTTGATCTATAAGGAAAAACAACTTTCGTACTTGTTTATGTAACCTTACTTTACCTTTGGCAATTCAGCATGGTGTAAACATATATAAGTAAATAAGTTACACAATCCACCCTATGTTGACTTATAATAAAAATACATTTTTAAAAAGTGGCACAATATATGTGTGTGTGTGTGTGTGTGTGTGTGTGTGTATGTATGTATATATATATATATATATATATATATATATATATATAAGGAGATGGCTGCTACAGTGGTGGTATTTAACAAGACAGCCTCCAAACTGTTACACAATTTGCATCACATGTGAATGCTTTACCTGGTAAGTTTAAAAAATACCACTTTTTGGCAACAAAGCAATTTAGATGAACTGCTGGCTGGAGAGTCTTAGAGGCTTTGAAGATCAGCTTTCCCCTGGGACCCTCCTTTCAAAGAGCTGTCCACTTTCAGTTCACCTTTTGTAGGAGATGCAGTGAGCAACTGATAGAGAAGACTGTCTTCTGGCTTGATATTTCTATATTTTGCACATGCACAATCTACTGCATAGAAAACCTTGATTCTATTAGAAATATTGCAACTACACACTAGACATCCAACTGGCTGGACCACTGGAAATCTGTCATGCAGATTGGAAGTCTGAGAAGAGGGTCCAACATGTTCACCAGAAGTCCCTGTCAGAATCATTTCTCCTTCACAAATTATCACTGGATTAAAACTGTCATATAAAACTTCTTTCATAGACCTGCCTTAAAATCCCATACATGGGTCATTTGTAAGTATCTTCACATAGACCAAATATTTACAGTCTGTATTTGTCCCTCTGTGCACACACAGTATGTCCTTATTATTACCTACACTCTCACTGACACTGATCAATTTATGGGACTAACAGCTTATAAAGAAGTTATGTGAGAAAACAGGGTGATTTACGAAAGGTAATGTTGGCCTTCACCCTTATGCTGAATACTTAATTTAGAGGTCAAGGCTTTGAAAACTGTTTCATAATGAATTATCACATCAGCATGACTCACTCTGAAAGCTTAAAGTATATACAAAAACAGTGTCTATTCCCGAAACATGAAAGAGGGAATAATGCCAACCAATAGCATGAAAGTAAGTCTTTTAACAAAAGTGACTTCATACTGAGAAATGACGTTTGTGTAAGTGACCTCCGCATTCAAGCAAATGACAGAGGATCTATTAGATAACAGTTAGTTGAAAGAAATCCTTCAAATGAAATGTGTGAAGTTATTCATCTTGGACTAAAGGCACTATTACTACCCATTACTCATATCTTGGTGCCTCGCCAGATATAATCTCTGAGTCTAAAAAACACATTTAATGAGTGATTAAAGATGATCCGTTCCCACTTGAAGGCTATCCTTCAGAAATCCAATCAAATGTGAATGAAAAGGCTAAGATAAATTAGACTTTGACTTTCACTTTACTTGCACTGACAAGTAAAATGTGCACTGGAGAAAACAGCAGAGAAATGTATTGACTTACCTAGGAGTGTTTTGTTATTTAAGAAACGTGATCAAAACATGCCCTGACAAATGTATTTTTCTTATGTGGCTTACATAAACAAGGTGTCTAGGTCAGTCAGTTTACTGTTATATGAGTGCACTTGCAGTTGTTTTTATGATGTCTGTAATTAATGAAAATATAAAACATAAGTAATGATTTTAAAATCATAATCCCATATAAATGTCTCTTTTTTGTATCACATTACCAAACTCCACCACTACTGATAAATTATTGCATAATTCACCCTGTTGTTTATTATTATTATTATTTTTTTTTAGAAATATTGAAGATTACAAGACATTTGATCAAAATTTTTTTACCATTAAAATTTATGAATAAATTTCAGCTTGATGCAGTGTGCCGGTGTACAAATATGTATTGTATCTACTATCTATGAAAATAGATTTAGTAGATTTATTAATATTTTATCACCCACGGATGTGGGTGTGCGCATGTTTGTGTGCATGTCTGTGCATGCACACCTGTGTGAAATGTAACCCCAGAGTATAAAGTGATGCCAATCAAAAATCATTGTTTTCAATAAAGTGAAAGGATGTTATGTGATGAATTTTTTCTCCACCTGTCATGACTTGCCTCCAAAATTTAATCTTTTTATAAAAGAAATCATCAAATGCATTTACAGCTGAAACCCGAATACATCCTTATGAAATCATCAATTTACTACAAAGACCTTGAAAGAAATAGTTCTTGTCACAAAAACTCGTAATAAATATAACTAATGCCAATGACTATTCTATAACTAGAGGATCAGAGCGGCAATAGCGCTACCAGGTGTTGTACCACCAGCAAGATTAACCTAAATTAAGTGAAATGGTAGTATATGGATGTAAACCAGACAGTTTTGGAGATATTAGGGCTGGGAATTTACAAAGTACAGTTCATGGTGAAAAGAAGATCAAATGTGAAATTCAAGGTCACAGTGAGATTGCCAGTATAGGATTTGCTTTTCACCTTCAATAGTAACTATGGGTGTATCTCTGCCAGTTATGGAGATATAAGAGTCACAAAATTTGCAAAGGACAGCTCATGGTGAAATTCAAGATCACAGTAAACTTACCAATATATGACTTCCTATCCACGTTGAATAGTAACTATGGGTGCTTCTCTGTTAGTTTTGGAATTATTTAACATTTTATTTCACCTTTGAGCATGCTGATGTCGTACTTTTTGAAATAGTGCAACCCCTAAACTGTAAAGAAAACATGAATACAAACACCGATAATGATGCACTTGACAAGCCCTACAAAAAGTAACAAACAAGAGGTCTGTAGCTTTTAAAGTTTCAGAATAAGAGAGAATTTTCAGTTTCATCACTTAGGCCAATGCACCCACAAAGCCCAAAATCTAGGGGGTTCAAGTTGAGATTATACGTGACGCTATTCCAAGAGATGAGGACACAGGCCCTTGTAGTATAAGGGGAGAGGCAGAGCTGGCAGACAAGATGGGTTGGGACAAAATCCATGTGTACCACACAATTAATCCCATCATTGAACTATCTGTAATTAGTTTGGACAAAGTTAATTGATATTGTTTTAAACAATTTTCTTAACTTGTCATGCATTGCCCATGTATCAATTTTAATTCATATTCTTAAGGAAAATCAGATCAATCTACAGCTGAAACCTGAGTACATCCTTTCCAAGATGTTACGAAATGATCAATAAACAAAGAAGACCTTAACAGAACCACAAATAAAAGATAAAAAATCAATAACTAATAGCAGCCAATGACTGTTTTTAGAAGTAATCCCTTCATTACACCATTTGGAATAAATAACATTCAGTATTACCAACAACATGCAAAAAAATGTTTATTTATACTATATGTGGGAATCAGTGCATATGCATACATTAACCTTTTGGATTGAAGATCAAGGCTCTCTAGCAGCACCATAGACCTGCATGACTTCAGTACAAATCCATGAAACATTTATGCCAAAAATAACCCATGATAGACATTCTACGGTTAATTATTGAAATAATTTCATTAAAAATGAAAAAAATACCCCTTTTAAAATCTACTGAGATGTAAATGGAAACATAGAGGTGGTTATAAACAGGATGATCTGAAAACATATGCAGCTAGACAAGAGATGCTCAGTGTTATTGTGTAATTATAATCTGTTTAAGGCTCATATTGCTAATGGAAGGTAATGAATACCAATGTGTAGTGGAGACAATAAATCACCATGAAAGCTTCCTTGTGCACATAACAAAATGAAACCACCCACGTCTGTCTTTACCACTTAATTAACTTCATTTTTATGTGCTTACATGTACTCCTCAATGTTCTACAGGTGTGTTAATATGCCAACTGGATAGTGATCAGATACCTTAATTACGTATGAAGCTTTAACATACTACTCCTTGCTTTGAGCACCGACCAATTCGCAACTCATTTTAGCAGACATAGCTTTGAAGGAAAAACAAAAACATCTCAGTTTCTATTCTTGCCACACTGCGCACATGATAAATACTGTGAAACGAATACGCCGTGAAATGTAAAAATATGGAGGTTTAGCCTCAAGAGTTCCAGAGAAAGAAGACCTACAGGTATCCTGATGTTTGGAGACAATCAGGAAAAAAGGACAAAAAAATCTGTTATTTTTTTGGCTGCAAGTTATCAGAAGAACAGAAATGACAAACATTAAGGATTCCCAATGCTACTATAGATTAAAACTGTAATTAACACCAGGGTTTGACCTTTGTAGACTCCTTGCATAAGCTCTCTTTCTCAGAAATGTCATTACAGTACACTTAAGTAACTGTCCTCATAACCTTCACTACAGTTTCCCAGTCAGCAACACTATATTACAAAATCATTCAGATCATGAGAAAGACACTAGTGACAGGTCTAACTATTGCATGCCAAAAAGGTTGATTTTCACAAAGGCCAGACACCTTTGTAGAACTTCAACTATCAGAAAGGCGAGGCTCTTCTGTTGTCAATGAAATATCACTACCAAGTGAAACCCCTAGCAAAGTCTGTATCACCTTAGTATATATATATATAAAGCCACTTTCCCACCTTTTTTGGATTTTTTTTTCTTCTTGGCCTTGCAGCCAATGAGGGTTGATCAAAGGTGCTTTCTGCATCCAGCCCAACTCCTCCCTTTTTGTTTGACAGTGCTCTTCAAGGTATTTTATACAATAAAATGAGGTGAGCCTCAGTGACCATATATTCCATCTTACCAGAAACTACCTTACAGGATTTCTTTTTTTATAAAGGAGTCTAGACACCATACATAACTTGGGGGAAACAAAAACATGTCAATCTATACTTCACCCATCTTGTATCTGCAGCAAAACACATGGACCTTACTATCCTAGTATTATTTTGTCAACATGGATTTTAAATAAGGCTACACACACACACACACACAAACACATTCTCTGCAATATCTGCAAAAATTAATGCAATCAATTTCCCTAGTTATCAAAACCATTTTTTTTTTATGTATGTTGCCTGTTTACAAGATTATATGTAGTTGTGTTTAATACATGTTAACATTTTTAAGTTCATCTACTTCATTTTATTTTATGCTGGTGCTTTCAATTCCATATAAAATTGAAGTGAATTATTCATAAACAACTTACAAGTGCGGAAGTGTTGCATTATTATGGCAGCTTTTTTTTATTCTTCTCAAACTATGTTATTCAATTATAACTATAAATCAAGGCATAGTATCAAAATTTCACAATGCCGAAGAAATATTCATATCCATCATAGCAAAATGACTTTCATTCCTTGACAAAGGTTGCAAATAATCTAAATAGCATGTCCTTATATTACAGATGAGTTTAAACCCTTAGAAATATTGTCAATCTTAAATTTCGAAACTGACCATAATATCTATTTTGTAAACCATGCAAGGATCTACCTTCTTTACTAAAATATTACTACATCTGGCTTAATAATCTTCTATACCACATAATGAGAGCAATATTCTGCAGTAAATCAGTAACTACACAGCCACTATAACCAACTTACATGTAACATCACTATTTATTATTATTATCAATATAATTACTATTATTTAAAATATTTTTATCATTAATATCTTTATACATATATCATACTTTTATGCCAAAACCATTTTCAAAACTATTTGTACCAAAATTGGTAATTAAATAAATGAAATCATTAACTCACTGGGTTAATCACTGTACAGTCCACTTGACTGACCATGAAAGGGTCATATTTGTCAGCTGTGATGACCACATCGGGCAGGGGGTACACCCTCAGGGCACTGTCATATGACCAGTAGACTGGACACACATGGAGCGGTAATGGACACAGATGACCCTGGGATATTATGGTTTTTGCAAACTATTGAAAAAATGATATAAAACATTATAGTCATAGCTGATGTCAGTCTATGTTACTTCAGTGAAAAAAAAACAATGGTTCAACAATATTTTAAACATGATAATTATATTCTAGTATAATAAATCTTTTGATAGCTGGTCTCAGGTTTAATAAACTATACCACTTGCATCTTTAGAGAACACATAATTGTCTGAAAAAATAAGCATGACTTACAAAGTAGTTAAACTTCATACTATGCCAGTTGATGTTTTGCCAAAGCTACATGTATTTAAGGGCAGTTTTTTTTTAGCAAAAAGACCCTATAAACTGAATCCACAACATCTGAATTCATGCAGAGTAAAAGAGCCCTCTGGTGATACTTACATGTGTAGGAATGTCACCATCGGCTGGAAATTTGACACAATTTCTACACATCTTGGTCACAATGTCTTCCCTAAAGACCACTATCTCCTGTGTACAGTACTGTAGCCTGCAGGGGTTACTGGCAAAAATGGCAGACGGAACTCTCCGTCTAAACTCCTCTGTCACAACATTTGGCAAAGCAGGCCTAGAAATATAAATTGTTCAAAATTGCATGTATGTACTGTATGTGCACCCTACCCATAATCGAGCTAGATGGTCCAATACATCCATTAAAAGGGTGCTAGAATTAAAAAAAGATTGAAACAGACTACTACTGTAACACATTACAAATGTTTAATATTTATTAATATCACTTTAGTCATTTATTAGTTAAAAATTGCATTCTGTGATGGCCTTCCTTAAAAGTTAGTGAATTCTGCTTTAGGCAAATATACTCTCCCACCCCAGCTGAATTCAATATGTATGCTGACCCAAGACATGATATATATTTATATCAAAATGATATAGGAAGCTCTACCTTGGTAATATATTGGCTGGGCCTGGATCCTGAGGTCCTGGGACAAACAAAAACCTGGAGTTTTCTACCAGGGACGGGAATTCTTTTAGTATGTCTGCTAAAGACCTAAATGATTCTGAAACACAAAGCAATCCAAGTGAAGTATTTGAAATTCAGTTACATTCAAGATTTTTACATGCTGTAGTAATGCAATAATTTGCTATATCACAGTACATTGTACATGGTTACCAATACAATAAAATATCCTAAACACAATAAATCATCTGAAATTAACAGGGTAAATTTTCAAACATCAAAATAAATCACGTCCTTTTTTTCTTTAATTAATGTAATATGCTATTCCTTCTTCAGAAATTATGTTATTGAGCAGTATTTTTCAAAAACAGCTCATACAAATTGCCTTTAAAATAAATGCTCCAGTTATTGGGTAATTGCAGATGATACATGTAAATGGACCTTTTTACTCTCTTATCTCCCTATTATCTATTCCTGCCTGTGGTTTAACTGAAAATCAAACCATAGGCCAGTACAAATGCCATTCTTACAACTAACCTTGTAATGTTTTTATATTTTTAGTTCCTGTGGATGATGTAAAATTGCCACAAAATATAAAACAAGTTGGAGGCATCTCTGCATATCCAACAAACATAAGCCTCAACCTTTCCAGCACCTGAGAAGGAAAGGAAAGAAAATGTTTTTCATTACATTATGATTGAAAATAAAATTGAACTGATCCATGAAGAAATAATACACCGACTGGAAATATTTCTCCTGTCATTTTTGGCGTGTTTTTTTTATTGTACTTGATGTTTTATATTGTTTCAGAGAAAGGCAGCTTTGCAGAGCTTATTTTTGTATTTGACACATCAAATACAGGGGATAAATGTTACTATCATTTTTTACTCTGGCAATTTAAAGGGTATTTTTAATCTTGATTAAAATTAAAATTTAAAATTGCAGAATTTTGTCACTAAAATTTGATCAGCTATGTACAATAATGGAATCAGAATTTCCTTGGCTCACCCTAAGCCTGACAGATCAGATTAAGCAGAAATTTTGCAATTTATAAAAAAAAAAAAAACATCACAGTACCTTTACACTGTCCAACCACACATCTGACACTATTACAAACATGGCGTCCTGGTTTTCCTGCTCTATCTGCTGCAGTTTGGGGGACATCTTTAAACTTGTGGCAGAAGGACCACCAAAGAAATTTATGTTACCAAAATATGCTCTGAAATAATTGAAAGAAAGACTGATAGCTCCATTTAACTAAAAAGGCACTGTCTACTATAAATGAAAAGAAAATAATCAAATGTCATCATATTATTTTCTTCTCTCTCTCTCTCTTTCTAATTTTCTTTTCCTTTTTAGATGCTAAGATATAAACAAATTACTTCACATTTTTAATCCCTGGTTACCAAGACAATAAAATATCTTACACAACAAAAAATCATATAGATTAACAGGGTAAATTTTCAAACACAGGTATTTATGTCTTTACCTTGTAGTTTTAGAAGGTTCTGGTGGTGGAAAACCAAATGCATTAACATGAAATATACTGTCATCGTACCAGCCCTCTGCTAATACAAAGCAGTTCTCTGTGAATAGACCAGTATGAAAGTTGTTCTCAGAAGTTAAAGTAATAACAATGGCACATTTTTAAAATCATTAATTTCAAGACCATTGCTATTATGAGAGTGAAAAAAATGTCTGCACTTTAGAGCGTAGGTTAATACATTCTGTAAAATTAGGTTTGAGTTTGAATGATAGTTATCATAATTAAAGGATATGGCTTTTGTCAAATCAAGCTGTACAGCCCCTGTTGTGTCTTCTAAGAACCACTTTCCCTATAATAAACAAATCAATACATAAAAAATTGACAATATTTTATGCTATGACTATTTGCTTTTGGTACATTTTAAAAAATATATAATTGACAATTATATTTTCAAAACGACTAAATGTATTATATTCAATGTAACATAATTCAAATATAAATTTACAAATAGAGATATTTTTATTAAAATATACACCGGAATTCACATGAGATACTGGTTAAGTCTTTCCATAGTCAACGGTTCATCTTTTAACTAATTACCTCTTTCAGCTGAGTAAGCATTCCTAGCACAATAATATCCCCTAGCTTGGCAGTACTCCCCAACAAGAACTCAACCGGTCTTAGCTATAATGAAAAAATCGTAAAACTCTGTTCAGATCATTTTGTCACATTAAACTCAAACATCTAGAAGTTCATATTATTTACTGCAAATTTTTATGAAAGTAATAAGGACAGAACCTCCTGTCATCTACTGAGGCTGTTTCCTCCCAATCTTAATTTCTCTCAAGCGCACTAACAAATCTGAAAAACTGAGCTTCACATCTGTAGGTCGAAATCTCTTTACATTTTTCATTTTACAAATGCAGTAAAACATGCTGCCTACAACTGAAAATATTACCTTGAACTTCTTGGAGTGCTGTTCTTGTTGTGCGCCCAGTGCTGGTGGAGTAAAGAGATCATGTCTGGATGTTCTCTGATGAAGAAGGGTATACCTGTCCCTGTACAGACTGCATTTGGCTTCAGCATCACTGTGAAGGCACGGGGGTGGCAGGCCTAGGTTGGAGTTTCTAGAAATAATATGAACAGTTTCTGAGATTTTACCAAGTTTTTCATTATTATTATTATTCCAAAAACACTTAAAATTAATTGAAAGTTACTGGATCTAAAACATGTCAATAATCTAATTTTTATTTTAAGCACTCCATTTAAAGATGGAATGACTTGGATTACATTGTATCTGTAACATGCTGAAAATGAAATTTCATAAAAACACTTACAACAGAAACTTTTTCCTCTCATAACTGTATGAGTACTGAGGCACTGAGAAAGCATCTATAACAGTAAACACTCTGTCACTGAAACAAAATTATTCACTGATTATATATACTTTCAATATTATTGGCAAAAATAATATGTTATCATAAAATGTCATAAAATTCTTTTTTTTTTATCAACGACTAAAAATAGTTTTCAAAATATTTTTTGGTTGAATTCAATGTATACATTTCATATTGTCGTCACTGTGGAAATGGTAGTATAAACCAATAAACCATATGCTTTCAATTAGTTTGTAAAGGTCTCTGCAAATTTTTAAAAATTATCACTGTCCTACCTATCCTCCTCTTGTTCTTGGTTACATTCTTGCACAGCAGCCTCACAAACATCACGGCTTACCATTGTGGAACTCACTGAAATCAACATGAATATATTTCTGCATCTATTAATTATGAATGGAAATTTCATCAAGACTTTTTTCGTTGTTTGTTCTTAGACAATTTCTGGAGTAAGTATTAATTTTCCTTACTTAAAATAATGCACCTTATAATGTGTCACTGCAATTAGGGGTTTTCTCAATGCAGGGGGACATTGATGACAATAATATAATAATTTTGCTAGTGGAAGCAAAAAAGCAGGCTGGGGTAGCGCTAACACTCGCCAATTTAGCCAAATGCTAAAACTGACTTAAATTGGCTAAACAAAAAGGGCTTGATTTGACTCATTTTAGTCAAATTAACACCATTTGGATAACAAATTGACAAAAAAGTGATGATTTGGCTAGCGCTACCCCAGGCAGGGGAGTTTCCATGTGGAGACATAAAGAGATCACTTCATTTCATTTAACCAGCAGTTTTCAAGAGTTCTACATATTACTTAAATTTCTATCTTCACTTACACAGCTGCTTCTGCAAAATTTCTAAAATTTTGTCCAGTCCATTTTCCCTTTCTGCTTCACTGATTGGTGTCAGTACTTCTATCAGATATTTTGTAGCATCGCTGAAAACAAAATGTTGTTGACAACAGATAATTATTACAGTTTAAGAAGAAAAATATTGACAACGAGAGAGGGGGGGGATCCGATGTAAATCGTCCTTCAAACCCCATATTTCATCTACAGTACATTTGTACTTCAGTCGAACTTGCTGTAAACATCCAGTACGTGGACATGTACATGTATGTCTCAATAACACTCGGAAATTATAAACATCTAAACAAAAATCGATGTAATTGATGCTACAGGTCTTTGAAAAGTGAAAACTGCAAACCTTCTCAACGTCAAGCCATGCATCTTGAACGCGGAAGAAATCTGTGACTTCAGTTTAGCAGCCATGTTGCAACTTCCCGCGCTGGCCTCGTTTTGACGATGTAAACAAATGCATGTGCTTCCGGTCGCCAGGATCACGTCATAGTTCTACTTCTATGGTTCGATTTAGTCACTAATAGTATGAAGAGCGCTCATTTTTATCCGACCCAGTCCATACCATAATGATTGCTGGGGAAATAGCATATACGCGCTTCATTTTTCGTGCTACAGAAAAGGCAGTGTCAGATGAATAGAAACTAGAATCTGAAAAAAAAGGCAAGAAATAAAAGTAAAAAATCATCCAATGTACATGTTTTCATAATTATTTTGCTGATCAGATGCACAGCGCTTTCATTCCACACATTTTTGATATTTGACTGCTTACCACAAAGTCAGATTGATATAATATCTTCAATAAGATTTTTTCAGATATTTTGATCGACATTCTTAATAAATGACCAAACTGTCTTTTTACGTTTTTTAAAGCCACGGTCGTATTTAATTTCTTTTTTTAACTTCAGATATTGCTGTTATCTCCTTCTTATACAAACATTCATTTAATAATTAAACCTTTAAATTGTTTTATCTTACTATTAATTATAAACATATAGAGGCCTCAGTGGCAGATTTAGAGGGGGGGGGGTCAGGAGCGTCCTGACCCCCCCCCCCCCGCCCCCCTCGCCCTGGGCCTAAAGACAAATTTCAGTCTACTGAAACTTTTTCTTCTACTACTACTACTAACACTTAATTGTGTTTCTTTAATCTGCTTCATTTAACGAGTCATATACATGTGCTTAGTGCAAATATTACAAATATGTGTGTTTGTTTATTTTTTATTTCTTATCTACCATTAATTGCTTTGCGCATTTGTTGCTTACTTGTCCTGACCCAACTTTCAAAAACAAAGCAGTGTAATTTGATCCATCATATGGGGCAAGCACTGTTTGGTACCAGATGGCAAGAACCCGGATCTACTTAAAGCTAGAGATCCATATGCATTGGGACCGCCAGTTGGGGGTGGAGGAACACTTCAACTATTCCTTGTTTTAAGTGTAATTTAACTATCGATAGCTGTAAAAAGTCGGCGTTAACAGGATCGGCGATCGAAACAATTGAAAGGAAGGGAATAAATTGAGCGCAATGCAGCTGAGAAAGCGCCAAACGCTGCCGAGAGTTTACTCGCTGGCCTTTCTGTTTCTGATCGGCATTGGTATGTGATACAGCGGTATTACCATTAAGAGCTTTCTAAGCGTACTGTTGCAACATTTATGCATGAAGATTTTTTGTTACGTGAGCAGTTAATAATATTAGTGTAACTTAGGTTTGAAACACCCTTGCCCACATAGCTTATGTTTGCTCTTTATTTTGTAAAATATTACGCTCGGAAGATTTAAATATTTTATTAATTTGAGAAGATATATTTTACAAACGTTCCACATAGTTCACCTGTAGCCATTTTCAGAACAATGTGATGGACTGACCAAGAGATGGCTTCCCAACACGAATTTTGGAAACCCCCAAAACTGGAACCTGGGCCGTCTACCCTGCGCCAACGACGTCATAAGCCTACAGTCAGCAAACTCTGCCTCGGTCTTTGTTCAAACAAACGCAACAACTATAAAGGAATTGGTAAATATTGACGCATTTCCATTTCAATTCACAGTGGCTATTGTGTGCCAACATCCCCTTTCAGTTTAGGATAAGTCTGGGTCATTAAATAGAATTTGCAATTCTGTAAGTGAAGCGTGGTGTAGATGAACATGCCTTAGCATGACAGTATCTAAACAGCAAATGGGTGGATTGGATTTCCCGACACGTAGAGCGTTTAATAAACTTATTTTTATGTCAACTTCAACCGGTGTAGCTATCTTTTTATGTTACCGTCGTGATTTGTTTCCAAGTGCAATAGACTCAGTTTATGTTTTGAAATAAAGTTTATGACCCAATCATGCCTGTTGTACAGTGCACGCTCAGTTTATGTATGTGCCCTATAATGCTGCACACATTTGTACAAACACCCTTAACTAGGTCAACTACCGATGGACTATTGCTTTTTGAGCCTTGGATTAATTAAAAACAGGCAAAATAAAGCAGTTCATAAAAATAAACAAAATAGTGGATATTCGTTTCTGCTAGAGTATACTGTACATGTACAATGTAGGTTATAATGATGATCTTCAATTTAGTTTTACACAAAACGAGTTTATTTTTTAAGACAACAGTTTTGATTAAATTTTATAACAATGGCAGTCTATTTTGTGAATGTCACGTTTACTTCCATTGTAATAAATTATAAAGTGATAGTATGTTAACCATGATTCAAGGCTGTTTTTATTTCATTTTACACTCATATTACAGCGTTTACCTACTGACGGAGAGATTGTATTTGCTGATGGCATTGTATTGGCTTTTGGAGAAGACACCAGTGCACCTGCTACTTGTGGCCAAGGTAAACAGTCAATGTAAACACTCAGTATATTCCAAGTTTACAAAAGAACATGATTCATTTTGTATCCCTGGCACATGAAAGCGAGTGCAGTTACTTAAACATAGATAAAACCGCAAAACATACACAATGCGTCAGTGGTGATGTTGTTTCATCTATCGCAATTTGACTGCAGTAGACTCATAATATTACTAATTAAAATGGAATTTTACTTATATTTGTTTAAGAAATATGTAGTTAAAAAATGTCAATATAACAAAAACTATATATGTGACGTGAATACTAATTTAAATTACAAATAAATTATTCGAACTAATTTTAATGCATAATTTAGTGATAGATTATGCAAGAGAGTATGCTAGTTGGTAGCCTACCGGCAGTGGTATATATTGCCAAGCTTCCCCATTAACCGGTACTCTGGTTTCTCTTCATCCACGTATAAATCTTTCGCCTTTTACTAAAGATTTCCGTGGAGAGGAACAATACAATGAGTCTATAGACTAATTTTTCTAGCCCTCGAGAGAGGGTAGCAAAGAAATATAAGGAATGAATTCCAAATCCCTTCTATGTTGTTTCACAATGTTGGTGTGATTTTAACTCTTCAGACATATCCTTTTCCCGCACCGATGCCAAACAATGGTTAGATGGAGACAACTGGTGTGTGAGTGATGAAATTGGGCAATGCACAGAGGCAAAATCACAATTGACCCTTCTCGATTCAGAGAAAATTCCATGTCAATCAGACCATGCTATTTTCCCAACACAAAGTACCTTCTTAGTGGATATGGATTCTGGATTACAATTGTTTGTTGGTAGTTTGACAATTGCCGGTCAGGTAGTTAAAATTTGAATTTTTTCACAACACTAGGAACGTACACTATTAGTAACACTAGGAATAATTATAAATCCACAAAAATTGTAAAAACAAAATAAAAGAAATCTTAGCCATGAAAGGAAGCTTACACATGTTAGCATTTTAATGAATAAATGAATTTGCAATAAAATTAATTTTTCAAATTTTATCCCTCTAAAATTATTTTCTTTTACCATTACAACCACCAGAGTTGTCTTTTCATTAACATATGACATATACAAACATTTTTATTGTATTAAATACTAATAATAATAATTATAATTATTTTAATATTTGCAGTCCTATTCCACAGCAGATTTCAACACCTTTGTGACAAGTGATTCTGGAAGAAAACAGTTTGTTTCGGATGATGAGGGCACCATGTCCCATTTGACTATAAAAAACCAGCAATGTTCCGATATTGCAGGCTGCATGTGTGGAAATGACAAAGGAGAGGTAAAATAACTTATTACAATGCATACTAAGAGAGGCTTATGTAGAACAACTTAATTAAACTTAACTTGATAGACTTACTTTCAGCAATTCCTTGAATTTTTTAGAGATATAAGGACAAATCATTGGTGTGGATAATTTTGATCTTGTTTTTGACACTTAAGCCCACATTAACTTTTGTATTCAATTTTAATCTACATTTTAGATACTGGAGAAGATTTGTGATCTTAAACGACGTCAGTGTCAATATCTGAATTGCACAAATTCATTCGAACCCGTTGGAAGTTGTTGCCATATATGTGGTATGTTCTTTTCCTCAGTATCTTTAAAACATACTTTTAAACAATTAACAATAGAGAAAATACTAAGAAGGTTAAATAAAAAAAGATACGTAATGATAGTGATAGACAAAATTGTTTATAGTATTGGCATTTCCATAGGTCATTCAGTTATTTTCCACAGTTCATTTTGTTATTCCAATTTCACAGGTGCCATGGCAGTAATGAACTATGGGGCCCGGTTTAAAATGTCCATCCTTCAGAATATGATCCAAGACAAATATTTAAATGGAAAGACTGCACAGACTGTATCTGTGTCCAGACGCTTTGACGACAAAATCCAAGTGGTGTTCAGGGACAGTGTTGATGGGACCAAAGCAGCAGACATTGCAGCAACATTCCAAAGGGACATCCTCAAAGGTAGATTTCCTTTTTTAAAAATGGTAAACTATTTGTTGAAGATTCATGAAAGAGGTAAAATGGCATATTTATGTATTAGCAATTAACGACTATCAAAATGGAAAGGAAATAATTTGCATATTGCAAAAAAAAAAAGGAAAGTTTTCTCTTTACATATCATGGTAGGTCATTTGGCAACTGTCCAACATATCCACCATGCAGTCTGAGGCACCAAAGCTAAATCAAACTATTTGTCATTTATCCCAGATATTGAAACTGGCAGTCTGAAGTATGGTATTATTGATATCAATGTGACCAGGAGTGGAGAAGTAGCCCCCACCAGTGCTTCACAGAAGGGGTCAGGATCTGGGTCAGGTGAGATTGAGTCTGATATCATGTGATCTCTTCTTGAAAGTTTGGATGATAACACAAATAAATAGTCTAGGCTTTGTATTGTGTTTGTAATGGTTTCAACTGCTAAAAAGGCTTTGTATTAGGTTCAGAAGCGTGTCCTACTGCTTCAATTGAACTTATGATCTGTGTTAAAACAAGGTTTTCTTGTAAAATAAACCGTTCCAGGGAATGGGTTGAGTGGAGGTAGTGTGGTCGGCATTGTGTTAGCTTTAATCCTTCTGGTGGTATGTGTGTGCTTAGTGGTCGGATACTTTTGGAGAAAACGCAAGTAAGGAAAATTTCATGTTTACCATTTTATCTTTATCTTTTATGATCATTACTTGTAACAGTTCAAGTAATTTTTCCTATGTCATGCCAAATAAAATGGACATTTTAAACATCTACTATTAATTTTACTTTAAATGAGCTGGCTAACACAATAGAAGTTGAGCACTCAAACATACTTCTCTACATCAAGCAAATTATCAAGTCTGAAGCAAACTTCACTAAAACAACCTTTCTTTTCTGTCTCTCTTAGGAATGGACAAGGGGCAACTTTTAGCATATTTTCCAACAAGGAGAAAAATGGTGACATGGAGCTTGGAGCCTCAGTCAGCTACACTGACATTGACATTAATGGGGATGGGACATTAAGAGGCTTTGATAATCCCATGTATGACAGCCCCATTAAGGTATTATTCCAATAAGGAGATCCCTTATTCCCAGCTTATTTTATCAAGAGAATAGCACAAATCCTTGAAAGTAATAATTTAAGTGTTAAAAGTGTAAAAATCCTTTACACCATGTTGGTGCTTGTAGCACTGTGAAAGTTTCATGATAATGATACAAGTCAGTCTATAAAATTTTCCACAGTATACCTATCAGAAGGAAGTCATGTATGAAAGAAACGTGTATCATATTCAGTTTTAAAAAATGCTGTACATTTTCTTTTGTACATTTTCAGGATGCCAATTTCTTTGCAAACCCAGCCCAAATTGATCCAGAGGTGAAGTTTAACCCAGTATACTCTCCAGAAGGAATTGAAGAAGACAGCTCCATTTAAATGAGCAGCTCACACATACAGTAATTGTTAAAACTGCTATTGATAGTTGATCAAACATACTTTTTGTTTTATAACATACACTATGTATGTCTTCTAATTTACCTTAACAGAGATACAGCAATGTGTTACAAAATTAATGAGTGATAATAATTAATAGTTTACATACACTGCATAATTTTCAAGGAATCTGCACAAATACATATACTGATTTATCAAGTAAGACTTAAGTTTTAAGTTGCTGATATACAATGAGGCACGACTGTACAAGGAATGAACAAAATCAACACTATTCAAGTTGGAATCATCTAGTGTTTACGTTTTGATACCTCATGATTTATGAAATACATTTTTACAGCTTGTAAAATGTCTTATTTACATTTTTATAACACAATTTACAGACTTGGTAGACCATTAGCATTTTCTCAACTTATGACACAATATTTCCTCACTGTGAGCAACAAAAACTGTATTTTGATCCATTGTCATAAAACACTCAAACTGTGATTGAATTATCTGCATTGTATCTTTTCTATGATAATTCAACAGAATAGTGTCTCAAGGTTACACATTGATGGTACACTGTACTTGATAAGAAAGAGCATATGCAACACAGGAAGATGAGCATTGACCTCACTGGGATGGTTTAGTTAATCTGAAACAGAAAAAATAAAGTTAACCTCATCAAAATGTGTACAACATGATATAAGAAACAACATCCAAATCTACTAATAAGTTTCATAGGGTTAAAGATCATGATGTATACAAAACAATTTACCTGATAAAGATTCAATAAAATTAGTTTGAAAAAATCTGCAATTCCTTTTATGACATTCTTGAAAGAGCAAGGATACTGGCATGAATCTGGTGATTTTTTGATATAAAAATATGATTATTTTACAAAAGATAAGCCATCAAACTGTAAATGTCACTTACGCCACATGCTTGCTACCACTAAGCAATATGTAAGGTGTCTTTTCCCTCTCCTGTTTCTCAATCAGCCTTGTCAATGTGTGCAGTGGTGTGTCTGTGGAACTCATCTGTTTCATTAACTGAAAAACAAAAACCATTATATTGTTATCTCCAAAACCACAGCATTAAAAACAATCATGACAGAGATCCTGCAGAAGCCCACATGAATTCTACAATATATATTTATAAAAAAATTGTCAAATGAGTGGTCAACTCTAAACTTGATTGAAGAAATACATAAATAATTTTGCTAGTTAATAAGACTTAAAGTTGTTAATTTTTCATGGAAATGTAGCTAATAATGTGGTTAACATAGTTACTTATTTCATGTAAAAAATGTATAAAATTCACTTTTTCTAACTCAAATAAATTTGATTTGATACAAAAGGATGACATCCATTTGCATACAAAAATAATCATTTCAGAAAACCTTGTAACAAACTGCTGAAATGGGGGATGGGGGGGGGGGGGAGGTAAATAACTTTCCAATTTAACTACACTACCAAGAAAGCTATATGTAATATACACATAATTACCTCATCCTCCTCCATCTTCTTCGACCTTTTTTCTTGCTTTCTTTTTCCTGATCCCTTTCCATGGAACCTGTGTGAAAGTTGCCTAAAAGCCTCCTTGGAATCCAGATTTCTACCTTTGTCGTCAACATATTCAATTTTAACATCTGGTTTGTAACTTTCCTTCTCTTTAAACTCTGTCACTATCCCACTGTTGTAGAACCTGTCACGCTTTTTGTACTTCTCATCTATGTCACTAAAATGGATCATTACTTCAATAGCACAGTCAGTCAACATGGCGATGCAAATTCATTTCTCATAATTATCTCATGTTTCAAGGTATTTTACAAAAATGGACATCCTATAAGAAATCTATGCGAATTTTTCCATTTAGACAGAAACATCAAGCATCTGTACCACTGGCTAAGATACGCTTTTAACAGCCTCAAAGGGAAAACAAAGCTTGCCTATGTGGCGTTGCACTTACTCAAACCGCTTGTCCTCAATGGAATAGTTCTGGGCCTCCATTTCTGTAACAAGTTTGCTTGTGGGCAATTTCTTTGCTACCTCATGTACAAGGAAGCCTAAAAATAATATGTACATACAAAATATAACAATTATTAAGTAAAATATTTGTAAGTTTTGCTGCATGTTCTGAACATAATTACATACAATTATTAAAATCAATCACAAAACAGACATTATAGCAACTAACTTTCTTACCAAACACCTTTAAAACAAAAAAGTTACCTTTTTTCAAAGCTAAAACTTTGAAAGCTAATGTTTGCATGAAATAAATATTACTCAGATTCTTGTATCTTCAAAATGATCAGATTTACAAAAAATATACATTCTACACTTGTGTTTATCTTTTTTTTATATCTTACTTTGATGTGTCTTAAAAATAATCAGGTTCAAATAGAGAACAAATCATCCTACACTTGTGTTTACCTTTTTTAACAGACAGTTGTAAAGCAGCAGCCAGACCCTTGTCTACTGTGGGCTCATCATCAAGAACAACTTTTTCTTCCTCCTTGATCTCAACAGGCTGCGTGTCGATGGCAACTTCTTCCCAGCGGTTGGTCTTCTCCTCTTCTTCCTCTTCTCTCCTTTTTCTCTGCTCCAACAATTCAGACTCAAATTCCTGGTAAGAAGATCCAAAATTGCCATGGGCTAACTGGACAGCTAAGCTGGTATATGTACAGACATTAAATATGAGATACAATGTACAAAGACACCTATGGTCCCTGTACATAGAATGGACTTCCAATCTCAAAAAAACAGATGAGAAAATTTTTGTTTTTTATGTTTGTTGTCAATTATCTCTTTTGAAACTACATTACACATCCAATACATAAGTGTTTATCTCAATAGGCAGGAATAACTATAACTGACCAGAATAAACTTCAACTATTCAACTTGTCAAGTGACTTAAGCAACTTTCTATATTAATTTAAATGTCTTGAGTTTTAGACATTCAAGCACAATCATTTTTAATAATGATTCAACTTAAAAATTTCATTTAGGAAAACAGTTCATATGCACAAAATCTAACCCAACTTACCCCTAGTTCATCCTTATCTTCCTCCCTATTGCCAGACTGGCCATATGTAGGGATGTCTCCCAGGGTGCGGCAGAATTCAGATGTGGAGTTGAGAACAATTGACCCTGCCACACCTGCACTGTTTGTATCTGCTCCCCGCTGGGCAATAATCTTCTCTGCTATCTAAAAATCAGAGAACAATAACAAGAAAAATGTCTCTTTGCTGTTCTATACATAGATAATAGAAGCACAATTACATCCAAGGGCTGTAAGGGCTGTGTAAAAATGTCCTGAAAAACTATAGACCAATATCAAATCTACCCTTTTTAGGTAAATTTCTTGAAAAAATGGCATGTTCCCAACTAAGCAGCTATCTATCTGAAAATAAACTCTTTGGGAAATTCCAGTCTGCCTATAGAGAAGGCCACAGCACTGAGACAGCTCTACTTCGAGTCCACAACGACATAATGCTTGCCCTGGATAAACAAAGAGATGTCATTTTAGTTCTTCTAGACCTTTCAGCGGCTTTCGATACCATAGATCATAATATTCTTCTTCACAGGTTGCAGCATCGTTTTAGAGTGAATGGACTTGCACTTAGTTGGTTTACCTCTTACCTGAAAAACAGAACACAAAGGGTTTCAATAGAGTCGGTTTTATCTCAGCCAGTTAACTTGGAGTACGGTGTCCCACAAGGGTCTGTGTTAGGTCCGATCCTATTCTCATTATACATGTTACCTGTAGAAGATATATTACTAAAGCATGGTCTGAACACTGTTATTTTTGCAGATGACACACAAGTATATATTACATGCAAGAGTAGCCAGNTACACACAGGTCTTTAGGATATGATAAAAGATACAAGGGGTGACTTTGGTTGGACTTAACCTTACTTCAAGTTTGCTTTTGTAGTCTAAAAATTCTTTCTCCCTTGCTATCTACACTCACCCACAGCCAACAACCTCACATCTTAACTTTGTGATTGACGTGACACATTTACCTTGGTCTTTTCAATTTTTCAATCTTTCAAATAATTTCACTACAAATGTCTGTGCTACCAATGGCAGCTCCGCGTGAACATGAACAAAACTCTCACCATCTTCAAAGTCTGGTTTGTCCACTTCCATGTCTTCTGTACTTTGAACCTGCCCCATCCCTGACATGAATGCAGCACCCCACTCTGACTCCTGGGGCATTATCTCTTGATTATCCTCATTTGTACCCCTGAAATATTACAACAACTACATGGTATTATCAAATATACTGTTACTAAATGTATATTGAGTAACAGAGCCTTTTTGGCAAAAACAACAGAGACTGAGTGTCCATTTGAGTAAAAATATAATTAACTAGAGGATCAGAGAGGCGATACCGCCTCCGAATATTTTACCACCAGCTGGAGCAAGCGCATTCGTATAGAACCCCACATACACAAAATAAGGGACACAGCCACCAGTCTTGTGCTTGACAAGATGTAAACATGCAGNTGAACGATACAAGGGGTGACTTTGGTTGGACTTAGCCTTACTTCAAGTTTGCTTTTGTAGTCTAAAAATTCTTTCTCCCTTGCTATCTACACTCATCCACAGCCAACAACCTCACATCTTAACTTTGTGATTGACGTGACACATTTACCTTGGTCTTTTCAATTTTTCAATCTTTCAAATAATTTCACTACAAATGTCTGTCCTACCAATGGCAGCTCCGCGTGAACATGAACAAAACTCTCACCATCTTCAAAGTCTGGTTTGTCCACTTCCATGTCTTCTGTACTTTGAACCTGCCCCATCCCTGACATGAATGCAGCACCCCACTCTGACTCCTGGGGCGTTATCTCTTGATTATCCTCATTTGTACCCCTGAAATATTACAACAACTACATGGTATTATCAAATATACTGTTACTAAATGTATATTGAGTAACAGAGCCTTTTTGGCAAAAACAACAGAGTGTCCATTTGAGTAAAAATATAATTAATTACATCCAGTCTGTCATTTTCTGATAGATATATATAATATATACAGGAACAAGATCTCTCTCTCCATGCGTGGCTCTTTACAAAATATCAGTATTGTAAGTTAAAATGGCCCAAACCTTTTGTTCCTTGATCGTGGAACTTCATCTTCAAGTGGCAACAGGTCATCAGCTTTAACCATCTTCTTTCGGATCTTTCTGACCTTTTTCTTAACCTTTTTGAACTTTGCATCCTTGAAAACGAAAATGGACAGATAAGAGCCAGTCTTACTTTTGAACAATAGCTTATACAAACTGCAAAATAAATATCAATTTACAACTGACATCCACGTATCCTCAAAATTGTATATGTACATGCAAATGAAGACTTACCATTTCTTCCTGAGTATAATATTCACTTGCTATATTTGGAGCAGCTAGAGAAAGAGATTGCTGAAAAGAACATCAATAACAACAATTTACTCTTTTGTGCAGCAAAGCAATCAATCCAATTGTCAAACTGATATCACAAATAAAATTTGACGAGTTTGTTAAATTTTTTGTATGCTTGTTATGCTTGGAATATGTACTTTACTTGAAAACATTTACACCTGTGCAGTTATACCTACCCCTTGCTGACGAAGCTGTGCTCTAATTTTTTCCATGTTCTTCTCATGCTCTCCATCATATTTTCCACCAGAGCCTCAAAGAAAAAGTAATCATAAGTATTCATACTTTAAAATTTTGGATTTTAAACTATTGTTTATTTTTATAGATGAGAAACATTTTGGCAAAATCAAAAGAAATGGTAATACTCATCACTATTGACATGATATATTTTCATACATTCCTAAATAGATTTTGGGCATACTTCCCTTTTCAAATAAATCTTTGCGTCTTTTCTTGATTTTTATTTACTTACCAAGTGTGAAAGCATCCCTCTTTTCTCCATCAATTTCTTCATCATATTTATCTAATATATTGGAAGTCTTCAACTGGAAGTTGAAAAAAAAAAGGAAATGTCAAAGAATAACTACGCCCACTCTGAAATAATAGTGTACACAAGGGTTAATCAAAATGCACCTACTGCAACAATAGAGAGTTTCCGTTGCCTGTGAGATACGCCGGCTAGATTAATACGTCATCGGTTTGTGCGCACTTGTGACGTTCACCACATTCATATACCGTCATCCCATCTAGTCTGCGGAATACAAGCGCTCCTATCTAGCCAGTGCGGAAGATTATTGAAAATAGTTATTAAAGGTTATGCTTGCTAATTTATATGACTTATATACTTTTTTACAATAGTTCAAGTGTACGTTCATGCAAATTTCGACTTTTTAACAGAGAGGAGCCGCTAGTTTTGGTTTATCAGGCACGTAGTCGGGGGTTGATCGTGGAGTTCTTCCGAACCGCCATTTTTGTCGGGAAAAATTGCACTTTTGGGTAATATTTGTCTCCTTTTTCATAAAAAAAGAATCCCTTCCCCCCTTGGAAATAGATGGCTGCGGGGCCGTATATTGTTATTATTATATTGGAATGAGCGCCAGCATTCCGGGACATTACCGGAACGCGAAGAGAGAAGCGCGTTACTGGATACATTAGCACATACGTAACAATCTAGCCGTCGTATCCCAACTGCACCGGAAACTCTCTAATAACTGTACTGTGACATTTTGTCAAATACATTAGTACTCAATAATTTTCTTTCCTCTTTCACCCCATTTTTTTTGTAATATTGTGTACTGTATTATATGTTATATATGTATGATTCTGAAAGTACTGTATAATAGTTGATAAGTTAACTTTTTTTCTTGCTCATATCTTTTGGATAAATTTTAATAATACTTTTAGCACGTTTAGTATCAGTGTACGTTGTGTGAGGGTGTGTGAGAGAGCACATGATAATTTTCTTATATGATGAGCTTCTAACACAGTTATATGATCAGCTTCCAACACTTAAATGCACCTACTGTACAGATACTGTTAAGAACCCATCTATTTGTCTCTCCTGTTTATTTGTCTCTATTTTTCCTTTCCCTTTCCTTATTTACTCTTTCTATAAGCATAAATTTCTCTTTGGTGATATTTTCTTACCATGCCATATTCATCATACTCTGGCTCATCCCAAGGCTTATAATCAGGTTTCTTCTTCTTATTTTCTACATTCTTTTTTGACCTTTCATCATCAACAATATTCACGTTCACAAGAGTATCACCTTCGTCATCTTCATCAAGTATGCCTATTTAATAAGAACAGAGATCACTTTATTCACAATTACCAAACACATGGATCTTATGTTTAAGTGTCCATGAAAAAAACAGCCTCTAAACCATTTATAACTGCTAAGAAAAATACAAAAAAAGTACTATGAACATTCTGAGATCAGATTTCAGTGTAGATTTAAAAATTGATAAAGAAACCTGCAATATAAATATATTTTTGAAACCTGGTCCACTACCTCAAATAATATGGACTTACCTTTGTCTTTTAATGTTAAAATAACAGCTTTTCCTTCTTTGAATGAACCCATTCCATGTTCAACCTTGATACCTTTGAGATCCCTGGATGTGTATTCCTGAGGTACAAGATATTATGTTAAATGACAATAATGCAAAATATAAGTTATCAGTGATTTAATATGACATTTTATTTACTTGAGCATTTTCATTTCAGTAAAGATGAAACATGCAATGAATTCATTACTGATGGTGCTAAAATATTCTGCAATATTGCTCTGCAAATTATGTTTTTTTCAGACTTTTAATAAACTAATCTATGAAAACTTCATAATCATGAAAATTACCTTTCCCTTGTTCATGAGAGGTGCAAACTCCTCTTCCACAAGGTTACCAATACCAAACTCTGCATCCATTTCTTCTAGCATCTTAGCCTGAATAACAAAATAGCATGGTCCATTAATTTTTAAGAGGACAATTTTCTTCACAAACCATAACATACAACATAATAATCATCAGAAGTAACTTTCTAACAATAATGATTTTTTTTTT